TGTTACCATATGTATCTGACCCCATGTTTTACGGTTAAACGGGGTTAGGAATCCTTGTTCTTCTTTAAGTAGCAAGCGTTAATGTTGCAGTATTCTGCCTGAAAGTTTGCACCCTTACCCAATCTATTTGAATAATGAAATGTATTACTTGTCAACATATAATTCTAAATGTACAGCTTCCCACTTTCTAGTTTTTACTTGTTTCTAAAAAGCCTTACCTTAAAATATAAGATTTTATTGGTTTTCTTGTTGTTTTATTGGTAACCAGAAATCTCCCCCATTATTAAATATGCTATCATGTTCATCTTTTTATGACAACCAATTCATTTTATATAAAAAATAATAAATCTATAATAATTCAATTAATGCTACATTATTAACTAATCCAAATAGTTCTAGATTATAATATTGGTTAGGGATGATAAATAAAATTAATTACAATTATATTTTCTCAATAATTTTTATTTATATGCTTACCCCAAAAAAAGCTCTACAAGTTTTAATTCCTAACACTCATAAGATAGGATCTCCAATCAAAAGCCAACTGATAGAGAATGAAATTATTGATTATAAGATGAAATTGGTGTTATTAGGACTTGAAATAGAAAGACTCCATAAAGTAGCAATCCTAATTACAGATAAATATGAAGATAAAATATAATAATTAGAAACAACATGTAGCCTTACTATTTAATGATTAGAATAATTACTCAAAGATAAAATTGACAATTAAGAAGTCAAAATTGCCACATTGAATCAACAATTGTTAATAAAAGATGATTTTATTAATGAGATCTTTGATGAGAAGTATATAAATATCTAAACAATTAGATGTCCAGATGAAGTTAATAAAAAATTGAATAATCAACTGAAACAAGTCACATCCTAATTAAATAGAGCAAAAAAATAAATTGAAACCCTAAATGAAATGAATATTATCTTCAAGAAAAACCCTCCTGAAAATCCTGAGCTCATAGACATGATCAAAGAATTAGAAATCAATTATGAAGAAATGCTATAAAAAAAAGATCAAGAAATCACAAATCTCAAAATTAGAAATTCCTCCTATGATTATAGTCACAGCTAAGAATTATCCGATTAAAAGTCGGAACTCTTAAGAATGCAATTAGAAAATCAATTTCTAAATGAAAAAATAGATAGTATTTTGGAAGAAAATGAAAAATTGAAATAATAATTAAAGTCATCGCATTCTTAACAATCGAGTATCAAGAGTTAACCGTAATATCGATTAGTAACAAAGGTTGTTTAATAGGAACCGTTTAGTGCTTTCACAGATTACTAGTTTTTAGGAAAAAATAATATACAAAACTCATAAAATCGTTCTGATTCACCTCAACGAACATCCAATCAAAATTCATAAGAATTTATGTAAGCTCTAAAAAAAATAGAAAAAATTTAATAGGATGGTTAGTTTACACCTGAAAAAGTATTATCCTAGATCAGATTGAGTGCAACTTTGTTACATTTGAAAAGAATGGAACTACCAAATGATTTAAATGATACCTATGTTAAATATTTGAATTAAATTGAGGAATCTGATGCTAAATCTGAAGATAAATCAGATTTGGCATCCACTGTTAAACCTAAAAAATTATTCTCTAAGAATGAGGAAAATGACACATAATAAAAGTAGATAAGATCACAATCAACAAAATCAAATAACTAAAAGCCCCTCTGCTCTAACAAAAAGAATTAGTTTGTATAAGTAGATTTCCTAGATAAGAAACAATTAGACAAAACCTAAAATGACCTTGAAAACTTGTAAAATGAATTTCAATAGTTACAAAAGCAAATCAATTAAAAACCTACAAATGAATCACATCAAAAAAATATTACTCAATCCGATATCAAAAATTCATTAGAATCAGATGAACTATTAAAATAATTCTAAAAAGATAATATTTCCAAACTTAAAGATAGTTTGAATAGATAATCGGATTATAGTTTTAAGGATTTACAAGCATAATCAAATTAAGATAAATCAACTATTTAATAACTAAAAAGATAAGTTGAGAACCTAGAAGAGCAACTATAATATTTGAAGGTATAAAATCAAAGATAGTCATATTTGATAAAATAACTTCAAGATAAAAATAATAAAGATAGAGAAAAATCAGATGAATTTTAGATGATTATTAAAGAAGAAAATGAAAATTTAAATTCAACCATCCTTACATTATAGAAAGAATTAAATAATCTTAAGAAAGGGTAACTCAAAATCTGTTAAAATGAATCCATTTAAACAGAGAATCTATCAGTAAAAATTACACAAGAATCTCAAACAAATCAATCTTAATTTTAATAAGATAAAGATTAATAAGTAAATTTAAGTTCTTAGTTTGACAAATAGAAAATGAATGAATCTGATTCACAAAATATGTTTATTTAAGAATTAGACGAATAAATATAAAAATTAAAATAAGACAATTAGGATTTATTAGAAAACTCTTAATAATAAGAGCTGTTGAAACAAGAAATAAATTCATTAAAGCAGGTAAATGTAATAACAAATTAAGCTATTTAAGATCTCTAACTATAGAATGATAAATTGTAAAAAGATTTGGACATCTATAAATGTGCAATATTAAATCAGAATTAAAATGAAGATAATTAATTATGCATTAAAGTCCAAAAAATGGATCAAGAAATTTAAATGAGTTAGAAGGAAATTGAAATAAAGAAAAATAATTAAGAAATGCCATTAGAATTATAAGAACAAATAAATTTATTACACAATTTGTTAGAACAATCTAAATTAGAATTATAATAAAAATAAAATGATTTGGATTAGTTGTAATGCGATTTTGAAAATCTTACTAAAGAGCATAATCAATTATAATAGAAAAATGATGATTTATAACAAATATTCAAAGAACAGGAGAGTGAATATTAAACATAATTATCATTAATCAAATTAAGATTAAGTGCTTTAGAAGAATAATAAGTGAAAGAACATTCTAGATCTATCAGTATATCTGAAAATGGTGAACAACTAAAGGAAACGAACAAATAACCAGACTTTAATTTAGAAGATAATAAAAATAATGATTTAGAGATTTAAATAAGGAGATTGCTAGATGAAAAAGCTGTACTATATGATTAAATGTAAAAATAACAATAGGATTTCAAATCACAAATAAAGATTTTAAGTGAAGATTTTGAATTTTAAAAACTATAATTAAATGAGAAAATTAAAGAGTTGGAAAGTAAAATTGTACTCTATGTAGATGGTGATTAAAAATTAATGCAAGAAAACTAAAATTTAGCAAATTAAGTATAAAACTTAGGTAATTAATTAATATTAGCAAGATAATAGAATAAAATTTAATCATAAAAAAAATTACAATCTGCAACTTCTTCTCCTAGAGTGTAAATTGAAAATTAATAATAAATTCAAATAATAAAAGATTTAGAAAATGAAATTAGCTAACTAAGAAATAATTAGGAGTAGATGCAATTGGAATCAAACAACATTAAAGAATTATTTAATTAATAATAAAATGAAAATTAAGAATTAAAACATGAAGTCTTAACATTATAAACTGAAAATTCTTTTGAAAAATAAGAAAATCAAAGATTAAAATAATAAATTATTAGTAATAGAGATTAATTATTAATGTTAAATAAACAATTAGATTTAAATAAAAAAAATAATAAAAAAGAAATAGATTATTTGAATTCATAAATAGATTAATATAAGTTCCAATTAACTTCTTCATACTCTAAAATCTCATCAAAAATAACAAAAGATTAATCAACATAAATAAATGGTCAAATATATGTGATCGATTAAAGTCTTTTGGATGAGAAGGAAAATATCATTCATAATTTAAAAAAATCACTCTAATCTAAAGATCATGAATTAGATTAAACAATATAGAATTTGTTAATTACTAGATAAGAATTATTTAAGGCAAATGACTAATTATTAAAATTAAGAACTATTTTAAGAAGCCAAGAAGGATTATAAACTTAAGTTAATCAATCAAGATAGTATAATGATTGTGCACTCTATCCTCAAAGATAAAATAGGATTATTTCGATTAAAGAGAATACAAGAATATCAACAAGCGAATAGCGTCATAAGAACCATTCTTTAGATAAATTGGAAAGTGCTTCATTTTGGAAAAGGAAATATGAAGAAGTACTTTAATAAAGCTATATCAATTCACAATTTAATTCATAAAATACATAATACAAAATCAAGTTTGAAGAATTGCAATTAAATTGCTAGAGTCATTTGAAAGACCTTGAAAATTAGAAAGATTAAAATAGATAATTATTATTAATGATAGAAACAAAATTAAGTAATAATAATAATAGTAATTAATTTAATAAATATGAATAAGAAATATAAACTCAAAGAAAATAATTAGAAAAATTAAATTTAGAATTGGATGACCAAAAGATTTTATGTAAAAGATATTAGAAAGAATTTTAAGATTTATAATAAAAGTAATTATAAGCTAGACCTGTATAAATTGTAGAAACTAATAAGGAAGATATTGAAAATTATGTAAATTAAATATTCAATGCAAAATAAGAGAATTTAGAATTGGTGGAAATAAATTAAAACTAATAAAATTAAATTCTAGATTTAAAAAAATAATTGAAAGAGAATAATGATTAATTGATAATTCTAAAATAATAATATTACCAATCAACTTAATTATTGGATGAATTGAAATTTGCAAACAGCTAGTTAATCTAAGAGAATTAATAATTATTATTGTTTAAATCAGATTAAGAAAAATAAATATTATTATTAACTAAATCTGAATAAGATCAATAATATAAATTAAGTTATTCTATTAGTCAGAAAAAATTTGAGAGATCTAAAGACTTCAATTTTAATAGGTCAGAAATTATGCATAACTTAGATGTTATTAGATAAGAACTAAAAGTTTACTAGTCAAAATGTTAAATCTAAGAATTTGAGATTAGTTAATTAAAACTATAATTGTAATAACCTATTCCATAACAAAAACTAATTAGCCCGAACAAATATAAAGAATAATATGAATATTTGAATGAAATATTAAAAGAATTAGAAATCACAAAATTGCAAAATGAAAATTTAAGAAAATAAAACACAGAACTCTTTGATTATTAATCCAAATTAATATATGAAAATGACAATCTCAAAAGACTCAATATCAACAGTCCATTAAGTAGTCCAAGAATATAATACCAAAGTAGAAATTCATAATAAAGAGATGAAAGAATAACTCAAAATGAAAATTTAAATTAATAAATTGATTAATTATATTAACGAATAAATACAGCAAGAATTTCAGAAATAGAAGATTTAAAACATGAATTAGACATTCTGAAAAGATAAGTCTTATCTTCGAGTACTTAAGTAAAAGAAGCAGAATCTTTGAGTTTGTAGGCAAGAGTACTAACACTTGAGAATTAATTATAATCATCCTAAAATTAAATTGAAAATTTAAAGGTACTTCTGATCATTTATATTATTAGGAAATAATTTAAGAGAACTAAGAGCTAAAACAACAAATTAGATCATTGAAAGAATCAAATTAAAAAATCTAACAAATGTTTACCAATAATGTAACTGTTTTTAATTATTAATAATAGTAAAAGATTTAGTAATCAGATTTATCTCAAACTGAAAGGTTAAATAGAGAATTGTCAGAAAAAATTAGTGAATTAACATAATTAAAAATTAAATATAAATAGGCATTAACAATAATGCAGAAAATGGAAAATAGATAAATGTAATGACTATAAATATATTGATAATTCTTATATAAACATCAAAATAAATGTTATTAATCTTATTAGTTTATAAGATGGATATCTAATTAAAAATAAGTTGCAATAATATATAAAAGGAATGTTATAAATATAATGTTGATTATTCACATATCTTGTATTAAAATTTCTAATATCACCTATTATATTTCAGCTTGATTATAAAGTACTTAGATTATAGTAATACTATCTGAGGTAATATTTATTGATAATTCTTTAAAGACTTATTAAGTAGTTTAGTATTTTAGAAAATAAGTGACTACATCAATCTATTAATTACAATAATTCCATAATTTATGTTATTTATTAGTATTACACTCATAACATCTTAGAAATTAACTAAGAATTTTTTTTTGAACTTAACATTTTACATACACTTATAAATTTAATTAAGTGATTTAGGGGAAAATTAGTTTATTTTATGGTTAATCTAAAGTAAGATTTAATTCTGAAATATAAATTTATATTGAAGGTTTTGTCGAAGCCTAATCATCATTTGATTAAGACAACCTTACACTCTAACATTCAAAAGGTTTGTAAAAAGTTGTAAATTGATAAGCTAACCAAGAAATTTGATGATTACAACTAACGAATCCCACATCGACTAAAAAATATTATAATAGTCATTACTAGAGGTGACAAAATATGATAGGGGTGACGGATTTCTAGTGACCTTTTATTTTAGAGCGCTGCTCATCTTAAACCCTGTAAAACTTAAAAATAACCATCGATTTGATTATTATGTCAAGGTTCCACTATTAAATGCAGTAGTAAGCGGATTATTTTTCGAACCCAAAAATGCTTCTGGAATTCCTAAAATTACTTAATATCCAATTTGCTTTAAGTTATTAATGTTTCCAGCTACTTACGTAATGCTGACTGACACAGTAGATTGATTAACGGAGGAAACCTTGATTCTAGATAAAAGATAATACAGCAAGCTAAAAGTCAATATCTCCATCAATTCCAAGACTTGTTATGGAAACTATCCCAAAGTTAATATTTGGATTAATGTGATTAAATACATTCACACCAGGAGGAACCATATTGAAGTTATTAATAACTTAAATTCTTTTGTCATCTATTGCATACCATGAGAATTCAACAGAAAATACTTGAATAGATGTAATGCATTCTATTAATACTTCGAAATCTAAATTTATCATTATTCAATTTTTACGCGTTGTTGTAATGGTTGTGATTGAAAGTTTATACTCTATGCCTTTATCGAAATCTAAAAACTCGAGACCTAAAAAAACTTAAGGAATATTATTAAAAGGTTGGTTAAATGTCACTGTGGCTGTTTATTGAAAATTGTCTTTGCAAATAAAAGTTGACGATATAGGGAGTGAGAAGCCGTTATAATATCCTTAATCATATGTGATTGAAGCATTGGCAGAGATAAAATAAAAAATGAATAATATCATATATTTATAATTAGGAATTTTAAAAATCAGAATGATAATATAATTAAATTTAATAGATTGAAAAATATTGTTTTGTGCTTTGTTTTTAATATATAGTAGAGATATTCTGTAGTGAAATTACATATATTTTGCAAATAAGAATACTAAATTTTGTATTGAAAATAAAGGGTTGTTTTTATATAACTAACTTATTTATTATAATATTAAGAATCAAATGGATAAGTATACAAGAATAAAAATGATTGGGAAGGGTAATTTTGGTGATGTTTGGCTGGTTGAAGACAATAAAGGATAGGTATAGGATTGAGAAAACAAAAGAAATTTGCCCTCAAGTTAATCGATTTGTAATTTTAGAGTGTTGATCCAACAAATGAAGTTACTTTGCTAAAGGTTCTGAAACATCCAAATATCATAAAATACTATAGTTCATTTGTGTAGAATGATTAATTATGCATTTTGATGGAGTTTGCAGAAAATTGTATTTCAAAAAAATATCTAAAATGTAGATGATCTTTAAATATATACGAAAAGCAATCCATCAAACATATTAAATTGGTTTACATAATTGTGTTAAGCAGTACAATACTTACATTCAATGAATATTGTCCATAAGGATATAAAAATGAAAAATGTGTTTTTGACTAAAGATGGCATAGTATAAATATTAATAGACATTTAGATCAAATTGGGAGACTTCAGTATTTCTAAAAAGCTAGATGCATCATTGAATCTAACATAATTAGGTATAGTATTTTGAATAGATTCTTAAGGTACTCCATACTATTTGTCACCTGAGATTTGTGAATCTAAACCATATAATACAAAGAGTGACATTTGGGGATTGGGATGTCTCCTCTATGAATTATGCACCAAATAAAAACCATTTCAAGGAGAGTCTCTACCAGAAGTCTTTAAGAATATCATAACAAGTGAAACTCCAAAATTACCTGAAGGATTCCCATAATTTTATCAGGATATAATCAATCAATGTTTACAAAAGAATCCTCAAGACAGACCAGAAATCTCATAACTATTAGAAATTCCAGAGATAAAGAAGGAAAGACTTAAGTTTCAACAGTTATATAAATAAAGATTGATAGGAATGCTTAAATAAATAGATAGTGCTTAATCAGACTCAGTTTAAACTAATATCAAGTAGTTGCATAAGCCAATCTTTACTCCATAAAATAAATCCCAATCGTTATTATTTAAAAATCTATTCTCAGAATAAATTCAATCCAACATTAAGAAACCAATGACTAAGAAAATCATTAAAATTGATACTGATTTAATAGAAAAGGATGATTAATAATAATAACAGAATGAAACTCCAACTTAATTTGCCAAACAATTATTCAATCCTAAAACCCCTACATCTCCAAATAGAAATCTATTATTAGCAGATTTTTTGAAGAAGAAACTTGGAGAGTAAAAGTTCTTGGATGTTCGCTAGATTCTTGAAGAGTCGTAGAACCCAATTTAATTGTTAGATCAAAGGGAAATCATGGCGAATTTGATGGGTGAAGAGAATTTAGAATGTGTTAAAGTATAGATTAATTATACTGTCTAGATATTTAAAATACTCATAAGTAATTGTACCACTCTACCAGGCAATCACTTTCGATAGATGAATAATTATTAGTTTTTAAGAGATAAAGTTAGTTCATAGCCAGATTTAGATTAGAACATCAAAACTAATAATTTTTGATTGAATAAATATCTATAAATATTATATCAACAATGATTTTCATTGTATTCTTTGATTATATCATTTTTGCTATTTGGAAAAAGGTGATTCACAATCAATTCTAAACAACTCAAAGAAATCGTAAAGTTTCTTAACCTTAGTAACTCTAAGAAGTCTTCATCACTTAAATTTCTTCCTTTAAGTATAATATATCTGAGATCATTCAAAATGGATAAGTCATCCTCTTCTAATTCAATCTGTCCATCTCTCAAAATGGTGATTAACTTTTGGAATTTCTTAGTCAAATTTTCATTATAATTTATTCTTTAATTCAAGTTTGACATTAATTCTTATTGTACATAAAATAAATCCTTTTAACTACTAGCATATTGTTATTCTTAATGATAAACCATGTGTTTATGGAACAAAGTTTGTCTCCTGTTGTGATCACTCTTTTACAAAGATTTTATCATGTCAGAATTGTACTTTTCTTTAATATTAAAAAAATTACATTTTGATTTATGGAATTACAGGATCTTGTCCGTTATAGAATACAATTATAACTACAATGGATTAATACTGCTAAACATTTCACCATTAGTCTTAATGTTGTCTGTCAATAACTTTTCTTTTAACATAGTCATGGGGACCTCTTCAGAAGATTTAATGATTTTCTCTGTATTTCTAAATAATACTCATAGATTATACAATTTTCGAGTATCTACTCTAGCATCAAATTTATAAGGGATGTACTTATGAACTTATTTTTCAATCAACTCATTCAAACTTAGATTTCTAGGGTCCTGAGTCTTCTCATGTAATTTAAACTTTTTATTTTCCAGATCTTAGATCTATTATTCGAGTTGCTAAAATCCATATTTATTAATGAGACTACCTCTTTTTTTGTTATTGTCTATCTTATTAATTTGCGAGCCCTTCTATCCTTCAAGTATTCATCCAAATTTGGGATGGCTTAATTATGAAGAAATCTAGCAGGACTCTCCGATACATATCGATTATTCGAATAGTTTCTTCTTATTGGTGAAGTACCAACCAAGAAACTTGATAATTAATTCTCCTCCTACTCATTCTAAGGGTACAGAGTTCCAAATGACAACTAATTTGTGTTGTTTTTGATTCTCTTAACTTCTTGATCCTATAACTGTAAATAACCTTTGAGATGTTTATAAGCATCAATCTTAGGGAATGCTTTCATCTTTTGTACATAGTTTCTTCTTATTTAATCCAATGAATGATCTTCTTGTCTTTGTTTTTCTCCTTTTTCCTAATTATTCTAAACATCTTTCCCTACATGAAAGGAAGCTGCATGAAGTCTGCGCTTTGATCGGTTTCTCTTTCTTTCTAATTAAGTTTCTTTAATAGTATCAATTGTTGATGCTATCTTGTATGCTTGCCAATAAATTTGAAAGACTTACAACTAATATCAATATTAACTGTGTTCGACCGATTTAATTAATTATCCATTTAATTATTAAAATTATTAATTCTTAATATATTCTATTCTATGATAATGAAAAGATCTTAGAGAAGGTTATCCAAATGTGTTGGTGAAGATATGCAATCAGATTCCTCTAAATAAGAATCTGACTCTGAATTTATTATTACTGAGACTTCAGAATCTGAAAAACTAAAAAGTAAATCTATTTGGAGTCTCAAAGGACTTAGCTTTCAAATAAAAACACTAGTTAAAGATTTAAAAAGCACTAACTACAAGATATTAGCCAATATTCTTATTGAAAAATTGCAAAATGAACTTCAAAAAATGCAAAGTACTGAAAGAAGAAAGGAGATACAAAACTTAAAAAGGAGAGTGTATGATGCTATCAATGTAATGGTAGCCATGGGAGTTCTTGAGAAAGACAAGAAGAAACAAATCTCCTTTCATGAATAAAAAGACAAAGAAGAAGTAAATAAATAAAAAGAGTAAGTTCGAACTAATTTAGAAATATTAAAAGAAAAAAGAAAAAGACTCACTAAAGCAACTCTTACCTATATGATGTATAAAAAACTAATTCAAAGAAATTAATAAATGAAAATGGAACCTGAATCCAAACTAGAAACTCCAGTCTTTGCCTTTTCAGTATAACTATTTGATAATGACCTATGTATGCAACAAAAAAATGGGAAAAAAATAATTATCAAATCGTAATAGCCTATCTATATTTACTCTGAATTAGAAGTCTTACAAAAGCTATAACTAAAATGAAGTATAAATTAATATTAAATTATTCCAAACAAATATTATATCATTCCTTTTAACTATCTAAATAGATTTATAATAACTATGTAATCATTTAAATGATTCACTTAATTAATATCCTTTGAACTTAAGAAATCAGTTCAATTTATATTTATTATCCTCATATATCAATTCACATATTATATTCTGTAATGTCTATTAAATTTTAGTTAAACAATATATATCTTATAATAAAGTATTCATCTTTTGTATTCATTGATAAATGTTTTGTAAATTAGTAATTATTATTTTAATAAAAATAAATGAGTGAACCATCCAACTTTTTTGTAGGAAAGTACAACTTCTCTAGAAGAGTCTTAAATCACAGAGTACCTATAGATTTTGATCATGGAATCACTCAAAACCCATTTGATTTCGTTTGGAGATCTTCATTCAGAAATCTACTTGTTTCTAAGTATTAATCTAATAGATTTTCTTTCTAGTTTGATTCGAAATATGTCAATGTGGTATTGTGGTGCAGCCTTTGTTGTTGGAATTGCAATCAATGAATTTTAATATTATAGAAGATAAGGACATGCATTCACTACTCCTAAGTATGATCATTACTAATTAGAACACAACCCTATTTAAATTATGTCACTAACAGCAGAAACAAAGTTGCTAATTTAGGTAGATGGAATGGCAATTTTGCTTGTTGGGAAAATGAACCATTATGTGGTAGAGATTTTGAATGAGAAATCTAAAATATACATTATCAGATATATAAAAATCATTCTAACAATTACAACTCGAGATTTTTGATTGTATCCTCATTCTTTGATTAGCATTTCCTCTATACTTCGTTTATTAAGTGTTATTCTTTGATTTCCTCAATTATTGCTATTAATAATTATGATGATTCATTAATGTTGTTTGTTGTTTTGCTTATAATTTCTTACAATTCATTATACTCTTCAAAGAAATGCTTATGTTTTGTATTTATAAGATTGCACTTTTTTATGCATTCTTCTATTTATTTATTCATCAATTGAATGTCAATCACTACGTCTCCAAGTAATACTTATTATGCTTATTAACTAATGAATTCGTTTAAATAAATTAAATATTCTACTAAAATTTTGATATTCGAATATAATAATCTTATTTCTGATGACTCTAACTTTAATATGTCTTCTAAGCAATTAATTACATTTAAAGTCAAAATTTCTTGCATCCTCATATAATTTTAATCTTTCAAATTCAAAATTTATTTTACTCTATTCAAAATGTGATTCTATGAAAATTGTCTAATTAATATAGTACATGAATATTTAGTTTCTATTCTTGATCATTTTGTTTTATTAAACTATTCAAAAATTAAACTTGATGATATAGGCATCGATAATTTTCAAAAATTTATAATTCATTCATTTTGAATTTATATTATTATTATTCACTAAAACAATTAACTTATGTTTAAATTCACTAATATTATTAATGAATGGCAATAAGTTTTATTTCTGTAGCTATTTTTAAATATTTTCAATTAATTTTTGTTTTTCCTCTTTTAATTAGATGTAAATATGTGAAGGAACTTTTAATTAAAAAAGTTCTAAGACTTCTTGTGTATATTATCTTTCAAAAGCCTTTACCAATATTCATAAAGTTCTTTGATTTATGAAAACTTAGGTCCAAAGGTTTTGATATATTCCTCTAACTCTAAAATCTTTTATTTCAACTCTTATTCTTTTAATCTTTCTTTTGGCATTCCACTTAATCTTATTTCCTAATATTAATTTAGTAAATTAATAATACAATTTAATCAATCACTTTGTCTTTTACTAAAAAATAGCGATTTGGCATGGAAGTAATGCCAAACCAGAACAATTGTTAAGAATAGATCTTAGAGTTATTAATTATAAGGAATGCTTTTCATCATTTCAAAAGTGTTCAACTTATCTTTATATAATTATATGAGGATGATATTAATATTGTTATTTAATGTATTAATATTGAGATTTATTAAATATTGATAATAAATAAATAGAATATAATAATATTATTAATCATTAATCTTCTTAAATATGTTATGTGGGTGTTTATTAGGATTTATTATTGGACAGTTACAATTCGTAGACTTCGACTTCATTTTAATCAGAATTAGATGTATTCTTATGATTAAGACAAATTCAATACAAACAATTGCTATTCATTTGAATTATACCAAAAAGTTTTTATAGCCAAAAAATAAGGTAAAAAGAAATCAAAAAACTTTATTGTCGTTCCTATTAATGCATTTAGACAATTATTCCAAATCGCGTTACTTAACTTTTTAATAAATAATGAATTACATTGACATACCAACAGGTGAAATAACCTACATTATCTTTGTACTTAGCATTCTTAGAGACAAAATAGACATTCTACATGAAATTGGCAAATGAACCAAAAAAACAGAAGATCACTAGAATCCATAAGGATGATTAATTCTTTTGAATCTACTCCTTCAATTTCATCATCGGATCATCAAATTTTTAGGCTCTCAAATTTTTATTGACTTATCTTGACAATTATTTAACTTACAAAATGAAAAGACCTTGCATAAAGAATCCAACTGTTGTAACTACATTGAAAAAGCTGGCTAAATTATATTAATTTTATATACCTGAACATAAATCGTATTCATTATTGTCACTAACAATAAAAAAGTATTAAACATAATTCATTATGAAGATTATTGTAAAAAAGGAACATAATCCTATGCAAAACAATTTGGACAATTTTAGTTAAATAATAGGATCAATATCCTAAGATGAAACATCCATTCTCATATTCAGCATTCCCAAAATAATTGATTTTCTACCGAAGTAATAGATGGTATAACAATAAAAGATGTATTAGAAGTAATACTCTGGAAAATATAGTAAGGCACTTTCATATGACCATTGATATGATAAATATGCTGAATATAGCTAAATTTATTACCACACATATTTATAACCATGATTGTAACTATAATCTATTTACGATTGAATCGAGTGATATCCTTATGTTTTTAATATCTTTTGAATAAAACAATTAATCCTGAAATCAGGATAATCCAAGCCCAAGTTATTTCTAATATATTTCTATTTCTAAAAATAATCATATACGTGTAACAGTACAAGTTTTTAGCTCCCCCTTAGGATTCATTTTAAAAACAAGTAACTAAATAATATATTCCAGGTTATTTGTTAATATGTGACATTTTATATAGAAATTATTAAAAAATCAAAGTGTTAATGCTTCATCAATCATTCAATATAACTTATATATTTGTTATCTTAAATGTCATCTAAGAAAATTGAACGATTAACGATCATGAATCCAGTTTCAAAAGGTAAGTACGAATTAAATCTCTTGGGGTCATTGAATTCTTAAACATTTGGATTGATTATATTTTTATATATATCAAAATTTAATTTTTATATTGGTCAAATTCTAAAAATTTTCAAAATAATTATCTCCCTTCCCTATCAAGTGGCAATTCTTATATTCTGAGAAAAAGTAAGATTAGCTTGGTTAATGTGGAGTAACCAATTTAAGTCTTTGATTTTTACTTTTAACTGGCTGTTTAGAGTAGGGATTTTGATCATAAATAATTTAAAAATAATTAAATAATGAATGAAGTAGAAATCTCAAGCAAAAATGATACAGAAATTCTAAGAATTATAAACGATTACATTAAACAAGGTTATCAAGTGTTTCTTCAGAAAAGATGCACTGACAAATTTCTTATGTAAACAGAATATATCGTATAATTTACTTATAATTCAAGACTCCCGGAGTATTAGATATTGACAACTCTCAAGTAGTGATTCAAAATACTCTGGAAGAGGAGGAGTAACAAAAAGTGAGTGAGATTAGTAAAATTGAGAATAAACAATTTGAATAATCCAGAGATTGCAGTATTAATGATTAATGCGAAAAGTTGGCGGAGACTATTCAAAAATAGCATTGCTTATTTTCTAGAGATTCTCTAGTTTTCATTCCCAGACAAACAATTACTGATTTCAATAAAATCTTAAGTCCCCAAGTCAAGGAATAGAATGACGAAACACTAATGAACCTATACCAAATGTTGCAAAAAGGTATAGCAAATGAATAGGAAGGATAAGTCGAATTGGCTATTGTATCAATATATTCAAAATATTTATATAGAAATAATTTACAGAACTCATTTAGGAGATAGAATAAATGGTTGAGGATCTTCAAACTAGTAATCTACTTAATGTAATTTACGTAGAAGCACTCCTAATATTAGGGTTGCTTTAATCTAGAATAAGTCAATATCAACAAGGAAAAAAGTTAACATTTAATCATATAATTTCAGGAACTTTGAAAAATGCCTAAGATTATTCATCATTAAGGATCAAATCTTATTAGCCAAAATCTACTTGAGAGTGGGTCAGAATTGCCAACAATTGTTTAGTTATCAAAAAGCTATTGATTATTATGTGTAGGCACTGGTAATCTATGAAATCTATCAATTAAAAATTGAAATCTCCTTGACAATATCCTATATTGGGATAGTTTATGCTCATCTGGGTAATCATGATTTAGCTATTAAATTGGGAATGAAGGCGATTGAAGAAATCAAAAAGATTATCAAATAAGATTCCTTCATTATGGGTCAATTATACCATGCGGTTGGAGAAATACACTATTTCAATCATGACTTTGAAGATGCCATTGAGTATTTCGATGCTGCTTATGACATTAAGATTCAATATCCAAAAGAAAGACTCTCCTAAATCTTAACCATTAATTATTTGGGCAGTAGTTGCTATCATTTGGGAGAGTATAAAAAAGCATAGGAGTTATACGAAATATCGTTGAGTTAGATTACAGAGAAATCAACTTTGATTGAAGCACAAATTCTGAATAATCTAGCGATGACCAAAATTGCATAGAATATAAATGCCAAAAATGATTTAGATAGGGCTATCTCCATTTACTTAATTTATTTCTCTGAAACTCACCCATCTGTAAGAAGAGCTTTGAGAAATCTTAAGCTTTAAAAATGATTAGATATTATATATATACTTTTAATAATAAGTCTCAAATCTAAACATTTATAATAAAGAAATCATTAATTTAAATTATCAATTTGTATAAGAGATTAATACTATTATGATAATTTAAATTTTAAATGATATAATAAATTAATTATATCATTTTCTGATAATATAAAATGGTTTAATCATTCTCTTAGCAATCCAATATAAGATCTCTCATATTATCTTTGTGAAATTATTCTACTTGATGTTTTAATTACTTTTGGTATTTCAGTAATATTATCTGTAATTCTTTATTTAGGAATTTCTCTATAAACATCAACTGGATCTGAATAAGATGGTACTTCTTTGTAAATTGGAACATTTTAATAAATAGTAACATCTCGAAAGGCAATCATGATATACTGGTATTATCATTATAGACTGAGATGTCCTTGTAAATATTGACTGTTTTTTCTACTGGAATTTCCTTATAGACTGGTACTTTCTTACTTACAGTGACTTCTTTGTCTTATGGGATTTTGATTTGATTTCAGTTGGTTATTTATTTCTTTAATCACCTCTTTAACCACTTCATAATTAAAAATCTATGTTTTATAGTAATTAGATAGATTGAAGCTTAAGAGCTTGGAGCATAGCAATAATTTCAGTCTTATCTTTAGGCTTATCTACTTCTGAAACACTTATATTATATTCTAAGATTTATTAAGGTTTCCCTTAACTGTAATTTTTCTTATTAATAATTCTAAATGAGTCAATTCTTTTTTAATATTCATTTTAGGTGACTCCACTCACTTTATATTCCTACATACAGTTTCTTACACTTGAAAATGTTCTTATATTACACTGATACATTTTTTCTTCTTGGTTTTTGAATTCCTTTTTGGAATTGGTTGATCTTCCACGATCACATATGGTTAATAGGTTATCGGAAACGATTAGTGCTAGTTCATGCATATTGGATGACAATCAATTTAATGAACATGTGAAGAAGGTTATATTGTTTCGATAACTCTATCTACTACTATTTTACCAGACTGTGTTGCTTATTTACTTTATGGTATGGCTAATTTAAAAACTTATCTCAATTCCTCTTTGCCTAAAAGACGAAATCGTATTGAATTTGAGACATATTATTAATTAAATAAGAACAATAAATTTTATTAATTTTTAAATACTTTAAATCTCAGTTATTCACGTGACTATGATCAGTAATAATAAGATTCTAGATAATTCATAATTTTAATTTTCTTCTCTTAAAATACAGATGAGTGAATAAATAAATAGAAAATTAATTATCATTTTTTTACTCTAATAACTCTGTGTTTTACCTTCATAATGTCTATCAATTTCAAAATATCTTTCTTGTTACTCTAATAAAAATTAGTTGCCTATGTTCTATTAGTTTCACAAAAAGGTTTGAATTGTGTTTAACAATTAAATTGAGATAAAGATGATTCGGAATTGCACTTTACGTGTCTCTTTTTGTTTCCTTTAGCAAAAGCATTATTCACAATATTTAATGGTTTCAATACGATTTCTTTTTTAGGTTATACATCCTTTAACATCTTTTGCATATAGATAGATATCTTGTTTTATCTTGGTCCCTTCTAGAAAGGTTGGAAGGGATGAATAGACACTGTTTCTTCTAATTGTTCATCATGACTAAGAATGTATTATTTATTGTACTCACCTTTATGGTATTTTAATTGATTATTAAACTGGTAATAACTGCATTTATTATGCAAGAGCAGGTCTTCGTACAGTTAGGTTTCGAACTGCTTTAAGGAGATGCATTTTCTTTTTCATTCTTTTAATTGCTTCCATTTTGTACATCAGAATGAAAATGATGGCATTTCCTACAGCTTTAAATTTCCTGAAGATTCTTCTTTTCTTTTGATTTCTGAAAACATATATGATTCAATACCTTGTTTCTTTTAGAGGTAATTCTCTATGTACTTTCAAGGAGAATCCAATTAATTATCCACATTCTGAGCAATCACAGCTTAGATTGCATTTGTTTAAATCATTCTGTGGTTCATCCCTATTATGAAATAAGATGGTTCTTCCTTTCTTGAAGTTTGAAGTATGTGTATAATCTATGGCTTTGACATGCTTTAATTCATAATAATCAGAGGCGAACACTGATCTTTCAGACATATAAATAATCAAATAAAAAATTGATGAAAGTTGATATGTTTAATCTACATATAATATCGTAAATTGATTGTTAAGTTAAATCTCACTTTAATACATATTCAATATAACCTCCCTCGTATCATATATTCAACCTTTTAGAGTGAATTGGTATTATAATAATATAATTTAAGAAAACAGAAACCATGTTCACTACAAAGTAGAGTGAAAATTAGATAGAAAAATTGTGTTTTTAATTGAATATCTGGTTATTTAAGATCTATTTCAAATTTAGGCTGCAATATTTTGGTTGTAGTTCATTTATTATATTTAGTAAAAATCCTATAGTTTAGAGAATACTTCCTACAATTTAGATTCAACAATAATCATCTAATGATTGAAGTTAAATTAAAGTAAATATAAGCTGCCTTCAAGTTTAATAGAAAATCTTTTATTAAATTAAATGCGTTAATGTTGTTATATATATTAATGTAAAAAGCATTTAATATTCCACAGTAATAAATTGTATCAAACTCGAACCAAACTTCTACAAATAGATCTTAACGATCTCACTCTCCAAATCAGAGGATCGTATCAAATTTCAGAGATTCAAGTCGCGATTAATGCAGTTAGATATCAAATTAGTAAATTGGAGAAATAGAAATGCTTAAACAGAAAGTGAAATTGTTATAAAATGAAAATGAAAGATTACGAAATTAATTAGATTAAGCAAATTAGAAAATCAAATAATTCTAGAATATAGAACATGGATAGATAAATTAGAGTATATTCAAGACAACCATGTTCGAATTAGTAGTATTGTAAAAAGTTGTTGAATAATTGCAATAGATGAAATTGGCATTCTTAAAATAATAGCAATAAAATGAGTAGAATAAGCTATCCCAAAAAGAATTGGAGAGATATAATTAAGAAGGAACTCTAATAGTTATTAGTGAGTTGAGAAGCAAACTATCAATTGAGAAATTGGATATTGAAAAGGAGAGTTCTAATTATGAGGTATCAATTAGTAATTACAAAGTAGGATAAGAGATAATAATTTGAACAAGGAGGAAGATGCGAAGCAAGAAGGAAGGCAGAAACATCGGATCCAAGTGATTTTAGATAATAGAACAGTTCTATAAGCTTTATTTAATCGAAAGGGTGTGGAAGTAATGCTTATAGGAGTGGGAAGTGAGATGGATTAATTAGTTTTGATAGGAATTTGTATATATTTGTATGAAATAAGGAAATTATTTAAATCATTTAATTAAAAAATTAGATAAGCTCATATTATGGATTCAACTAAGGATAGAGTAGAAGGTACAAGAGCCACAGTTATCGAAATCATTGGAAGAACAGGTAGAAATTATAAATATTGAATGCAGGTTCTAGAGGTGGAATTACATAAGTTAAGGTTCAATTGGTTGGCTAATAAAGAACATTGATTAGAAACGTAATGGGACCAGTCAGAAAAGGTGACACATTGGAACTTATGGAATGTGAAAGAGAAGCCAGAAGATTAAGATGATCTAAAGTACATTAAATATACAATTTGCCACATATTTAATTATTTTCTTTATGAAATTAACATTGATTACACTCTGCCTTTTAGTTGCATCATTCGCACAAGATCTCTATTTTGTGAGTGATCCTGAAGCATTGTGTTTGGACGGTTCGCTAGGAGTACTACGATTAAATATTTAAGTCTTATTATTTTGCTGAAGGGTACGGATCTGGATCAGACAATTACATATTTCATTTTACTGGAGGAGCGTATGACTCTGTATATATCAAAATAGTTGGATTCAAGGATTTAACGAATAGTAGTTGTTGAACTCAGCCTATAAAAGGTATGATCTATATAGATTATGATCTGAGACATAATTGGGGAGCTCGAAATACAATGACCCGAAGATCACTTATGATGGGTTCTTCTCTAGATCACAATCTTCCAATCCAGATTTCTACAATTGGAATATCATCAACATCAATTACTGTGATGGCACAGGTAAATCTTCGAGAATTTTCTTTAGGTCATTAAGGTTACAGGAAGGATGCTTCAGTCTACAATGGCAAGAAATTGTATTTCAGAGGAGATAGAATAGTGAGATCCATTATTAACGAATTCTATGAAAGAATGGTTAGAGGTTCCACAGTGATTGTCTCAGGGTGTTCAGCAGGAGGATTGGCGGCATATTACTGGGTAGATTATTTTAGAGGTGTTTTGCCTTTGAATGTGAAAGTATTGGGAGTCCCTGATTCTGGAATCTTTATTGATATGAAGTCCTTTGATGGAACTGAAGGGTTCAAATTGTCATTGTTTGAATTGTTGAAATTGGTTAACCAAGAAGTCAGCAATCCAAATACTGAATGTGTGTAGAGCAATCCAAATGAACTTTGGAAATGCTTCTATGCTCAATATTTACTTAGGTATGAACGTTGTCAATTCAAATTTCAAGATATGTAAATGTCCCCATCTTCATTGTCAATTCCTTATATGATTCTGCCAGTATCGAAGGTCTTTTAAAAATATCCTGTGCTTCTGGGAATTCTCTATCAGATTGTTCTTAGAAAGAAAGGAAGTATATTGAAGAATTGCATACGAACATACAGACTGTAGTGTCAGGAAGAAAGTCGATCTTCAGAGACTCAGGTTCTTTTGCACCAGCCTGTCTAGAACATTGGTATGTCATTAGAATCTACATTAGTTTCTTATAAACATCATATTATCAATCAAGTTCATGGTAAGTCCCAGCAAAATCCGGGTTTACTATTCAAAAGAGTCTGAGATAGTGGTTAGTACAATTCAATGTTGGAAATCTAGATAATCATATAGATTCAGTAGATTGGCCTAGTAACTAAGCTTGTTCGAATGCCTGAATAAGAAGTTATTATATTCATCAATATAAATGCAAGATATTTTTAATTGGATTTTCAAATACTTTTTGTTTTAATTAATTTATGTCTCTTTCAGCTTTAAGAGCAACAGTTTCATTCTTAACATTAAACTCCCTACTCCAAATATATGAGAATCAACCTATGGAATTTTGGGATTCCAACTAAATGATATCACATCCAAAATTAACTCCCATTTTCTAATCAAACCAAGTAAATATATCATCTAATTCCAGTATTTGAATTTGCTTGCTGCCTTTTTTACACTCACATTTATTGATACTTCAAATAAGCTTCAACTTACTAATTCAATTGCAGTTTCCACATCCGTTATCATCTAAAATTTAAAGTATTTTCACTTATCTATTCCTTAGTCTCTTTTTACCCAAAACTTTCAATATGATATCTATCTACTTGCAATTGATAGTCCTAACATACTAACTCTTTAGGTTGTTTTCATCATATTATGAAAAATTGCAATTCGATAAAATACCTCAACCTCATTCCTCATTTCAATGTTAAGAAAGCATTAAAGAATTAAAAATAATCAAAAAGTAAACCTAGAAAAAGCAAATCTCTCATAAAAAGAAAGAAAAAGTACAACAAAAACAAATACAGTCATCTCAAGAACCCCAAATTGAAAAGGTTGAATAATCAGATAACACAGAAGTGGAATCTATTGAAAACGATTTCACAGAATTTATGAAGCAACCATCTAATGATTAAACTATCACAGAAATAGAAACAGATAATTTGTATGAAGTTAATCATGCAGATTTATCTCAAATTTCATAAGTTAAAGAAGATTCAAGTATTTATCTATGTAATTATCCTAGAATTGACATTTCAACTTAAATTCAATGGAGAATTCACTAATTTAAATTGTACTTTTGAAACATTTGATTCAACCTTGAACATTTTAAATTCATCATACACCTCAGAACAAATCAAATAAATTAAAATACATTTGTTGCTAAATCTCTATGATGAAAATGAAGACTGTTCTTGTAGACTCTGGTGTCTAAAGAAACTCTTATCATATAACTGATGTTATAACTACCTAAAATTTGCTTTGTGTGTGATTTATAATGTAATTTCATTAAATTATTTATTTTTATTTCAATAACACTGGAATTAATTTGACTTTATGTATAGGTTCCAATATGTTTATGTTCTTAAACAAAGTATGAAGGAGGGAAAACACAAGAAATTGTAAATATCCTTCAAATATCTCAACTACTACAATTTCATAATAGTTCATATCATGAAAACCATCTTGAATTCCTTGAATTAAAAGAAATCTAATTTGATGTTTTCTCTTATTAATATAACTTCATATCTAAACAAATAAGGCAAATCATATGATGAAAAATGGTGGACATAAAATAGATCCTGAAATTGAGGTATCTAATGGCAAGAACTTAAAATAAAACAAAAATATTACAATATGTTGTGTCATTTGCAATTATTAAAGAATAAGAATATGTCCATTCAAATTGCATTAATTCTATCAGGTAGAGTTACAAAGAAGAATTAGTTGAAATTGCAATTCCAAGATACAAATATTAAAAGAAAAATTAAATGGTTAATGATAAAATTTGTCTATAAAATAAAAGTGTTTAACTATCAAATCCTTCCATCTCTTCTCTAAATATCATATATTCCAACTCTAGTTTCAATCTAACTCTTAGGACTTTACACTAAATTATAAGTGAATATAAATACATTTTTAGAATCCTTAATCTTGAGATTGTTTCCTCTAAAATTCTGTTGCACCATTTCCTAATGACTTAGGCATAAGTTTGGATCTAACGTAACCTTAATATTCCTCCTTATCTTAAACAGCAGTTCTTTGATAACCCATCTTACTGTTTGTAAAACTAGCCACTCTTTCTCCCATTCCTAACCTATTGAAACTTCTCTCCCTATCATATTATCTGTTCATTGGTTGTCCTCCTCTTAACATATTTTCTGCAGCTTAATTACCGATAATATTTCTATTAGTTCCTCTCTCTAACCCCAATCTATCAATTACTGATGTGTCTTAATGATAACTCAATCTCTACTCTTAATCATTATAATCCCTTCTGTAATACCTTTCTCCTGGTTACTATCCTACTCCATTAGGCCTTCCAAAACTAGTTTCTGGTCTCACTCTTCCATCAAACTCTTTCCTCTTTCCAAATTCTGCCATTTTATCATCTATATCTGATCTACCATAAGTGGTTCTTCTGTCAAATTCTTCTCTCTGTTTTCCAGTCTCAGGCCTACCTAAATCCTTTCTACCAATTGTGTCTTATTATTATGGATACTTTTATTCAAAGTACTTATCACCAAACTTATCATCATATCCTCTCTAAAATTAATTTCTACTCTCAATTGGAACTCGTTATTCAATATTTCCTCTTTCCTCAAAAGGTCTACCTTATATTGGAGGTCTTGTACAAAACTATTCTCTTCTTCCTTCTAATCCAGGTCTTCCTTCAAAAATCGTTGTTCCTTAATATCTATCCTCTCCATATGTTCTATTAAATCCTGCTCTGCCATCCATTTAATATTGCTTTCCTTCCAATAATCCTGGTCTTCCTTCAACAGCATCTCTATTTTCGGCTCGTCCATCCAACATAGCTCTACCATCTGAGTATTTTCGATAATTCATCCCTTGTTTCTCATCTTATACTCCACCTGGACCGTAGGCAGGTCTATCTTCAAATTACACTCTTTATGCCTGTACACCTTCTACTCCTTACCTTATTCCTTATTATTAAAATCTTTCATTATTATATCCTTATTAACGATATCTAAAATCAGGAGGCAATCTTTAATCAGCATCGAATCTCCCTTCTGGTCCAAATCTTGCTTAATAAGGAGATTTTCCTTCAATATCAGGTCTTCTATCAAATTCTGGTCTTTCAGGTCTTCTTTCAAATTCAGGTCTATCGGGTCTTCTATCAAATTCAGGTCTATCAGGTCTTCTTTCAAATTCAGGGCGATCTAGTCTTTTTTCAAAATCAGGTCGATCTGGTCTTCTCTCGAAATCTGATCTTCTTTCAAAATCATTTTGGACAGGTCTTCTTTCAAAATCAGGATGATCCGGTCTTTTTTCTATTTCCACACGATCTGGTCTTCTTTCAATAGGTGGCCTCTAATCCAAGAATTAGGGTCTAGTTTCATATGGATTTAGATTTCTCCTCTCATCATAAGGATTAGCCATTCTTCTTTGTTCATCCAAAGGAGGTCTGGCTTCATAAAATTATTATTTTCCACCTTCAACATAATGATTTTAAAGATTTGGTTATTAATAAGATCTTCCTTGCAATTGCATTTAATCATCAAACCCTCTCCTTTCAATCATTCTTCCTTCAATTGGAGTTTTGGATCCTTCTTAATATTTTCTAACCTAATTTTATGATCTTTAAGAATATTCTTGGGATTTTGAAGTATTATTTCTTTATTCATGCTAGGCCATTTCAACTCCACCTCTTTCCATATATTCTCTTCTTTCTAATGGTCTCTTATCTTATTCTAAAAAGTCTTGATTATCAGATTTTCTCACATAATCAGATGCTCTAATCATTCTGTCCATTCTTTCAGGTTATTCTTATTATCCTCCCAATGTCCTAATCCTCTCCTAATCATATCTCATCCTATCTCCTTGTTGATCTACTGGTTTCTATTGCATTTCAAATGAATTGATCTGTCTGGGTGGAATACGAGAATCTTAAACCGGGTACATTCTTTTATATTCAGGTAATTGAAATTCCCGTTTGTAATCAGATTATTAAACATCTCGACGATATAAATCTTACCTTGATTGTGGAGTATAAGCACTCATATTTGCTCTTGGATCAAGAGGAGTTCTGGCCCCAACAGGATCTCTTTTTTGGTTTTCAAGATTCACATATGGACTAGCTATCTCTCTTTCGTTAACTTATCGTAATTCCTATTTAAAATTTGCCTAATCTAAAGGCTTTCTTAGATCTCCTTCTTAATATGAGCGAATGAATGGTTTGCCTTGCTCAGGATTATTGTATAATGATTGCTTTAGGTATGGGTTATTGTTGGATGTCATTTTTTATTGCTCTCCTGTTTGACGATTCTATTCAAACTAGTTTGATGAATAAGGAGCTTGTCTTTCATAACCCTTGAGTGAATAAGTGCTATTGTTTTAATCCAAAGGATTTGAATTTTCTTTCTTCAAATTTATATCAGTTTGAGGTGATATCATTTTCCTGGTTTAATAATCTAGTTATTTAGTGACTTTCTCATTAGATCTTAATCCTCTTTCCTCCATTATTCTTTTTGAATATAACTTTTATTAATCTGTTAAATTAAAAATTGCTGTTAATAAGTATATATTCAATGCTATTATTATGTTGTTAGTATATTTATTTCTTTTAAAATTTTAAGAAACCTAAAATATCATTGACCTATAGAGTTAATCGAACTTATTCTAGAAAATGAAGATTTATTGTTATATCATATACTTTTTTTTAAACCCTTCTAAATTTTCTAGTCATAATTGAAACTCTACGAAACGGATGAGGAATTTATAGATCAATTGTTAAACAAGTAGATGATAAAAAAATCTATGATATTCCTTTAAAATTAGAGGTAAAGAGGTTGTCAAATATCATTTAGGCAACATGTATCACCCAAAAAAATTAAGAAGTAAAAAACAAATTTTTATTCATCAAAAGATATAAATTAATAACGTTAAAGAGTTGATAAAGAAATGAACTCCTAAGGGATTTTATATGAAATTTAAACTTAAATATTATAAAAACTTATGGGAATCTTTTGAAAAACAATTACTTAAATAAATAAAAAATGAAGATATTCATTTTTATTTGTAATTTTAATAACATCTAAATTCTCAAAGAAAGTGAATATGTAGATATTCTATTAGAAAACCATCTATATCAAATAATCCCTACATAGGTTTCAGTTTATAATTAGTTACTCTACATGTTGAAATAATGAATTTGACAACGAAATTAAAATATTAGTAATAAAATAAGAAGAAAATGATAAGTATCATCTTAAACATATAAGAGTTTATTTTTTGAATATTTTATATTATAAAATATGAATCAAAATTAAAGGAAATTCGTTAGATGTTTCAATTGTCAAATAAAGCCTGCTACTATAAAATGCTTTGATTGCAATGAAAATGAGCCTACTAAATTATGTTATCACTGCGATTCTACTTTACATCCAGATCAAGACCATCAAAAACAGATTATACCTTATGATTAAATGGTATCAAATGAAGAGAGAACTCATTCTATTACTCCAGAGAAGTAATAGGATGTCACACCTCATTTAAGTTCAATCTTGAGGTCCAGAATCAGAAAAAACGAGGAGAATACTAATTTTACAAATAATGAAGAAATTTTAAATAAGAACCAACTTAAATCAGTAGAGTTAAAATTTAGAATCAAGTTTCAGGAGCAGGAAAACACAATTAATTTATTGAAATAGCATATTGAAAATATAGAGAGCAAACACAAAGAGAATTTGTCAAAAATGAGAGATCAATTAATTAAAGCATAAGATGAAGCATTAAAAAAATAAGAAGAAACAGCCAACGAATTGATTAAAGTAAAGAAATAATATGAGGATAAAATTGCATAATACGTATCATAAATTGAAAGCGAGACCTAGTTTAATAATTCTCTATAAACAAAATTAGATGAATTAAGGTAATTATATACATCATACCCTAGAAACACTCACTAAATAAAACAATAGGAATCTTAACAAATTATTGCCTAATTGAGAGCTGAAATAGAAAGGAGAAAGTTTTAGGAAGAACAAATAAGAATAGAGGCAGAGAATTAGGTGATCCAAATTAAGAAAGAATCTCAATAAGAAATAGAAAAAAGTATATCTCTTCTCAAAAATGATTGCTCAACCTAAGTTGAAGAATATAAATAAAAATTAACAGGTAAACAAGAGCAAGTTGTATCTCTATAATCTTAAATTTAACAATTATAAGGTACTTTAAAAGATATCGAAGGAGTCTGGTAGAAGAAACTACAATTTGAATAATAATAATATGATGAATTAAGGTAATAGTTGTTTCTAATTATAGATAAAAGTACAATTAATAAGGAGAAGAGTGCGAAATACTATTGAAAGATGTTAGAAATCTGTAATCAGAGATAATGATATATCAAAAGGAAAATGAACTATTTCAAAAAGAGAAATTGGGTTTAACTAAACAGTTGAATTAACAATTAGAAAAAAATGAGAAAATGGATAGATTTATCTATGGTTCAAGAAAATCATAGATAAAAATAAAAATATGAATATATATATTTAACTTTAAAATAAAATTATTTCTATTATTAATAAAATAATCTTTGAGCTGATTAAGTTAAGATTATTAATTATTTTTGATTTAAGTGTGATTATTATAGTATTTAAATTTCACTTTAAAAAATCAACAATTTATAAAATTAACTCATTTAAAATGTAACTCATAATTATCATATTTTTTAATTGTAAATCTTCTTTTTCATAATTGGTATGGGTATCTTTGATAATTTTATTATTCAACATAATTATATAAGAATTTCGCAAATATAATATATGATTTAAATTCTATTGATTAGATTATAAATTAGAATACTTATCCTTATCTTTCAAATTATTATGACAAACATTATTCTACAAAATTCTCTAATATTAATTTTAATTCTTTATCATTTTTTTTCTGTTAAGATTAACAGTTTATTTAGTTGTTAAATAAGAATGGAATATCTCTATTATTAAATTAGTTCTCCTCAGCATTTTCCATTATTCATTAATAGTTAATTACTGGGTTCATAATGTATTAATTTATGATTGATATCAATAATTATAATATGTAAGAACACATAGCTCTCACTATTGAATAACTTACTAATCTACTTTCAAGTAGTGAACAAACTTCGAATAGGAATAGTTTAAATTCACTCTCCCAAAAAAGTCAAACTCATTTGAGAAAACATATACCCAAAATTGTCTCTTTTGTTGACATTGATGAATTTCAAGAAACCTCAATTTCAAGTGGATTCCAAAATTCTGAAAATCAGTCCATAATTGATAAACTCTAAGAGTTGGAGGATGAAAATAAGAAACTAAAAGAAACCTTAAAATTTTATGAAAAAAAGGAATGCAAATGGAAAGATTAAATGAATGACTACTAGTTAGAGCAAATATAATTAAAGCGACAAAATCAAGTGCTGTAAGACAGATTGAAATCTATTATCTAAACAAAAGAATAGATGACAAAATCTAAAAAATAGATTGGATCTTAAAGATGTAATTTTACATCGCCATTCTTTAATTAGAAACCAGACTAAATTAAAATTTCTATCAATCCTAATTTACAAGTGAGAAAACACACAGCTCCAAGTGGTCTTAAGAACTCTTCGCCTCATAGAATGTTTTAAGAGAAAAAGATAGATAAATTAACATGAAGACTTTTCTGATTCATATGTAATTTATCATCATCATTTTATTATTGTCACTTTTAATCTAAATTATATATGGTGTACTAAACACTTTAAATAAACATTTCATTCAAATATTTTAATTTTCTCACATTCTCCTTTACAATTTAATCACAAACAACTATATGGGATCTCAATTCAGTATAATATAATTTTACATTACTTGATTTCCTAAATAAATAAAAAATTTATTATATTTATATTATTATATCAACACATCCTTTGTCCTAGTCTAAATGGGTTCTACACTACTATGTCCTCAACATCAAAAACCAATAACTTAGTTGAATATCACAAAAGGATAAGAAAAAAGAATCTTTTGCACAGATTGTGATACTGAAAACTAAACTCTCATTAGTTTTGAAGAAGCCATGAAATTATGGTAAAATCTCGAAGGCAAAGCTGTCTAAAAATTCTTGAACTTTAAAAATACCAAAGTTCCTCAATTAGATCAATTACTAAGCAAGTTTCAACAATATCGAGAATAAGCATTGAAATTTATCAACTCTCTGATTGAAACTACAGATGATTATCGATTTCAGTTTTAAAAGGCTATAGATAGAGAGATTAATTAAATTAAGGCATTGAAAGAAGATATGGATATTAAAAAATTAAAAGAAATCTCGGAAATATTGAGTGAGAAATTAACTGAAGAAGAAAATGAAAACAATCACGTTGGTAATTTGAATTTAGAGCGAGTTTTAATTAAAGAGAAGGAATTATTCTCGGAATTGAAAAAAAATAGTTTAATGATACATCTAGAAATCAAGAAGCTCATATAACAAAATCAATAAGAAGTCAAAATAAGACCGGTCAATTTTCAACAAATCAACAGTATTAAATAATAATACGATTGTTATGCATTGGCATTCAACAAAGCAGGAAATGTAGTAGTTTCTGGAAGCGGTAAGGATATCATAGTTTGGAAATTTGAATAAGATAAATTGACTCAACTATAAACACTTAGTGGTCATAATTATAATGTAAATTGTCTGACTTTTAGTTAAAATTAACTATTTTTTGTTTCAGGTGCCTGTGATTCACAGATAATGATTTGGAGAGAGTAAGCAAAAAACAATTGGAAATGTGATCAAACTATAAATGAACATGCTAATAGCATTTGCAGTTTAATAATTAGTTAAAATGATGATTTTATATACTCTTGCAGTTTGGATAATTCAATTAAAGTTTGGGTGAAAAATCTAGATAATCAATTTGAATAGTATCAATCCTTGCTGGGACATACTGGGTCTGTTTATAGTATCTCACTAAATTTGAAAGAGACACAGTTGATATCTTCAAGTAGAGATAAATCAATAATAGTTTGGGAGATTGGAGAAGATAAGTTATGGAAGAAATTATAAATAATTTAAAATGACGATTATGGTTATAGAATAGCCTTTATATCTAATGTAGCATTCTTTTGGCAAAGATATGGTAATGGAGTGGCACAGATATATCTATTCGATAAATAATTGTTGAACTATAAGATACTAAAAAGAATTAACATGAAGGAACAATTAACAGACGGATATTACTTATGTCCATCGATATTCCACAAGAAATAACATTTAATTATAAGCAAGCACTCAAAGAATTTTTACATATTAAGAAAGCTTTAAAACAATAGATTTAGTTTACTTTAAACAATTGAATTTCCAAGTAGTACTTTATTTGGAGCAATTTCTGTTAATGCTGACTACTTAATTGTTTGGAACGACAAAACAAAGGATATTTAAATATGGAAGAATTAATGAGATTCATTTTATAATTATTATATCCTAATCATTTTGGATATATTTATTCTCCATTTTTAAATTCATAATCTTAAACATAACCACCTTTTTTTATTATTTTACCTTTTCCATGTCTTTTGCCCATTCTAAATTACCCTTCAAATTGAGAATTATCAGGAAATTTCAAAATGCCTCTTCCTTCTTTTTTTCCATCTTCAAAACCGCCTTAATATGTCTGATATCAACATACCTTCATAGATAGTTCCATCAGTTTCAATGAGAATTCCTTTGCCATGCATTACACCATTTAGTAACTATCCTGAATAGTAGGTACCATCAGAATATCTGAATGTACCTTTTCCTGTAACCAATCCATGTTGATGTTCTCCTTCATAACTCGATCCATCTTGATAATGCAATGATCCTTATCCATGTTTCTTACCATCGAGATAATTTCCAACATAAATAATTTCATTTTCGTGTTTTTCTTATCCTTTACCATGGGGTATTCCATATTAGACTTCCCCATCATATGTTATACCATTTTTGAATACCTTCTCTCCATTGGTTGCAGTGCCAATCTAATATTAGAAATCAATTTGTTTACTTACAAAAAAGTCTCCATTTGAAAATAGAATACCTCCCATTAAAAATTAACCTTAAGCCCAAGTGCCTTCAAAGTAAGTTCTATCTGATTTCATCATCTATCCATAACCATTTTACATGCCCCTACTCCATTGACCCGAATAAATACTACCATCCGATGCTTACATTGGATTAAGTAGTCTATCTTCCTTAGTTAAGGATTTCTTCACTTGTTCCTTGAATTATTTTGGCAACTCAGGAGTTATAAATTTTTAATTATACTCAACCCAATCTTTTGGCGAATCTAATAGTAATTCATTTCTTTTCTCTTCAGCCTCTTACTTGGCTTACTTGACTCTAAAACTATTTTATATTTTTAGTGCTGCCTAATTTTCATCCAATGTTAACTGATTTTGAACTTCATGTACCTTACCATTTGAAGTTGATTGATAATTAATTTCTTGAATTTCTAATTAGTAGTTTACATCAGATTTAGTTTCTAAAGCACAAATGCCCATAGTTATAAGTAAAGAAAATTGTAGATAATTTATTAAAATATATCTAATAATATAAATATTTATTAATAATGTCTGAAAGAACATTAGATTTTGTGGATCAAAGAAACCAAGTTAGAAAACTTGTCACTTGGCCATGGAATTTTGTATTTGGATTGCAAAGTTTCTAGACAGTGCAACATATTTACAACTTTACTGCCAGGACTATATTTGCAGCATCAAGTCTTATTCCATTTTTAAGTAAATTCAATTGTATAATATAATAGCAACATACAACACACATCAATTTGCTTATGCTGAAAACTCAGTCAGATTAACTAGATATCGAAATTATCATGATGATATTATCTGATACATTTGCATATATATACATCCAAAAAGAATCATTATTTACAATATATTAACATAATCATTTCAAATAAAATCTGTATTTTAATTCATCAATCAACAAGAGTGTTTACAAAGTGCTTGATTATAGTACTTTCTTAGTCTCTTATGCTCTTCTCATTAAATAAGGGATCATAATCTCAGTTTTCCCGAAAGGAACATATTTATATATTCTATATCCCTAAGTAAATTTAGAATTAATAATACTTCACTAGCTAACTGATAGGTGACATGATCAGACAATCCATACAATTAGGCGAATAATACATCTATGGAATTGTTTAATAATACAAATACCTCCTTGATTTGGAATAGAATGTCGATGCATTAATTCTTTGACAAATTCAACTGTTTTTTCATTGTGACTGGCCACAAAGACTTTAGTAGGTGATTTACGAATGTTTAGGATCAATTGTTCTAAGTTTCTTTCAATCATAGCAGTAGTAGCCTCATATCCATCATTGATGGGATTTTCTTTAGCCTAATCACTAGCTAATTTGGATTCCTCAACCATGTATGCCCCTCTGACCATTTTAATACCGATGTTCAACTTGAATTTGTTGGCTTTGGCTAATTCAAAGTCTACTCTGTCTTTAGTTTATTTGAGATAATTCTAAAATGTGTTATACACTAAAGTTTAGTTTTGGTTATAATAGGCTTCCATTTATTCTGAAAAACTATCGATTGCCCATTACAAATAGGTTTATTCAGCATCGACCATCACACACACTTTATTTTATAAAGCTGGATCCATGAAATATTTGACTCTCTCTATGAATTATTCAAATAAAAAGAGATGCTTTTCATTTAAATTATTCATGTATTTAATGGCTGGGTTGTTGTTGAGTTCTGTTTCAAACATGAATATGGGTTGAACTCTGTATCTCCATGTTATTTCATCTATTTCTGTTTCTCCCTTATTAAATTTGAGGACTCCCTTTATAAATTATTTTTATTCGTTTTCATTCATATTAATTCCTTACTCCTTAAGATGAGAGAATACCTAATATTATAAAATAATAGTGAACCTATTCAAGTGTTATGATTGATTTGCCCTAACCAATTTTAGAGAACATTTCAAAAATGTTCAATCTTGCTTTGTTGATTTACTTCAGTAAATTCATGTCAATTAAACTAGAAACCTTGATTGCAATCATGTTTTTCTTTTCTGGTTTCTTTGCACACTCCAATACGGTTTGTCTAAATATAGAACTGTTCTCATCGTAAAATTTCTCGCAATCATCTATTCCCTCAACTGCTTCTGAGCAGTAATCAATAATGTAGGAAATTTCTTAATAGAGTTGAATATATTTTTACTATTATTGGATGAGGACAGATATCTTTCCACACTTTCAAGGTTTTCCCCTGCTGTGAACACTTTCCCGATTGTGTGATTGACTAGAAAATTAGCCAATCTTGTTCCACAAATAGCATAAAGCAAATCAAAGAGTTTTGGCCCTTGATCTACAACCCAATCATATTTCAACATGTGATTAATCAATAAATTATTTAAAATTGAAGGTACAGATTTATCTTTGTGAATTCTTAAACTCTAATAATATTGGAGTTAAGAAGAACTCTAATTATAATATCGAGCACTTACATATCTTGTTTAATTGGCCACTGCGAAATTATAGATTACTCTGCTAGAGCTCACGAACTTTTAGCATGAAGGTATCATTTTTATTTACCTCAATAAATTTAATATATGAAAAACGCGATGTCTTCAATAATATTTATATACAACTTATTACGCACTAATCAAATGATATTTATCAAAATTATCTCAATAACCTTGACTTATTTTCTCACTTATATTCACATCAAACATCTAACTACTAACTCTCTATTTTATTATTAATTTATTTTCAAATTAATTCTTCCACATGGAAGTCCTATAAAAAATACTCAAAACCCAGGGAACCAATGTAACTGCCATTGATTTGGAGTTCAAGTATTTTCATCCTTAATCTATCCAGATAAATCTAGAATTTGGAAGAACTCATGCCTCAATTAGCCAACTTTAGTAATTTAAAAGAAGTACTTAATCCCTTTAAGAATTAAGCTCAATCTAAATGGAAATCGTCTCTCTAATTTGCCTGATGATTTGGGATTGCTTGATACCGTCGAATTCTTGTGTCTGACAAACAACATCTTTACCGATGTAGCTTTATTTAATCTTAAATCATATTTAGCTAGGACAAGTAGTGGAAGCTTTATAAACCATGCCCAATCTAATTCAACTTGAAATAAGTCTATCTTCCAAAGAAGAGGAGCAATTCATTATTGAATCCCTTCCAAATCTATAGATTTTGAATTCCTAGAAAATCAATCAGGACTAAGAACCTGTTGATGAAACTTCAGAATAGTAAAGTCAACAACCATCAGAGAGATCCATGAGTGCTCAGTAGGAAATTACCCTTTAATAATACGATCTTGAATAAATGGCAGTACTAATACTAATATATCCCTATCCTAGATATTATATGATAACATTAGAGAGTATAAAAAAGATGAACAAGATGATAAGCTTTTCGATTAATAGATTAGAACTATTATGTTAGATTTATAATCTAAAGTGAAGTAAAATAACCCAGATCATTTAACGAACTTATATATCTTAACAGTATCTATGCATTTTAATATAGGCTAAATATAATTTATATGAAATTTGTTTTAAATCGATTCTTAAGTATTTCAAATCCAATGAAAAGAAGTTAGATTTGATATTTACTAAAATTCACGATATGCATTTGTCAATTTTCAATGATATGAGCAATGTAATATAGAGTGTAAAATCATCTTCCAAAAACACTTCACAATTGCAGATTAACTAAAAACAACTGGATTTATCCTAATAACAGTAACCAGACAAAAGTGTTGAAAATAGACTTCGATAAGAATTGAAAGAATTGTAGCAAATAAATAATGAATTGGAGAATGAAAATAAAAAATATTTAGATTTATTGATAAAGCATTCAAAGGGTGAAAAGGTTTCATTGCCAAATAGCGAAAATACTTAAAAATAAAGTGATGCTTATCAAACATAACATTTCACAAAGAGTTTACAATAACAAAATACCTAGTAGTACAATAATCAAATATTTTCATCAAAACAGTCTTAGTAAGTGAACTCTATACCACAATAAGTAAATGTTAGAAATTTGACTCTTAAATAATTGAAGGATGTCATAAATGAAATTTATGAAAGTAAACAAAAATTTGATTAAAAGTGTTCTGATTCTAAACTACCCAGAGAGACGATGGAATAGCATATGTATACATTTTTAAATCAGAAATACGGACTCAAGAATCTCATTATAGAATGGGCAACTTCTATCATAAATTCTCTTAAGAAATATTCTGCTGATGACAATGACATAGCTGTGTTTGGTAAGATTTTAAGGAATGAGTGTGATGAAGAATTTCGATTTGTCTAAACTCAAGTGAAGAACACTATGCAGGAATTGTTGAAGGTAGTTTGTAATTTGAAGTTAATTTTAGATGTATTTAAGAGGCAAGCACCCGTTGAAACATCAGGCTGAAATTAAAGAGATGCTTAATTAAAGAATCAATGGATAACTATATGAAGAAGAAGCAGTTGACATTATTAAATACATGTACAATTAGGAGGACTCAGAATTATTGTTGGACAAATTGAAGCAATATTATATTGTACCACAAAAACCAAATGATAGAAGACTCACTAGAGAGGAACAATTAATGTTATTACAAGAGAAGGATAGATACAAGTTGGAATATTAGGTTTTCCAGAAAATAATTTTGGATTTCTAACTCAAATCTCATGAAAAGTATTTAAAAAAGTTCATTGTAATTTTCAAAGAAATGGATACGGATCTTAATGGAATAATTGATGAAGTAAGATTTATTCGATTATGATAGAATGAATTCAGAAATTTGATAGATGTTTTGAATTTTGATGCTGAAGACTTAGACATTCAAAGATACTTGAATATCGTTGATCCTTATAGTCATCAATAGATTACATTCTCGTAATGTGTTACGCTGTTTTCATCTGAATCCGTTCCAGGATCGAATGGATAAATGTAAATACTCTAAAGAATTTCAGAATTATGAAATTTTAATAATACATATAATTATATGAATTGATTTAGCAAATTTATAAAATTAATGGTGTGTTTGGGTTTAATAATAAATTAAATGAACCCTTAAATAGATTTTGGAAAGTCAGCCCTTATGCTATCATTATAAGTTGCTGCTCAAGCTAGTTTGTACACGAAATTGTAGATGGAGAGATAACATCTTTTTACAAGCACAGTTATAGATGCAACTGATGATTTTAAATAATTGTGTTTGATTCATTTAAATTTTCTTCGTAATTAGCTCTACAATCCCGGTTTATAGCCAGTGTTGGAGAGTTAAGAAGAATATAATAACAGAAAGTCATCCTTGTATTCACCACTTTTAAAGAATAGACAATTTAAAAGCTTAGAACCTTCGTTGGATATTTATGTATAACCTGTTACTGCTGTTTAAAAAAACAAATATCATCCACCCTAATATTTCAGTGTTCATCAAAGCACCAAGAGTGTTGAGACTCTGTCATAACAACTATCCCAAATAAAGATTGATAAACAATAAGATATTTTGATGAGTGAAAAGATCGACAGAGAACTTGACAATGTGGATCCGTCAATTGAATTATCATAAATCAAAGACGAACACTATTTGAGAGACTATTCTGAAGTGCAATAAGAGTAGAAAAAGAAATAATTCCAAAAGTACAGGAAGTTTGAAAAAAACAATCAATTTTCTTAGGCTAAATCTAATTGGTATGAGGATGCAGATATCTCCTATTAAATAACTTCTCATAGTGATGATTTTTCTGTTGAGAATTCCCATAACTTTTATTGGGATGACGAATAAGAGGATGATGATGATAGTGAAGAGTTTTCAATTATGGATTTTTAAAAACAAATGATTGATATTCAACCTGAAATTATTGAACAACAGAATGAGAATAGTCTGCCATTTCTAATTAAAACATCAGAAAGTTAAATCAAAATTGATCATAACACTCCAAAGAAAAAAAGATTGTATTGTAATAACAAAAAAATACCTGTTTGGGCTTAAGATCTATAGGTATATATGTTTAATAGTATTAATGTATAGGTAGTACAATAAAAATGTGGATAATAGAAGTAAGATCCAGCCCATTTGTTTGGAATACTTAGTCAAAAAGCTGTGGATTAGGCATTTTTATTATCAAATAGCAAATAGGCTGAAAATTCTATGAAATGGAAGAAACAAAAAGAGATTCTGAATAATTAGATTCAAAATTTAAATTCCAAAAGCAAAGAGAGTTATAGAAAATTAAAAAAATATCAGTAGAATGTAATTATGCTATTAATAATTAAAGTCAAGCTAAAAGTTTAATGATTACAGATCGAATTTTCTGTTTGGTTAATAAGTAAGGAAAAACTTCTTAAATTTATTCCCCAAAGATGCCTAAGCAATTACTAAATGAAATTAATAAATTAAAAATGAAGACAATAAATCAAAAGTTAAAGCTTGATCTTACTCTATTAACAGTTGTTTCTTAATTCTCCTTTAAATGGAGATGTTTTCTTTCAGCTTTATGAAATAATTGGCTGACTGGACTTTATTTTTTTTGATTAAATTCTGGTTAATTTTCATCATTAATTTTATTCTTTAGAAAGATTTATAAGAGTTCGATCTAATTAGAAATAGAATTGATCTTTGATTATGGAGTCTATTATTAAACAACCAATTCATTAAAAGCAATGATAAGCAATGTGATATTATCGCTGCTTTTCCGAAGTACAACCTCTTTGAGAACAGAATCAACTGCTGCTGAAATCTACCCATGTAGATTATGAGTATTCTTCTGCGATTCAAGTTCTGACCATATCTTCTTGATCACTTCTTCAGATTTCATCTTATCAAAAATTCCATCACCTAAATTTAAAATTACATATTACATCCCATCACAATAAAATCATTCTCTTGAGTAATACGAAAAATTTGAATGTCTGGCTCTGCAATGACCACATTTTCATTGCCACCAAATTGTCCCAGTTTTGCCTCTATATCCCCAAATGTCCTGGAAACAGATAATCTCCCAGGGAACACTCTATAGGGTCCTACTATTTATATGCCGTTTTCATTTATTAGATGTGTTTAGTATATTTTACCTCCATTTTTTTAAATTCTTTCATATTCTATTTCCGGTTTATGATCAACTGATAATTCCATCGATTTTTTCCCTTTTTCTTGACTTAATATTGCTCTACAATCTCCGACATTTGCCACATAACAATAATCTCCTACCACTAAACTAATTAACGCGCAAGAACCACTTCTCTCTTGCTTTCCCTTTCCATACTATTCCAAGGCTTAAGCAAGAAAATCCTTTTCAGCCATTTGAAATCCTTTTTTAATTGCTGCCACTGGATTCCAGGGGAATTCGCTCTACTTAGTCACATATTAGTGCAAGTTATCCCTTAGGAAATCAGCACAGGTTGATCCTCCATGTCCATCATAAACACCAAAGAAGGCACATTTAGGCCAAGTTTCTTAAGATCTGTGTTGTGGTTTGATGATGTTCAAGATAATGGATACTCTATCCTCATTGTAATTCCTAATGATTCCTTAATTTGTATTTGCTGCATATGCTTTTATTAGACCATTGTTATTTTGAGAACATCTAGTTGGTTCATAATTAGGTAGAACTACATTTCTACTTCTGGTAAGTTATTTTAGATCAACCAAGCTATGATAATTGATTTCTTATTTTTTGAGTCTAATTTATTTCTTTTATGTAGGAGATACATCAAATTGATGTTCTTTTTGCAATGATGTGTTTTCTTTTTACTTTTTAATTGAATTGATATCAAAGATAAGGTTATTGAGAGATGAAAAGTGATTCTTTGATCTGTAGTTCATAATAATTTTAATTTTAATTTGAATTTATAATTTGTATGCAACGTACATTATAATACTATTTAAAATTAGCTGATTGAAGACAATAAAAAAAGGAATTTAAAATTTATATATGTCAATCGATATAATCCGATGCAACAAATGCCACCACTGGTTTTTCGTATCTTAACCCTAAATCTTCTTAGATTATTCCTGCCAAAAAAGGCATTTGAATTCTTATTGTTCTATTCCCTAAGTCTTTTATGATGGTTTAAAGTATGGTGTGATTGTAGGTCAATGAAAAATTAATAAAAGACCAGTTTGGGAGAGGTTAACTTATAGTCATACATGTCTAGAATTAGGGTATATAGAGATCACATGAGGTTTACGGCTATTTGTTATGGAATTCCTAAATGAACAGGATATAAATTACTTAATAAATAACTTCTGTGAATCTGACATAATCATCTCGGATGGATTCGATTTGATTGTGAGCCACTTCCATTCCAAAAAAATAGAATCCTGGATTGAATAATTTTACATAATAGATCTTACAATTAATTTGGGGGAATGTAGAAACATAGATAAAATTCTATTCGTTTGGTACTTCTATGTATTTTGAACCTTCCAATATGATCTCCCTTGATCTCAACCATTTTAACTGGAGATTTGTATATTAGGTCATCACTTACGTATGTTTTGGATCAATAGAAGGGTGAGATGTTAAGTTATCTAAATATTTGACCACTTCTTTTTCGTTTTTAAACTCAGTAAATTTTGTCATTGGTAATTAAGCTAAATTATTCTTTATCTTATCAATAATGTATTGATTTCGTTCATATGGTTTATGCAAATTGTAATGAAAACAATCTTCAGCAAACTAGAATATAGCTTTAGTCTTGAGATAACTTAATGTATTGGTTTCTTCATTCCTTGCTTCACTTTATTAGAGTGAGTAATATGAGTTAAATTTAATAGAGATATTGTGTTCTACTCTAGGTTAACTAATGGTGTGATTTAAATAATAGTATACTAAGAATTAGATCGTTTCAATGTAAAGATTGTCCTTCTCAATTAAGTTTTATAATCATTCTCAATTATCCTCCACTTGAATCCAACTTTCTTTATCGCTTCTGAAATGTACTTATTAGCCATACTCTATCCATTATGCTGTGGGTAATGGTTCTATCATAATCAAATATTAATATCTAACCTATGCTATTAATATTTCTGAAGCAGATTTGTCATGTCCAAACACCAAATCTACTATTTGAGTTAAAAAGATATCAAAGAAACATTCAGATTTGCATGAAATCATTTCGATGATCCAAAGTCTTTCATTTATCTTATTTTTATCCACATATAAGATACAATATCCTTGAACCAAGTTATCGACCAAAAACTGTAATACACAAGACTCTTGCTCATAATACATAATATCAATTAGTCTCTGCGAATCATTCTCAAAGGAATCATGAGTCAATTAACAAGAAAATCTCACTATTTCTTTGACTCTCAATTCAATATCCTTAGGGTTAATCGGCATCACTAACACTTCAAAATCCTATTCCACTTTCTTAGCTGCCTAAATTGGCTGACATTTTTTGATTATGTCTTCCTACTATACTAATAATGAAAAGATTGGCTTATTAATATAATCCAAATCCGATTGAACAATTCCTATTATAAATGGAAAATTGATTAATTTCTCTCCTTCAAAACTATAATTAACACTATTCATTCCAATTCTAGGAAAATTAATTTCTAAAAATGTTTCACTTGTAAAATAAGATTGCAATTTGCAATTAGTTAAATTTTATCTATTACCAACACAACTGAAAAAAGGAAGCCATATATTATATTATGATAAACCCTTTCTATCATATTTCTCAAAAATCTCATTCACTAAAATTTGTATGTCCTAAGTAATCTCGTCATTTTTTAATTCAAAAATATATCTAGTTTCAAAATTGATATTATACATTTTAATAAAGGGATCTGTAGTCGATATTAAATACAGTCTTCGGAGGCTATTTTAATCATTGCTTGACAATTGCCACAGTGATGCTTCCTCTAAACCAGCTTTTGATCTCTTATTAAGAAGTAAACTATACTTGTGGAAATCGTATATAAGGTTAAAAAGTTTATTTTTGAATTTCAGATGAAAATGATAGAAATTGCAAGTTCATATTGAAATATTGCAAATAAACAGGTCCTTGTACTGGAGATTTAAATCTTTGACAAACTTTCTAAACATCTTTTACGTTCTACAGATGTTGAAACTAAGATCCATAAATTTTCTATTTCTAAATTGATAGTATTATTATTATTATTTACCACTAAATATTTTGCACTTTCTTAGGTCTTCTCCTCAAACAGAATCAGGTTAGACTTACCCAAATTAGCACAGAATTGGCACTCCATTATTTCTTCATCACTATTTAATTTTAATTTCTTTATTCTAGATAAGGTTCTTGCATAAATAAAACATATAGGATCATAAATGATTGACATACTTTACTATTCTTATTCCGTCCTTTTAATATCTAGCACATATTAAGTATAATTAACCTTCAGATTTTCAATGGTTATTATCTTAGAAAAATAAAAATTTAGAATTTTAAGATTCTGCTCAAAACATTCCAATAAAGTGAAATTTATACCTAATTACTCAAAAGAGTCTCCGTAGTTTATCAACATTCTAATAAAATGTTGTATAATTTTATCAAATATCTGCTCCTTGCATACAATTAAATGAATCACCCATTTTCTAATATTGCAATCCTATTCTACACTGGCCAACATTATTCCTAGATCGGATATTTATAACATTATCGCCTCTAAACCATAACTCAAGGTTTCTTATATATAAGTTGAAGGCTATAAGAAACTCTTATGAAAATCTTCACAATTAGAGGAAAGCCAAAAGCTTAAAATCTAAGGAATATCCTTTATTGGCCACTCTTTAATAATAAATGAAATATCTTCTGAGTTATAGATCTCTTGACTTCGATACTCTGGAAGGGGTGGCAATTCGATCTACAATTTATTTATACTTCCCTTTCTTGATGTAACCTAACCACTTTACATATCCTTTGTTCTAAAGAAATTAGTTTTAGTTTTTATTAGGGTTCTATTCTTAAATTCCGATTATTTGGATGCAAATGACACTGCTATATAAGTCTAGAGTTCCTTGATTTTTTTTAAGTATTTTTGATCAAGCTTATGTTTAGTTAAATAATCAAAATATTCTAAATCTCTTTCATAAGCCTGATTAATAATTTCCATATAAAAAATATCATCAGCGGTTTCACTTATATGAAAGAATTTCCTTAGGACAGGATTCTTCTAAAACAGTGACTTATGATCTTGCTTAATTTTCAATATGTAATTCTCTCCTTGATAAATCCATTGGTAATTGTAGGCATATTGAATATACAATTTATTCACCCATTTCCTTTAGTACTCAATAAGATTCAAAGTTATTTTTCTAAGATCATAGATGTAATTTGAAATAAGGCAGACAAATTCTATGATATTCTCACTTTATTAGATTGCCAATGCTTCACTTAAACAAATTTCTCGACTGATAGTTAATTGATTCAAAGTCTTAATAATACTTCCATGTAGTTTATAACTTTCAATCTCTTATTTCATCAGATATTCCTGACATGCAAGATTTGAAGTCAGAATGAAGTAGTAATACTTCTGATGAATTTCAGGAATCTTGTTTTCATTCCAGAGCCTCTAAATCTCAAAAAACAACTCTCTTTATGGGAAATTATTTTATACTAAGAATTTCACTAATATATACTTTGTATGAGTTCTATGGTTTATTTGGCTCTGAAAGTCTGGGAAGTTTTAGGACTAGGACTCGGACTAAGTATTTTTGTATTAAAATTAGATCTACTTGTAGTTGTTGCTAGTTATAAACGAAATTATGCTGCACTTTATGATTTATTAAATTACATAAATATATTAATTGATATCAATTGCTATAAGAAGTACATGTAAAAGGTTACTGCTCCAAAGCAACAAATCCATACCTACTACTATTTTCAATTCCCCAAGCTATATTTCCACAGATGTTCAATATAACAATTCCAAAGTCAATATAAAATATGATATGACCGAACTTGTACTTCTTTAAATAGTAATATCCTAAATTAGTAAATGTGAGCACTGCAATTATCTAATATAATTAAGTGTATAAATACTCCTAATCCATAAAAGAAGAATTGATCGCCAACGGAGATTATTGAGTTTTGGATATTTCCAACAATAAGATCGGTAAAAACCTGTAAGCAAATTAAAAAGTAACAATAATTAGCTGTAGCTCCTGCAACAGCGGCTATCAATTTAAACTGAACCATAGTGATAACCATCATTAAACCTGCTGCCATACCAATAAATCCTGCGACAAAACCAGTTGCCCATCCTGCTGTATAAATTAGAAAGAATTTCTCAAATTGATTATAATACCTTTCGTGATTGTAAAAGTTTATAGTGTCTTTCAACAATTCTTTTTTCCTCTAAAAAAAATAAACCAAACTAGTAATTATCATGTTAACAGCAATCAAAAGTAGAACTACATAGAAGTTCCAAGGCTAACAAGGTTCCTTGTCTCTATTATCAGTGTCATTAGTATTGCCACTTGGAAAGAAATATGGTGACAATTGTTATGGTGATGATCTCATCAATAAGATTAACTAATTTGATCTTTCATAAATACTTCGTTAATAGCAAAATTGAATAAAGTTATAAGAATAGGAGTTAATGGGAATCTTTAACATTGCTCGTCATAAAATATCTTATATAATTTGGCCTAATTTTCACTGTATTAGTTTTGATCTTTCATCTCTGTTAGACTTAAGAGAGCCGATTGATTTCGTAAATCATTATTTGTCTCTTTGCTCCTCTCTATTATATCCTATTTCTTCGCATAATATAATAAAACTGGAGAAATAACGACAAAAAATAACACCTGAAAAGACAATAATGGCAACAAAGGCAGAAAATTTGCTAATTCACTACCCATACACATGCTGATAGGAATACCCAAAGTGTATATCAGGCCAATCTCATAATTGATAATTGGTCTTTCATCGACATCGGGATGGCTAAATTAATTCATAATATACTTCTAGAAGAAGATGAATATCATGTTCACCAATTGGGCACTAAACATTAAGCATGACGTGATATCCCCTGCTATTGACGCATCGTAATTTAATATTGCCTAGAGAAAAGGCCTTTTTACTGTACCTCCTAAAATTGATTGAACCTATTAATACCTCCCAATGCCCCCAAACTTCCTATTCCTATAACTGGTATGATCAGTATATATATAATAATATTTAATGCATTTGGGTCTAGCATTGATTTCCTGCAACACCCTTTTATATTAATTCCAAAACCAGAATCACTCTAAATGTTCAAAGGCAAACATTTGCTCAATTATCCACACGAATTTGGACTACAAGCAAGACCACCATTAAAAAGTGAATAGAGTGGGTCTGTACAGGTGGGCTATTTCATTCAATTAATTAAAAATGTCTCTAATAACCATAGGTTAAGATTTAAAACACAAAATAAAGATCTTAGATTTAAAAATAAGCAATGAAATCAAAATTCAAGAAATATGGTGACAAACTATATTTATACTCTTTCACATTTGGTGACTAATATCGTGTTTTAGCTCTAATAATTATTTTTCCAATTTTTAAATAATTTACAATAATATTATTTCAAATTATTATAATAATTTAAATAGAATTAATTGTATAAATAGCAATCCAATATTATACTGTTTGGTTTGTAAAAGGTTATTAAATTAGCGATCATTTAATATGCATAAATTCTAAAATTAGTGAGTATATATTTATTGATAAAGAGAATTTTAATTTTATCAACTTTATTAGAGGTATAGGAAAGTCAATTTGGTATGATGCTAAAGAATATGCTAGAGATTTGATGAATCCAATTTTATAGAATATTTATGTCTGAAATACGTTTATCTAAACAAAAGAATTAGAATTATTTTACAATAAGTTACATAATTTAAGATGTAATGAATTTAAAATATAGTCTTCAGTTTTTTTATTGAGAATAAGAATATTAATATTAATGATCACTGTTATTTCAAGAAATACATAAAAAAATTGCTAAATTCTAGAGTGAGAATGTGTTTAGCAAATACTGAAAACAAATTCATTACACATTAGAGAGAGTTATATTAACAAATAGAAAAATATATATATATATTGATTTTATTAATAATATTTAAGAAACTTAATATCAATTCAAGAGTAATAATGATTTTCAATTGTTCATAATCACGTGAGCATATTACTTTAGCATAATACTTGATTTTAAAAGAGCTCAAAGTGAAATTGATATAAAAGAGAAATAAATTTGAATAGATTTACAATTAATAATTTGAAGAAGATGAAAAGTTGTCTTGTGTTTAATTCTAATACTCGCAATCCTTAAGCATAAGGAGAGTAAAGATGATTGCAGCAATCAACTTAAACTTTGTTTTTACAAATACGATCAAGAACAAAAATAATCAATTTTTATTATGCTAATCGCTTAAGTCTTAAAAAAAAGAGAAATCCAATAAATACACTAGATCTTGGTTTGATTCGAAGATAATATTTGCTCTCTCATTTAATATATCTTATTCATAAGCGATAAAATATTTAAAGAAACTTAGGAACAATTGATAAATAAAGTAAATGAGAAGGATACAAGTTTCCTGAATATATGTAGATATTAATTAATAAAGGTTCTTTATGAAACTTATAGCTTAAGTAAACACATCATAATAGATTACCAATTATCAATTCTTAAACAATAATAGAACTGAAAAATCATATTTATCATTCAATTGATTTGCTATTGCCCATATCATTAATCATATTTGAAAGGGTTGGAACTAATCTTTAATTTATACAAAAAAAAAGTAGAATTAGTGGAAACTTTATGGAGTTTTAAATAGTTATTCCCTTTGAAGAGAATTATCATCCTTTGCTAATAATTTCAATTTACCCCTCGGAGAATAATCTAACAATATCAAGGTTGTTGAAGCTTTGCTTAGAATACTTTGATCAAGTTCAGATCCTATAATTAAAGTCAGCTCAGGTATTCTGATTGTTTATATTCTAATCAATATATAAAAACGGATTATAAATATATTTATGTTAAAGTAATTGCTAGTGGCATGGCTGCTAGTCAGCGTGTCTTTACAGTTCAAGACGTCTGCTAGGACGTAGATAACCCCTTTGGAGTCAATTTTATCAATTGATCCCTCTGGATGGACTTGCGAGAGTCCAAGCTATAAGGAATAGTTGGGAGCATAGCATGATATTGATTAATGGATCGACATTGTCAAACACAAAGAAGGATTTGATGGAGATTTGTAGGTTTTGGCTATGGTCAAGGCTTTAGTTGATAGAGTTTTGCTAACAGTCTAACACATTCAAGGAGGATCGTTTATTCAAGTCAAATAGTTGCATCATCAGATCTCAAAGCATTTCAAATCACTTTCTCAAATCGAATCTACTTCATCCTGGTATGATATTAACGATATTTTGGGATACTTGGAAGTACTTAATAAAGCAAAGAGTATTAATCATAAATCTATATGTTAGGTGATGAAGACAAATTATAATTGGCTTAAACCATAGCTACCAAGATCTCAGAGTTGATCCAACAAATAACTGAAATCTAATTGTAATTAAATACCATCCCCATTGAAATTGATTAACTCTATGATCTTGCCACAAGAGTCAACGAAAAAACATCTTAATGCAAGGATTAATGGGCATCATAATTAGAGGCTGATGCCAAAGCTGAAGAAGAAGAAAGAAGAAAAGAATAAGAACAAGAAGATGCCAGATTAAGAGCAGAAGAAGAAGCAAAAGCAGCAGCTGAAGCAGCAGCAGAGGAAGAAAGAAGAAAGGAAGAAGAAGCTAGAGAATTAGAAGAATTGAAGAACAGAGTAGATATCACGCCAGAAGAAGCTGAATTATTAGAATAATAAGCTGAGAAGGAATTGGAATTAGCAGAGGAATTGGAACATGAAGCAGAACAAGAGTTAGATGCTGCTAAGTCGGCTGAATAAGAAGCTGAAACATAGGCTGAAAAAGATGCTAGAGAGGCATAAGAAGCAGCTGAGAAAGCAGCAGAATCATAATAGATTTTGGAAAATGCCTAAAATAAGGAAGAAGAAGCGTGCTTAGATGCCGAGGAAGCATAAAGAAGATTGAAAGAGGCTTAGGAGGCAGCTGAAGAGGCAAGAAAAAGAGCAGAAGAAGCTGAGAGATTAGCTGAAGAAGCCAAAAAGGCTAAAGAATGTGAACCAGTTCCTGAACCAGAATCAGAAGAAGAAGAAGAGGTTGAGGAAGAAGAGGAATTTGAATGGGAATCAGAAGAGGAAGATGGTTGTGGAGATGATGTCTTGGAAGATTTGATTGATACATTGATTGATGCAGCAACAGGTCCAAGTGCTTATTAACCAAGTTGTGGATATCCAGGATGTTAAGAACAACCAATCATTATTATTGTTGAAGATGATGAAGATGAACCTAAACCACAACCATAACCAGAACCTAAACCAGAACCTTAACCTGAGCCAGAAGAAGAAGTTATTGTTAGAGAAGAACCAGAAGAGGAAGTTGTTGTAGAACCAACACCAGATGATGAAAAAGTTGAAGAATAAGAAGAAACAGTAGAAGAAATTGTTGAGGAAATTGTTGAAGAGATTGTTGAGGAAATAGTTGAGGAAATAGTTGAAGAAATAGTTGAGGAGATTGTTGAGGAATTAGTTGAAGAGGAAGAAGATGACGATTTCGGTAGATTAGAATTCCCAGATGAACCAGAACCAGAATTAGAATAACTTGTTTATACTTTAGACAAGAGAACTGACAGTGTTGTTACATAAGAAACATCACCTTGGGAAAAAGATGTTGAAGATGGACCTGATAGCAGAATCAAGACATCAGTTGAATACAGTTATGGATTATGGACATATTTCAGATACAATGGAAAGGTTAAGATTGCAGAAAAGAAGGAAGTCTTGGCTGTTGGAGGTTTGAGTGGAGATGACACAAATAGATTAGTAACAACTATTGGAGAAGGATTCTATAATTTCTAAGTATTTGAAGGAGAAGTTGTGACTGAATTATAATTGGATTATGGCAAGTATTTGGATGCTGAATGGATTTATGTCTATTTCGGATATAAAGAAGGAAAAGCCAATGGTTATATTTACTGGGGTAGAACTTAAGTAATCAAGAGTGTCACATTCAAAGTTACTCAACCAGCTATTGTTAAAACTATTAAATTCCAATCTGGACTTTGGAAGGGATTCAAAGGATTCAACGGAGTCATCACCAATGTTAGAGTTGTCTTGAATAAGAATTCATTTGTTGAGACAGAGGAAGAGATGAAAAATTTGATTGAAACCAAATACACTGTTCCAACAGACCCTGAATTAGAATATTAGGAGAAATAATACTATGACAAAGTTGAATATGATGGTTTGATCGATGATCCCAAGTTCAAATGGGATTTAGATGGATACAGAGAATATTCAGTATCCACTTGGTTTAGATATGTAAGAAGATCTGAAAGAGCTCATTAAGTTATATTTAGATTTACATCCAACGAACCAGAAGTAGGAATAATTCCTCATGGATTGAAAGCACTTTCATTATGGTAAACTGAATAAAATGAATATTAATTCTCTACATATACAGTCGAAGAGAAGGACAAGTTCAGTGACATCGATGAAAAAGTTGTTATTGCTTAAGAATCACAATAATTATGGACATATGCATACTTTGGATATAATCATGGTGATTTCACATACTACATGGAATGGCCAGATGACAAAGTTGAAAAACAATTCAAAGGTTGGCATGTTGTAGCCAAATATTGGGCACTCTATTTGGGACAAGGACATTAATTTTTCTTCCATGGAAAGACAGCCTACACAACAATCAGATTTGGAAAGGGTGCATGGGGATCTGCTATAGATTTCGATGACTATAAGACTGGCAAGATTAAGTTATGGCCTGGAGTATAATTGAAAACATATGATCCTAAATGGTTGAATCACAAAACAGAATCTGAATATGATACTTTACTTCATGATGAACCAGATTGGGTAACAGATGGTGTTTATGAATATGGATTCGGAATGTGGACTAAATTCTTCATCACAAATCCATAAAGAATCTATGAGAAACCTGAGCGTATTTTGGTTGGTAGATTAGGATTTACAGATTAAGATGAAGCTGAATTTGCAGTATACATTGGAAGAGGAAATTATGAATTCTGGGCTGGTTCAGGAAGACCTGTTAATTATGGAAAGAATTTAGATGGATATTGGAATTACATCTATTTCAGTTATTCAAAATTGAAGTAAATTGCTGTTGGATATGTTAATTTCAACAAATTGAAGTAAGTGCAAAGAACAGTTTTCGATCCATTTGATGCTGATCCTGCTAACAATTATGTTAGATTCTATGTTGGATAATGGAAATCTACTGTTTATGGATTTAATGGTAGAATAGCTCATGCAGTTGTCAGATTTGGAAGAGGATCATTTATTAATGAAATCGCTGAATATGAAACATGGATTGAATAATACAAGGTCCCAGTTGACGAAGAATTAGGAACAAAGGATTATGAAATCTAAGGTGCTGATAACAAAGATACTGAAACATATAATACCTTTTTATATGAAGATGGAGCAATTGAAACAGAATAATATTCAGTCTATGGATGGTTCAAATATTATGGAAGTTTAGATGATACTGAGGCATAAACTGTTATCAGATTAACCAATAATGAGCCAGGATTCTTGTAAGGATGCTAATTTGCTAGGAGATAGAACATTGTCAGTTATTCAAAAAGGTGGAGATATGGAAATTGGAACCTATGACATTGGATTTATTGATACTGATTTCAATCTTAATAGAAATACAAACGTTGCTTTAGGAGAATATAGAGGAATTTGGATGTACATTTGGGTTGGATATTCCAGACAAGATGAATACGCTGGTTGGTTCTTTGGATTCCCAGATGTCAGCAAAGGTGGTTTATTAAAGAAAGTATTGCACTTCTCTCCAAAATACCTTGCTGTATATTTCGGAAAGGATGGAATTAATAAGAATTTCATTGGTAAATCTAGACATGTTCATGCTTGTTATGGTAGCACCTAATGCTGGCACTATGTTGATAAGGTCGAAGTAGAAGTTGATCTTCCAGCTTGGATCCCATACAAACTTAATAATTACTTTGAATTCTATGTTTAAAATGATGCCGATGCTTTGATTTATGCTAAAGATGACAAACCAGCATTGGATGTTGAATTTACATAGACTAATTTCCCAGGATCTGACATTGAAGCCATATATGAATATGGTATTGGTTTATGGACTAGATGGTTGATGAACTATCCATTCATTTTATTAGAAAAAGCTGAATCCCACTCCATATTTAGATTCACAACAAATGCTTAATACGAAGATGCTTAAAAGAATGGAGACAGAACAGTATCAGCATTTGTAGGAAGAGGAGAATACAAATTCAGCACTTATGATGCAGTTCTTGATAAGAATGAGATCACAACAGGAACCAAATTTGATAAAGAATTAGAAGGATATTGGAATTTCGTCTATTTCTGCTACAAGAGAATTCCAACTGGACCAAAGGGTATTGGATATGTCTATCTTACACATCAAAATGTTGTTAAGAGAGTTGAAATTGATAGTGCTAAACATTGGTTGTTGAGAGATTATGCCAGACTCGTTATTGGAAAGAAAGAATTCGGACATTCAGCCTTCTAAGGTAAATTGTTTGATCCAAGAGCATTTTTGGGCAAGAACAGTTATATTGATTCAAGTGAAGACTTACTCAACGTTATTGTTCCCAAATTCAGACCTTATCCACCATACAAAGATAAATAAGATAATGAACCAGTATAAGTAGAAAAAGCCAAGATGACTTAAAGAGTGTTCAAATCATATGAAGAGAAGTACAGTGGTGTCTTTGAATACAGTGTTTATGGATTTGCTAAGGGTAATAAATTAAAGAATGTTACTGATTGGACTTCACTTGTCAGAGTCACATAAAATACTCCAGATATCCAAGCTGATAATGACAATGCAGGAGATAGAACTCTGTCCATCTTCATTGATAAAGGTGTCTGGTATTTCAGTACTTATGATTATGGAGACATTGAAACTATAGATGATGATGTTGGTTCAAGTAATTATTTATATTTATATCTTTAGTCGACAAGAAATTTGAAATTGGTAAATATTGGGGTAAATGGACATACTTCTACTTTGGATATTCCTTCCATCTTAAATAAGCCTATGCATACATTCGTTAAATCGATTAAACAGCCAACTCTTACCTGTTTGAGGAGATCTATCACTTTGTTCCAAATTATTTGAGTGTGTTCTTCTCTGAGGATGGCTATGGCAAACAATTTGATGTATTGATCATTCTCATTTCTTTAGGGTGAAGCCTTTGATTGGGTATTTGGGTATCGGTGATGGTGCATTTACTACAAGTCCAGAACCAAGAGAGTGGCCAGTTGATCCTGCACCTCCTCCTGATAGAATCTTGTCAGCTCTACTCGCCAACCAAGGATTTAACTCAGGCAGAATCATCAAAGGTGGTGGAACATTCTTGTAAGTCGAAGGATCTGTCAATTTAATCTAAGAAAATGAAGAATGATATAAACAATCATAAATTATTATTATTATTTTTAATAAATAATAAGCAATCATCATTTTCTAATCATTATTGTATCTTAAAATTATTAAGAAAAATAAATAATATAAACAGATATCTCATCCAATTTACAAGTATATTAAAAACTACTTAATATACTACTAAATATTAACATTCATTAATAATAAATTATAAAGTATTTCACATAATAGAACATTGCTTGCACTCATGAGCTTCATTCTTCTAGATCTTCTTTGAACAACTTAAGCAGTACAGACTCTCTTTACAAACATTACTCTTACAATAGCATTAACTTTCATAAGTTTAAGTTTGAATACTTTAAATTTTCAATAATTTAGCATTGCAATGGATTTAATGTTAAGCATCCAGGACATTTCTACTTATTCGGTTTGATTTTGCCTATTCTACAAGCATTATAGGGATTATTATCAATAAAATGTGAGTAATGATCTTCCTTTTTTAAAATGAGAAAACATATTCCGCAGAAGTAGACCTATCCTTTGCAATATTGGGACTGGCATTTCAAAAAATTACACCCTTCCTCTTTAAAAACCTTTATCTTGCATCTAGGACACTTTCCAGTGATAGCTTATTGGCAACACTTAGATTCATATGGTTTACGACAATTCAAGCAATAAATTTATTTACAAACAGGACATCTGGAATATTCTAAATGAAAACAATATTTACTAGCATTTTTGCTAACAATAAACTTATTATTGCAATCATCATGACCACAGTCGACAATCATTTCATCATCATTTAAGTTTTCGATGCAATTATGTTTTAAAGAATATTCTATTAAATCATTATAGATTTCTGTGTTTTTGAAGACTTCAACAGAAAACTTGAATTTGCATTCTGGACATTTATAATCATCTGATGTTAGTTATAATGCCTTAAGTTTCACTTAAATCATGTTAACTAGACATTTCAAACAATAGTAATGTTAACAATTGAGACTAAACTCAGTGTCTTCGAAACATATTAAGCATTAGTTCATTGAAATTCTAAAAAATGATAGTAAATATTATTAATAATAAACTATTTTAATAAATAAATAAAATCATGTTCTACAGGATTGATTGATATCGACTATAGAATTAAAACCTTATCTATGATTTTATTCTACTCCCCATGCAATGTTACCAGCTATGTTTAAGACTACAATGGCAAAATCAATATAAAATAATATATGCCCTATTTTATATTTATTAATGTAGTAATAGCCTAGGTTGGTGAATATCAAGACACCTAAAATCTAAGGCATTATCAATTACACTTACCCCTATTCCGTAAAAGAAAAACTGATCACCAATTGGCATTCCAGAGTCGCTGACCATGAATGATACAAATACTTGTAGACACACAATAAAATAACCGTAATTTGCTGTTGCCCCTGCAGAAGCAGCAACCAAACCAAATTATACCATTGTAACAAACATCGTTAAACCTGCTGCCATGCCTAAAAATCCTGCTATAAAACCAGTAGCACATCCAGCTCCGTATATTTTAAAGAACCTTCTGGTTGGAGTAAAGTATCTTTCCTTTAATTTGTACCTCACATTGTCCTTAATTTGTTCTTTGTATCTGAAATACAATAAGGTTAATCCAGTAATGAAAATGTTCACTGCAAATAATACAATCATCATATAGAAATTCCAAGGATCGCATGGATCTAGTTTTTAATTTGAAGATCTCTTTGGGTAATAAGGCGATGTCTAATAAAGCGTTGTTCTAGAAAGAATCACTGCTTCGTTAGCTGCGAAACTTCCAATGGCAATAAGGATGGGTAAGAGAGGTAGGATTTAATGAGATTCATCTAGAAACTATTTATACACTAAGGCAGCCTAAGCTTCATCTTGAATTGAGCCTTTAAAAGCAGTTGTCATAGAAATATGAGAATCAGTGTAATCTTCCTCTAATTCTTATTCAACTACTTCTTGTCTTTTTGCGTACAATAGGCAAATTGGAAGAATGACAATGAAAAACATCATCTATATAGTTAAAACTGGTAATAGCGGCATGTAGCTTGCTAATTCCTATCCAAATTGCATAGAAAGTGGAATGGCCAAGGCATAAATCATCCCGACCTCATAGTTGACAGCTGGACGCTAAGGGTGGTAGGGATGTCTTTCATTCTATAATTTTATTACTTCTAGAATGTGATAATTATCTGATTAACTAATTGGGCTCCAAACATAAGACACGCAGTAATGTTTCCTGAAAGACCTGAATTGAAATTTAGAACAGCCTCCAAAAATGGCCTCTTCACCACACCACCTAATGCTTAATTAACGATTCTACCTCCCAAAGCTCCTAAACTGCCTATCCCAATTATTGGAATGATTAGAATATAAACGATGATGTTGGCCGCTCTTGGGTAAAGATAATCTTCTCTGCAACATCCATAACCCATTGCCCCAATTTAATCATTTACTTAAAGACATTAGGAATACGATCCACAAAAATCTTTAATGTTTAGACATTTAAGGGTATTGGCACCTTGGAATAGTGAGTATTAACTTGATCCACACACATTTGATGTCATAGAATCCAAAAATAATTAATATTAAGTTTATTATAAACAAAATTATATTGTAAATTAAGCTGTAAGACTGTTATGTTTATTTGATAATTAAAATATCAATTAAAAATAGTAAAACCTGTTTAAGTTTGAACCATTCAAGGTTTACATCTGATTTTATAGAACATATATAATATATAATGTATCATCCTTCATTTTCCCACATAAAATGATAAACTCTTTTTACAAACTGCTCACATATCGGACAGACATGAGGTAACAACTATTCAAACTTTTCGTGGCAAATCTTACACAATGCTGCATCTCCACAAGGAATATAAACAACATTTATTTTTCTTATCTTACACGCCTTACATTTTATTTTATCAGAAATGTCAAACACAAATTCATTCCCAGTATAATATTCTGACTAAGTCATCTACTAAGGGACACTGCTTTCCTGCTTTTGAAGATCCTCCAATTATCTCTCCAATTATAATTTAAACGGTTGTAATCTATTAATTGTACTTTTCAACTTCTGCTTTTCCTCCTTCAAACTCTAGATCTCATCCTTAATCTCCTATTGACTGCTCTCATATTGATTCACCTACTGATTCAATGCATCAATAAACTCGTTCAATTCTTTCTCCTTCTAATCATATAAGATTTTTATTTTTTCCTGATTCTTCAATTCCAACTCCTATTTATATGATTTTATCTTTGAATGATATGAATTGATTTAAGCATTGACTCTCTTTATTTATTGTTCAATATCTGATTCCTTCTAAATCAAACACTTTTTCTTCTCAATCAACTCCTGCAATTCCCTTTGATTTCTTTCCAACTGACTTTTATCCTCCTGGTTCTTTTATTTCTATATCTCAAGTTTAGCCTTCAATTCTCCTATCAATCTCTACTATTAAATGTCTATCTCTTCCTCAAAAATGTTTTAATTTTGTTTTTAATTTTTACCACTCTCTACATGTTCTGATGTTTAAGTTAGATATGGCTCAATCTGCTTATTCATATTCTCATCCCTTTTAAACGAAAATGCTAGGAAATCTGCAAATATAGCCTTAAAATCCAATAGGTTGATATTCCTACCGAAGATATCCTTGAAGTCCCTGCCAATCTAAAGAATGAAAATCGCCTTTTTGCCTGTGGTCATCAAATACGTAGACGTAAGAACATTTTCCTCTTCCATCTTCTTACAATTTACGAATTCCTATTTTAGAATATATTTTTACATCCATCTATTTGTCTAAATAATCTTCATATGTATTGAAATTCAACAAACTCAATAGGATATCATTGGGTATCTGATTAACCATATTATATTTAATATCAGGCTTGCCCTTTTGTCTTCTCTACTCCCTCTTCTTCTCCTTCATTAGAAACTTCTAGACAATTTAATTCTTCTCCTCTTCTCTATAAAACTAAACTGAATTATTGTACATTTACCTTATGTTTCCTAAAGTACAGATTATAAGGGATTCTCTTTATCAGAAATTCGATCAATTACTTGTTTTGAGGCTGGACCATAAAAAAATGGGTTTTAAATGTAAACTGTATATTATTCTAATTTTAATCTATTATAAAATTATAAAATTATAAACCTGAAATGTTTTTCTAGATTTACAATTTCATCAACTCATCCACTTTCTTAAAATCCTTGTTGAATTCGAACCCATCCTCGGGTATGTATTCATCATATGCCTTCTTCTTGATTAAACCTTTCTTGATGGCATACTCATAATTTCTTTGTTGCTAATCTGTGTAAGCAACAGGTTTTTGCTGTTGCTGAGGATTAATCGGTTTGCCCAGAGGCTAGATGATTGAATACTTGTTGGCTGTGGGATCAGGTTACTTTTTTAACCCTATTCTCCATTGGCAAGTCCTTTCATGTTTCTCTCGGTCCTCTGTTGTCAAAAAACAATGGCCTTGATAATACTTGTATAGATAGGGGTTATACTTAACAATAGTATACGAATCGAGGTTTGTCAGCCAATTTAACTTCTTTGCATGTATGTAGATGAGATAATAATTTGTCAAGACTTTACAATTTATGATTTCTATTGGCTGGACACAAATATTATTCAGTCTTTAACAAGGTTTCTTCTTGAATTGTTGGTTGGTCTGATTCTTTGTCGATTTCAATTTGTTTCATATTTTCAAGTAAAAATCACTTCAATAATTATTTTAATTAAATTTTGAGTGAATTAAAAGAGAAACTTAAATAAAATTTAACCTCGATATATATATAATATTATTCTTTCCTTTTTTACACTAAGTTATTGCGTCAGTTTGTTATCGCGCATTTGCACTATATATGATCCTTAGAAGGATATTTAAATATTAATATTTGGAAAGAAATCATAAATGATCAAATAAAAGGATCATTAGTTCAAGTTTGTCCTGACAGGTAATCTTGGGGTTGGAAAGAGTTCTTTAATATAGAGATTCGCTGGTGACTAATTTAGTGAATCCTAATCTCTTAGTGTGGATTTCAGATAGAGAACTCTGCATCTGGAGGACAACAATGTAAAGTTACAGATTTGGGATACTGCAGGATAGGAGAGATTCAGAACAATTACAAGTGCATATTACAAGGTTAGATTGATCTATACTTATATTAAGGGGGCAGAAGCCATAATAATGGTTTATGATGTTACCTAAGCAGATACTTTTGAGGAAATAGACAAGTATTGGTTGCCTGAAACTAAAAAATACGGAGAGAAGAACGTTTAATTGTTGGTGATTGGAAATAAAAATGATTTGGAAGAATAGAAATAGTAAATTAGAGTTATATCTATATAAAAGAGTTGAGACTGCTAAAGCATAAGAGTATTGCCAGTCACATAATTTACAGTTTGCTGAATGTAGTGCTAAGACAGCTGATCACGTAAATAACGTATTAATTTAACTTTCTAAAAATGGGATAGAAAAGAAAAAGCAGAAAGATGCAGGGAACTGATGAGTATTCTAATAAAATAAAACAATGTTCTTTTCATTTTTTCTGTTATTTTGTGAATTACTAATTACATAAATTATGAATCATAAATGAATTACAAATTCAACTATTAAATTATAATTATGATATTTATAATAAAATTATACACAATTAATTTCAATATATAATTCAAGTTAGTTTCAACTATGTTCAAGCTTTGGCTTCTTCTTCATTTACTTCCTCAATAGGTTGATTTGACAATTGTCTTTGTAAAATGATTTATTTGCTTGGTCGAGCTCTTGGAGTTTGAGCCTTAGCAGAGCTTTGAGGTACATTTTTAAGGACAATAGTTGGTCTCATTCTAGCTGAATCAGGAGATGAAGCATCAGATGATAAATCATAGTCCTGAGTTGAGTATTTCTTAATTTATTTGGTTCTGGGAGTTGAAGGTTAACTATCAATGAGATTAATATTTTTCTATTTAATTTATTGTTGGAATCTTGGGCTTTTCATAACAGGAACATTTATGCACACTTTCTCATCTTCAACCACCTCATCCTCTTTTGCTTATTACCTATGCTTGACAGGAATCTCAGGAAGCTGAATTTTATCTGATTTGATGTTTTTGAAAAGTTAAGTCTACCATAATTTGTTCTAAGGGTCTAATCGCTTTTTTGTCTAAAAGCTAATTCTAATATCAGCTTAGGGACTTTGAACAAAGAATAAGTGTTCTAAGGCTTTTTAAGCAGAGATTCTTAGACTAGGATTGGAATTAAGCATTTAAGAGATGAGTTCGACAGCTGAAGAGGGAGCCTTGAACATCTGAAGGTTATCAAGATTGACGTAGCACTTTTTGTTCAGTTTAAGAATTTCGTGATAGTCAATTCCTGGGAATAAATCTTTCTGGGTAATCCTGAATGATAAAAACAATTGCTTACAATTTATAGAAGATGCAACCAACACTAAACATATCACAGATCTTATCGTATTTTAGAGTGAGATCTTTGAGATTAGCAATTTCTGGAGCAACATATCCAGGAGTTCCACATTTTGGGAATGGGTATTTTTCTACATTTGTATTTGTTGCCAAGCCAAAATCAACTATTCTAAGACCTTAGACGGATCCGTGTTCCTTAAACATGATATTCTCTGGTTTGAGATCTCGATGCATGATGTTTAAACTATGCATATGAGTTACCCCTTTGAGTAATTGCTATAAATATTTAAACATATTAAAGTACCCACATAATTTGTTTAATCTACTCCCAAGACAAAGGCTATGTTGTACTTCTACTATTACATAAGTCATGTAGACTTGGTCCCTTCAAATACTCAAGTATGAGATAAAATGTGTTGTCTCCTTCATAGACTTCTTCAAGTTTGACGATTTACTCGTTGTCTAGGTTGGACATGATTGTGATTTCATTGAATAAGGCAGTCTTAAAATAGGAGAGTAATTCTTACATAACCACCATCTTCTCTGAGATACCTTTTCTCAATACATTTGGATGCAAACTCTGCTGAATTGTCCTTTTCCTATACCAAATAAACCTAAAATTTGAGTTAAATAACATACTTTGGATGAGCCTCCCTTGCCCAAGAGTTTTAATGGTTGATAGAAGTCGCTGACTTCTCTGTACATAATTCTGTTTTTGATTATTCTCTTGAACATTTTTAGTTCTTATTCTGGAGCTGTGAAATATTTGACTGTTCCTTTATACTCAACGCCGAATTGAGTCAAGACTCTCTGATTATTTCTGACCCAATGGATGTTATTCTCTAAATTTATTGGCACCATGTACTTTGGAGTAGGACATTCGATTTCCTATTATTAAATCATAACTCTATAGAATTACAGTTGACAATGTAATAGCATTCGTAAAGACGTACAAATGGTAGTAGATGTCTTGAACTAGATGTTCTCTCTGACAAACTATATGGTAAACTACCTCACCATAGTTAATTTGTATGTTTTGCATGTTCTTTTTCAAAATTATTTAATTAAATGCTTTCAAGATTTAAAGTAAACGTATATCAATACGTTCAGAGTAGCAAAAATGACTAAATGAATGACGGACTATTTTAATAAATTAATTAGAATTTAGTTATAATCAAAGCATGTAAAAATAATTGAATTTTCATGACGTATATTTTGCATAATCAAAATAAGTGAAAGTTCCTGTGAATTTAACAAATAAATACGATAACCCAATTGCAATTGTAAGCTCATCCCATTTTGATACTCACACCAAACACCCTATTTTTCACAGTAAATCATAATTTAAATATATTTATACTATAAAAAAGTATAGGTCTCTCTCTCCTATTTTATTAATAAAAGAAAGTGGTAGTTATGAGTTGATCACTCGAAACTAGAAATGTAATTGCTATGCCCATTAACCTCGTATATAATAATTACAATAATAATAAAACATTACAATTCATAATCCCTGAGTAGCAGGAGCATCATTTGGTTCCAAATCATATCCCTTTTGGTTATCAAATCCCGACACTTGACTAGTAAGGCCTTCTTCTTTGACTTTGTATTTTCGATACAAATAAGCTAATAGGAATGCCAATAAAATCAGTAGAATTATGAGTCCAATAATAACTGCAATCAACTCTTGAGTGTTATATATCTTTGCCTATGCTAATACTACCTTGACTTAAAAAGTATTCTTATATGAACACTGAATGGTTTGATATGGCACAGTTGGATTTTCTTCCAAATACTTATCTTTTTCAGGGCAAGAAGTGGCATTCATCAGAATATCATATTTATAAATGTTTCCAACATCTAACTCAGATCGAGGATTGCAATAAATCTAAGGATTCCTTATTATATATGGTAATTCCACAATATAATGTTAGGTTAAACCGAGTAAATATGGATAACTTTTTTAGAATGACCATGAATTAGGAGTTCCTTCAGTTACGAAATCTGAATCATAGAATTATACATTCTATAGTTTTGGAACGAATACGTAATCTTCATAGAAGGAATTGGCCTTTTCAGTGAAATAGTCATCTTGAGTGTAGAACTTAAACTCTGGTTCAAATTCTTCATAAACCCCAGTTCTCACAATCCTGTGTTCAGATTTGCCTCTTAGAAGTACAAACTATTTGGAAATTGTAATATCAAAGTATTGTCCAGTTAAGAAATGTGTCTTGACTTCGAACCAACCTTCATCCTTGAATCCAATTTCAACCAATTATTGATTGATTCCACTAAAAATAATGAAATATATTATTACACTTCTTTTAATATCAATAGAAAATCATCAGGTTAAACTGCAATAGCTAAACCAGATCTGACATTCACAAGTCCAAACTTCTCATCTCTATCCATAGTTATTTACTGTTCATTAGTTTTGACAAGAAACTTCGTAACACCATGAATGCTATCTAAAATGAAAGCATAAGTATCACTTGATGTGCTAGATTGACTAAATACAACATCAACTAAACTAATTGTTAAATCCTTGTTATAAAAATCGAAGGAATTCATAGACAACTTAAGACTTATATCACCATCTTTATTAATCTAATAAATGTCCAACCCATCTCTGCCCAAAGGAACAAACATATAATTATTTAGAATCTTGATTTATCCAATAAAATTATTGTCGTTTTCCAATCCACTGCCAATAGAACAATTTTATAGAGTCATATTTGGTTAAATTTTACCCTTCAATATTTAATCTCTGTATATCAAAAATACATATTCAAAAATAGGAGCATATACAATTTAAGGGACTTCGGCTTCAGTTGCCTCACTTCTTAGGTAATCGTAGTCATATTCTTGCAAAAGCTGCGTTTTAAATCCAACTATACTTTATGGATCCTATGTAATGTTATAATTCAATAAAGTATGGTCGCTTGTGGCAATCATCAAACCTTAGTTTGTTTTCACCATGTTAACCAAAATTGGTGTACTTAAATAATATGATGGGTCATTTGCATGTTCCTCATCTGGATTATGAGTTGCATTATAAATTAATGTATGATGATTCTCGTAATCTGCAAATTCAATTGAACCTTACTATGAAAAGCATATATCCCAAGGCTAACTATTATTACCTTGCAATTCTATATTGATAGCAAATTCAGCATTTTCAAAATCTGTAATAAATTATCGTGATCCCTGAATAACCTCCTTCACTCCCTTCACCTCACTTTCAATGAAAAATGTTTTCGTAGACAAATTTAATAATTCTTCTCCTATAACTTAGCACACAAAAACAAAAATAATTAAAAACATAATTTATATATTTCAAATTAAAATTTTCATTATCCAAGTCAAAAATTAGATTATATCCTTATTTTAACTCAAAATGATTAAATCTTCTAGAATTTTTATTCTAAATCAATTTCAATGATTAATCGAAATTTCTAGAATAAAGAAAGTTGCTGCGTCAAATATAGCAAATTTTAATTAAATTAATAAGGTAGCACTGCATCCCCTCTATAATCAAATATTTATATATATGATAATTGAAATCAATTTTACACATAACAAATGTTAGTAATTAACTTATTAATTTTATTTGATAATGGTTAATACAATATCAACAGTTTTCATTAATTGGCTTTTTCATTTTTGGAATTAATGATGATCCACCTAGTAATTCATAATTTGACAAAATAAATTCATTCTTAAATATCTTCGATGATTATGATATTAGAAATTGCAATATATAAATAATATTATTGATTATCAATATTACAAATTTAAAAATAATGAATTTAAAATTTTCATTATTCATCATTTATTAATTGGTACCAAACTAAGGACTTCTCATTTTAGGCTAATAAGTTCATAAAATCGTTCGTTATGAAGATATTGTTTTCATCCACTTCTTATTCAAAAATTACTTCCAACCTACCATCTTCTTAAACTTGCCAAACCTTCAACTTGTTATTCTAGCATTAAGATATCAATGAACCATCATCATTTGCCTATAAAGAGTTAACCTCATTATTAGTTCTTTTATATTCTGGATCCCATTCAGTAGAAATCAATTGAAACAGCCCTTTTTTATTTCTTTACCAAATTTAGATTTGATCCTTCTGATTTGATGTTATGATCATTGAATACACTTGATTCCATAATATTGTAGTGAAACTTTGATGAATTTACTAATAAATTATCCAACTCTAATTTTCTTTAATCAAAATTGTCAATTTAGATGTTGATTTGCATATGAGTTTTTTCCCATCTTCTATAAATGTCAAATCGTGAACTCTCTCTGGTAACATATTAAAAGAACAATTGAATTCCCAATTCTTATCATTTAAACTCCAAAAATTGATCTTCTAATCTTGTGTACTGATGACAAAATCATTAACAATATTGAATACAATCGAATCTAGAGTTGAATGGCAATTTATCTATTTGTATATTTTGGTCTACAACTAATAGATTTGAATCTTTGTGTTACTTCCCCATGCATAAAATTCACCATTTGGACTTATGCAAAACAATTCTGCTGGAATGGCATTTTTCAAAGTTTCAAATTAGCCAAACAAACTGTATTAACTTGGCTTAATAATAGTAATTTGATTGTTTAATTCTTATCCTGGCGACACTGCGATGATTTATTAGTTCTTAATATCTTAGTAGATTCTCTTTATGCACTATTTTGATGATCTGATACTTATTTCATGTTGTCTTAAAAATTGCATATTTTTCATTTTGACAAGATCAAGCTAGTTTTTCAGGACATGGTATTCATTATTTCCATTCTTGTGATCGTCTTACGTCAGGGAGTGAATACAATTTAAAGTAGTTTCACATTTGGTTAGCAATCTATAAAATTCTTGAGTCAATGGAGCTGCAACTCCTATCTTTGCACTAACGCAATCCAACTATTAAGTAGATAATATCTCATATGCTAATTGATTAATATCTTGATTTTCAACATTTTCTAAAATAAATTTGACTTTTTAATTTATTTGATTTTGCAATTCGCAGTTCTTTTCCAAATTTTGAATTACTCTATCGCAATAAAGCTCAATTGATTTATTAACATCTTCTCTAAAACTGTTTATCTTCTGCTTTTATTACTACTTATACTCATCTGAAATTGTTTATGATAAAATTTAATTTAACAGAGTAATTATTTCAGCCCTACTTAATGGTTCATTATCCTAATTGCATTCCTTTTACTCACAACAAATATAACAGTTCCCATTTCTATACTCAAATTGTTCATACTTCAAACAGTGACTTTTGCAATAAGAGTTTCTTCCTTTGTCATCCAATTGTATATAGGAAAGAGGCTTTGATGATAAACTTAATTTTTTTTTCATTTTTAATTTTACTTCCAAACCTTTTATTGCATTTTCTAAATATCAAATATGTGGTTATATTATTTGGAAAAAAGCCTTTTTAAAAATTGCACATTTTTAATAATTAATAAATAATAAATATATAGAATAAGGATAATTTATCACAAATTCTAGTTAAGTTGAAATTAAGGATAGTATTTGTTAAATACAAATTATAGACATACTATAATAATAAAATAGAAGGATTTCATATTCATTAAAATTTATTCTTCCATTTCAAATAAATTAATGTTAAATTCAATTAGTTAAAATTAATTATCGATCAATAATAATGGCATTATGTTTTAATCATTAATTTCAGCTTATAGTAATGTAATTGTAATGATGATTTATAAGAACAAGGCCATTGCTAATAGTTAAATTGATATTATTAGTCAATCAAATATTTAATAATAACCAACAATTTTTAATGATTTATTACTTTATATAAAACAATATTTATTCGTATTTTTTTATTTATTATTCATTAGTTTAATTTATTCTACAACAATTATTAAATTACAGACTCAAAGCTTGGAGAGGTAATTTATGTTCCCAATTAATATAATGGATTCATTAAGATTTTTATCAATTATTCATGTGCTAATTAACAAAATATTTTCACACGTTCTTCATCTTGATCAGTCAATACTAAAAATCTGATATTCGATGGAGTAACATAGCCATATACTCTATAGTCTTGTTTTTAATCAATCTCTTTGAGGAATCTTGTTAATTGTTAATTTATACAATTCTTTGGATGATTTATATTTTTCATCGAATACATCTAAGGCAGCATGTAAAATGAATTATGCATTTAGTACTTACTAACTAACTAGAGTGGTTTTTTTTAAGGGAAATCTTCTTTCGTAAAGGGGATGGTCTTCCTAAGATAAAATTAAGAACATTATCTCTTTTTTTAATATATATAAAATATATTAAAATTAAACCTGAGAATACTAAGACTATTAAACTTTAATATTTAGGTTTTGCCATAATCTTTGTTTACATTCTTTTATTACGACTATATTGTATTCTTTTCATTTCTTAAAAGATTGTGGCTAAATTTGAGAAATATATAAATTAAAGAAGGGAATTCTAAATTGAAAATACTATTCTAAGATATATTAGTAGTATAATTAACAATGATAGTTACAACAAGTTATGAGATAATAATAATATTTATAAATGAATAATCTAATCTATTGTCACATTTCTTTAGAAATAAACTTAATTTAAACATTAATATCAATAACAGAGACTATCATAGAATTAATTACAATTATAATAATCATTAATTTATTAATGAGTATTAATGCAATAATTGTGATTTTGTTCTACCCATATTATTAGAAAAGAGGGAATTAAAATTACTTTTAAAATATTAGGAATATATAAGGAATTTATCTATAATAGTCACCATTAATTACAAATTATTTTTATTACATGGAATATTGCTTTAAATCTTAAAGTGAACTAGAGTAATACATTTAAATTATTCAAAATAATTCATATGAGATATATCTCTTAAATAAATGTTTAACTGCCTTCAATTGCAGTAAAAATGCATAGCTACCTTCTCAACTCATTTAAAAGCCTGCTGATAAATAATTAAAAGTAGAAATATAGTCAATTTTGAAAAAGAAATTTGTTAATATAGGTTGTTCATAATTAATGGTAAAAGTTGTTAATAAATCACAAAAGATCATCATCTAATACAATTTTGTTTTCGTTTTAATTATCTTCATTGTGAAACAGCTCTCTTTTAATGCTTTAACATAAGCTGGTAAACATGTTTTTGGTGGCAATGAAAATTTATTCATCATCGGTATCAACATCATGATCTTACTAAATATCTTTTAATTTGCATTATTTCATAGTATCTTTGATACATCTAAAAGCATAGATCTAATCGCCTTTTTTATATTTTATTAGTTATCCACAAACTATCTTCTTGCCATCTTTTAAATTAGCATTTCTCATTTTCATGGAGACTGACTTTTTGTGCCAAATATCCTTGGAAATCGTCTTTTAGGTAATTTGAACTTATTGCTTAGGTTGAGGCTTCGGAATTTTCGAGGCTTCATTCAATTTGTTTATCAAATTCACTTTAGGTAGATCTCTTTGGACAGGCATATTTTCCTTCTGCTATGAATAGAACTTAGGTTTAAGTCTAATAGGTTACTGAGAGCTTTGTGATAGGTTCATTAATCTTTTTTGGAACAGGAACATAATTTAATCGTTAAATATTATTGTTTAACTTCATTAATTAATAAAAAAAATCAAGTTTAAATTTTACTTTTGAATTTGTAAATCATTGTTGAGCTCTAGAAGCATGAATTTGCTATTGTTATTCTATTTTTTATTTTTGTTCTTGTTCTTGCTGCTTTTTCAATATATGCTATCCAACAATAATAATAAATTAGCCAGGCAATAGAAATACATAGCCAAAACAGGCAATAGCAGAGGGATAATATTGAACAGTAGCAATGTCACACAAGATAGCTGTGATGACAGGTTCAAATAAGGCAGCAGTAGCCGGTACAATAGGTTCAAATAGCTTACTGATTAAGATAGAAGAGATGAAAACTCCAATGCTTAACATGGTAGACATGTAGCTAATAGAATAAGAAATAACATTTGTACAAAAAGCCCATGAATTTTCCATTTTGAAACAATCCAAACCAACCCCATCGGGAATCAAAATTAATTGATGTGCCATCCATGAAGAATGAAACCATACACATATTCAGACAAACAAAAAATGCTACACAAAAATTAGCGAGGAAAGGAGGAAATACAGTTCTGAGATCTTGATTAGCCTTTGATAATTCAGCCAAGATGATAGAAGCTAAGAACTAGGAATAAGAATGAAATATTACTGGTATGGTATTTCCAATCATAATTCTCATCCAGATTGGTCTTTTGTACAACAAAGGATTAATATAGCTTTTGGCTGAATCAGGAATGGTATCAGTATCTAACATATATGAATCTAAACAAATAAGCAGATATCTATTAATAACATATTATTCTACCCAACGACACACATGATTTTACCTCCCCCTTCGATGTTGTGGTTATTTTCTTTTTTTCTAAAGACAGACAACCAAAAATTAGTCTGAGACCCCAATACAAAGACACTTGAAATATTAGTATAATCAAAACAAAACAGGAATACAGCAAAAGTTACGGTTGTTGTCAAACTTGCCATATACACTTTCCTCATGTGGGTCCACCTCAGCAGAAATTCTGAGGTATAAGCTGACTTAACTTTTTCATTTCCTGTTCGGTATTCATACATGATAAAAGGGATAAGGAATATTCCTTACAATAAAAATCTCCAAGCAATACGTAAGTACTTGATTTATATTACTAGTTACCTTTTCAGCCGGTATTGTCATAATCCATGGAGGCATCATAGCGTTATTGAAAGATGCATAAAAAATGATACCCCAAGCTAAATACTAAGGAATTTTCTCATAAAGTTAATGGTCATCTTCTTCATCATCTGCTAACTTATTCAGTCCTACTATCTATGTAATTCGAGTGTTCAAAGTCAATCTCTTGATTTACTTATTATTATTCTTCTATTTCTTATCATCAAAACCGAATGTCTCTTCAAACAAGAATCCACCCATTCCAGTGCCAACAACAAAGCTTTTGAAATTTTCTTATTTCTGTTATTAATCTTGAACATCTTCATCACTCACGTCCTTCTATTCATCTGGAAGAAATTGCTCATCTTCGTCAGCTTCACGTTCCCTCTACTTACTCAATGCAATTATACATCTTTAGGTTTATCCAAAAGGTTTTGGGCTAAGTCCATGTTTTCTTAGGAATGCCTTTCTTCCTTTATTGTTTATAAATGTTATAGAGACATTAAATAATTAATTACAATTGAATAACAATATATATATCAATTCTCTTTTTGTATAGTTAATGTTGACATAATAGCTGCTGTGTTTCAATTACTTTTTCTGCCATTAGAATCAAAATTATTATCCCAATTAAATTATTCTAACTGTTGGAGATATTCATATAAATATTATAAATAATTTGGTACTTGAGAGTAATATTGTGAAAATAATTGAGATGTCAAAATTGTAAAATTCTTATTTATACATTGTAGATATAATACTGATTAAGGTTTCAATATTCTTGAAGCGAAATTCGGTTTTAATTGGTAACTGTTAAATATTTACATTCTAGAATAATCGTTTGTGTTTATTTATGATTAGTCTTAAGATTGTTTTAAAAAATTAATTAACATTTCTGAACTATTTATTCTTTAAACAAATACAAGTATTTGATTACTATCCTTTAAGGTTTACTTAATAAACTTCAAATATGTGACTAATATTGGAATATCTTACAATGTTTTGATAATTTGGTGAGTAGTATACTCCTAGATATTTCTACAATAATTAAGATAATATTTTATACTAGCTTATATTCGGATTAATAATTCACATTGCAATTGAATTGCATTTTCTATGTAATCAATAACAAAATCTATTTTAGTTTCATAACAAAGGAACAACACTTTTAAGCTTCAATTATTCTTTCTTCTATCATGTCAAAATTAGATTCTAATAATTTTATCAAATTTTGAATATTACTGTATAACTTTGCAGAACATTCAAATATTTTGTTAAAATTTTGTTGACTTTTGATTTTTCATTTGTTTCAGAACCCTCAACCATCTGTAATTATTTAATGAAGTGCCTTACAAATAAAAATAGCAATTTATAAATTTAGTTATGAATTTTTAAATAAAAAATGTACCAGGCTAACCTAATTTCATTTTTATACTCAAAGAAGCTCACTTTAGACATCAGATTCATTAATGGTTAATTCATTTTATTTGTAGATATAATTATTAGAGAAAAAAAGATTTTTAAATTCTGTTAGCAAACATCAATTCAGTTATCGGAAAATGCTTAGAAGCAGACCATTGAATATTGGAGTCTGTACTTGAGGTTTAGGGATCTCTTCTCATTTTGAATGATATTATATTTTTTAAGTGAGGAGGGTTCTTGTAGTCCTTTGATAAATTTGATGAAAATTTAAACTATTTGAGACTTAGTTTCTGGTAGAGATTGGGTATTTGAGAGAATTGTTATTAGAAATACATTTGAATTAGAATTTAAATAGATATTATTTATGATTAATAATTGTTCACATGAAGATAGAACACATGTAAACGAAATCGTCGTATCATTCTTAATAGCCTGATTATAATAAATTAAATTAATTAATAATTTATTTTTGAAATACCAAAATTTCATTCAGATGAATCCTGATCTAATGTGCAATTTATACTCACAAAGCTAATATTACAATCCCTTCTATTACTTGCACCAACAATAAATGATCTAATACAGTAATATTGATCCATTATAAGTTATAAAGTGATGTGTTAATAATTGACCCCTACCATGTAGCTGCCCTCATATAAGTACGAAACGCCATTCGTTTTGAATAATGGAATAACTCAGCAATAGATTGAATCGCCAAATATCACGAATACTGCCCAAAACAATCATTTAACTGAAGTTGACTATGGACTGGAGGAAAAGTGCAATTTGGGTGATGACGAGTCTCAATCAAGAGTAAATGGTACCTATTCTCATTAAGTATAGGACATTGGACCAAACAAGAACATTTATCATATCTAGAATTCGTCAAGAGTCATGAGTCTATTTTAAGGTCGAAGTACGATAAGAAGTCAAAAAAAATATTCAAGTTAATGAGCCAGTTCATTCCGACTAGAACAGCTACTCAATGTAGATCTCATCACTAAAAATTTAATCCCTTGGCAAAGGGTAAAAAGAAAAGCAGATAGATCAACAAGCAAATCCCAACTGTCATCCACCCATGAAAATGCCCTCTTTGATTCTATTAATGTTATTTCAATTTTTTAAATGGAACAAAATTCCCACATTGTTGTATCCTTTATTGAATAATTTATATAAGTTCAAATACATTAATCAAAAATAATAAGTGATTTACTTTTAATTTGATTTCATTTTATAGTGACTAAAATTTCTATGGATATTAATGTAGTTAAGGTCTCTTTATTATAATTTGCTCTATGTCCCAATCCAAATTCACAATTTCAATTTCCATCCTTAAAAAACCAAACCCTTCCAATATATGAATTTTCTGGTAATTCCCTCTCTCCACTCTACTTTATTATATCTTCAGTGGACATACAAGGATTCTTCTTGGAAAGCCGAAACACACCAGAATTAACTATAATTTTAACTTCTTTAATTGCCTCTTGGATCACCTCAATTAAATTCTATAATATTCCTTTCCTTTGAATATTAATCACATCTACCTATGAGTATCTAAAGGCCCCCTCCTTTCATGTGGTAAGATATTAAGTCGTTTTCATGTGCGTAATCAACTTTGTTTAAATCCAAGTCTTTTTATTTCGTGACATCTTTATTAAAATCGGTGAATTCAAATTATTTTCTAGAAATTAAACAAAATAATCATTAGTCATCCATCCTATTCATTTACAATATCCAAAAAATCCAATTTACAAAAAAAGGTTTTTTATTAATTATTCTATGTAGAGTCACCAAAGGTTTTTGATAATGAATATCATTAAAGATATCAAGAAATGTTTAATAAGTGAATAACACGACTCTTTTGACATTCTTATGTAGAATAATTAAGTATGATATTGGAATCAAGGCTTAAACACTTAGGTCTCCTACATTTTTAATTTTGATCTCTATACTAAGTCTTTTCCAAATATTTAAGTTTAACTGCCATTTGTACCTTAAGAAAAAATAAGTCTTTATTCTCATATATATGTTTATGTTTTAATAATACGATTAAGAATTAAGGAATTCAGGACCTATGTTTTATTGAATAATATTAAATAGTTTAATTTTATAATTGAAAATAGAATTTAGAATTTACTATTAAAAATCGTTATACCAGATAACATTGTAATATCTTAAAAAAAGAGAATAATATTCTTTGAATTCATTGGTATCAAGAGGTTGTGCTGAATAATTAGTGTGAGGGTAGTTTTATTTAATTAATTAATATAATTGTCAAATAAATGTGTTCAAATTATTTTGAAGAAACAATTTATTCCTTTTTTGAACTATACAATTATATATATAATTAACATATTTAAAATGTAAGAAAAAATAAGTGAATTATTATTGCATTAAATCCCAGGGGTTTGTCGATTGACAAAGCAATGTGTCGATCACATGTCAGGAATGTTAGTTGAAGATACACCCTAGAATGCTGCGGATGTTTAAGAGTTAATGGGGGAGTATTTTAGAAACGGAGGAAAATTGACCACATAAGAAATTAATAAAATTTGCCAAAAAATATTTGATGCTCTTGAAAAAGAGTAACTAATAAAAAAAGAGCAGAAACACACTTTAGCAGCTGAGCGATTGCCAGATGAAGTTATACTCTCTGAGCTTGATTTCTATTTGGAAAAAGACACTGTATGACTGAAATATTATCATTTAGGAAATCATTAAATTCGAGGATTTATTTAAAGAATAAGTGGCAACAAACACAAACGAATAAATTTAGAAGAAGGACCGTAAGGAAAAGTTGAGATAGAAGGAGGACATTAAAGCTTAGGAAGCATATGAGAAACATATTAAAACAATTAAGGATTAAAAAACACATATTCCTCCAGCAAGAGTGAGACACAGCAAAGCAGATTAAGATGGCAAGAAATTGGATATTGTAATCGATAAATTATCAATAATTGTGGGAGGCAGAGCATTATTGGAAGACACATCTTTATAATTGATATATGGTTAAAAGTATGGTCTAGTCGGTAGAAATGGTATTGGTAAAACATGGTAATATATAATCCTATCCATTTCATAGTCTCATGAATGCCCTCGCAAGATATGAATACGAAAATGCTGAAAAATTCAGACATGTTTAAGTGTTGTTAGTGGAATAAGAAATCTCAGAGACTGATAAGAATCCTGTTTAATTAGTTTTGGAGACAGACATGGAGAGATCAGAGTTGTTGGAACAAAAGGAGAAATTGGAAAGTTCAGAGGATCTAAATGCAGGAATAAAATTATAAGAAATATATGAAAGACTTGAAGTGATTGAGGCACATTTAGCTGAATCAAAAGCAATTAAAATATTACAAGGATTGGGATTTACTGAGGATTTAATGTATAGAAAAACCAAGCATTTATCAGGAGGTTGGAGAATGAGAGTGTCATTGGCAAGAGCCTTGTTTGTATAACCAGATGTATTACTATTGGATGAACCCACAAACCATCTTGATTTAGATGCAGTTATGTGGTTGGAAGATTACGTAATTAATTGTAGACACACTGTCATTGTGGTATCACATGCAAGAGAATTTTTGAATGTGGTCTGTAATTAAGTTATCCATTTCTATGACTAAAAGTTAACTCCATATACAGGAAATTATGATTAATTTGAAAAAGGAAGAGCTGAAAAGAACACTAATCAAAAGAAATAATTTGAATCCTAATAGAAGAAATTGTCTCATATGCAATCCTTCATTGATAAATTTAGATATAATGCAAAGAGAGCATCTCTAGTCTAATCACGTATCAAAGCTATTTAGAAAATGGATTTGATTGATGAAGTCCTAGAAGATCCAAGTTGTGTATTCATATTCCCAAATCCTGAAAAATTGAGACCACCCATGTTGAGAATTGAAGAAGGATATTTCGAGTATCAGTTAGGTAAACCAATCCTAAAGGGACTTAATTTTGCAGTTGAAATGGAATCTCGTGTTGCTATTGTTGGTGCCAATGGTGTTGGTAAATCAACATTATTGAACTTGTTAACTGAATAAAGAAGGTTAACTGAAGGTAATTACTTCAGAAATCCAAGATTGAGAATTAGCATGTTTACTCAGCATCACATTGAATAATTAGATCTCATGAAGAGTCCTTTAGAATAATTGATGACTACTTTCCCTGGAGCTTCTGGTGAAACTTATAGATCTCATTTGTCATCATTTGGTTTGAATGGTAATTTGCAATTAAGACCTCAATATTTATTGTCAGGAGGTCAAAAGAGCAGAATATCATTTGCAATGGCTGTTTGGAACAATCCTTAAATTTTAATTATGGATGAACCTACAAACCATCTTGATATCGATGCTGTCAATGCTTTAATTATTGCTTTGAATAACTTCACTGTATTGAATTCTGTTATATTATTAGGGTGGCTTAGTGATAGTTTCACATGATCAATACTTTGTTTCTACAGTCTGTGATTAGATTTGGTATATAAAGGAAGAGAGACTTAAGAAGTTCAATGGAGATTTTGATGATTACAAAAGAGCTCTATCAGAAGGAAAATTAGCTTGAATATCTTATTATCAATATAATACAATTGTGTACAATAAATTAATTAATTTATTAAAATGCAAACAGTGTTCAAGAACGCTTTAGCCAAATATAGAGTAGTTTTTCTAAGACATGGTGAATCCTAATGGAATAAGGAAAACAGATTTACAGGATGGCATGATGTTACACTCTCTTAAAAAGGAGTTGAAGAAGCTAAAGCTGCTGGATAATTACTAAAGAAAGAAGGATTCTAATTCCATTAGGTTTACACATCAGTTTTGACAAGAGCTATTTAAACATACAATTACGCAGCCGAAGAAATGGGATGTCATTACTTGCCAGTCACCAAAAGTTGGAGACTTAATGAAAGACATTATGGTGCCCTATAAGGCTTAAATAAGAGTGAGACAGCATAAAAGCATGGAGAGGATTAAGTCAAAATTTGGAGAAGATCATATGATATCCCACCTCCTCCTTTGGATCCAACAGATGCCAGAAATCCAGCCAATGATAGAAGATACGCTGATGTACCTAAAGATGCTTTACCACTCACTGAATGTCTCAAAGATACCGTTGTTAGAGTTATTCCATACTGGCATGATCATATTGCTAAGGACATTCTAGCTGGTAAGAATGTTTTAGTGGTTGCTCATGGAAATTCATTGAGAAGTATTGTAAAGTACTTAGACAATGTTTCAGAAAAAGGTATGAAATACTTATTCAATTAGACATTCTTGAACTAAATATTCCAACAAGTGTTCCATTAGTTTATGAATTCGATAGCAATTTAAAATCTTTGGGATCCTATTATTTAGGAGATCAAGAGGAAATTAGAAGAAAGATGGAGGCTGTTGCTAAATAGGGAGCAAAGAAATGATAAAATAATATTGGTATCAATAAACAAAAACAAAAATCACCTTCATTCATCATCATTTGAAAAATGAAAGCTTTTTGAAGTAATCCTTGGTAATCTGTTTTTCCCTGATTCAGGTCTAAAACTTAGGTTATTTTCAACTAATGATTGTCTGAAGTCTGAATCGCAGAACAAACTTGAGATTTATTTCACCTTGGCAGATAAATATTGCATTTCAGCTTGAGGCCTAACTTCCATTCCATGTTCTATTTAAATAAATAGTGATACATTTTCCTTAAATATGAAGAGGTCTCTGGGAAGAGTTCAAATATATCCTAGTGTCTCCAAAAACATCTTCATTATTCTGTAATGAGGGTTAAATATTAATTTTTAATTAATTTTAAGGATTTTGCATTGTATATTAAAGTTTATCAACTTTTTAGTCAGGCTTTATTTATTCTTGTTGTTTTTCATATTAAAAATATTATTTCACATATTACTGATTGTTTATGTTATCAGAAAGGTTTTTTTGTTCATTCGAATTGTTTCTTGTTAATTCTGCTTTTTATTTCTATTTCTGAGATTCCAATTTTTGTTCATTTCGATAAGTTTTACAAATGTGGTCGAAGAGTAATTAAACGTGTCGAAATAGAGTTTCTATTTATCCGATCTAATCTTTCAAACAGAATTGCTTTTCAATCTTTTTACTAATTAGCAACGGTCTAAACTTTTCTTGAGGCTTTTCAATTTGTTTAGCTTCTTGTATCTGTTAAGGATTCAATGACATAGTATTTATAGTTTTATGTATCCCATTAACTGTTGATCTAATGTTTTTCATTTCACAGTCGATTGTAACAATTTAATTTAAGGCTCCTTAATGTTATTGACAGTAATCGAATTCCATCTATTCCAATTTTTACTTAATTTAATTTTCATTTTTGATGATCTATTCTTATTTTCTTTCCAGTTCCTTAAGTGTATTTTGATCTTATGCCAAAATTTGCATTACTTATTCATTATTGCAGTTCTTTTAGTACGAAACATCTTGAAATTAATTGACCATTTATTCTCGTAAATCATTAATAGTGGTTTTGAGGAGTTCTTACTAATCCTTTATACTAATTTAAATGATGATTGAGTTACCTATGAACCTATTGTTACAGCACTTCCTTGAATAATGTATTTTGATTTTATAAAGCTTAGAGTTTTTTTTGTTGTTGCTTTTGGCACTCCACCTAAAACTCTTTTTGGATGTTGAGATGGTTTTGAAACTCTTCATACTTTGATTCGTATTTTCTGATTTGAGTTTGAAAGTTTTAAATTGAATGAAATTGATTTGTTATTCTTTCATCTATTAACTTTGAATATTCAATCATTTTGTTTTGAACAGTCTCCTCGGTCGATTTCAATACTTTGTCAACTATAAACTACCCTATATTCTGGTTGGTTAACAAGTTCTTTTGAATTATACTTGCGATATAACGATCATTAGATTTTGATTCCCACTTTTTGTCTAATTCTTTAATTATTTCATCATATTGGCTGAATCTTTGTTCTAATTCTATTATTCTATTTTATTCTGAAATTTCTTTTTATTTTTAAATGCGTTCAAATTCGATGATTTTATCATTAACTTATTCCTCATATTTCTTATACAGATTCCCTACCTATTGATCCAAATGCTCCTTCAATTCACTAACACTCTATGTAAGATGAAATCATACTTTCGTATTCTGATCACAGATATATCGACTACTTTCATTCTCTTCTTTTTAGATTGACAACGCATTTTGGATTTACTCAATAAAGAAATTAGTTTTTGTGTCTAGCAACTTAAACTCTTAATTTAAAGTGCTTATCCTCAATAGCAAATCAGTATTGATGGTTTATGTCATTTTTAAGTTATTAATTTTTAAGATTATTTTATAATCATTATCTTGGAGATATATGTTATTTTACAAAGGATAAAATACAGTAATAAAACAAGTTTTGTAAATTAACTAGATAAATGAATTTGAGAATATTTATATAATAAATTAATAAATAGATGATAAAGGAGAAAGTGATTTTGAGAAGTGAAGTTTATCATGTGTATTCATCAGAGTAATAAGAAAGAATGAAGGTGTATTTCGATTTATCAGAAAGTAACGATCACATTGATTTAAAATGGTAGAATATCAAAAGTGTTTGGAACCATGTTAAAAATTAGTTGAGGGTGAGATTTGCAAAAAGAATTGTGAGAATATCTTCAACGATTACACTAAATTACTACAGCATCGCTACGAGGGAGACAAAAAGCAATTAATTGACGCCAAGGTAATTCACACTCTTAAGTACTAGGTTTCCGGATTGCCCTCTTTCGATAGTTTCAAGAGAAAGGACAGAGGCTTCTTTTATAAAGTTTTCGGGTTTAATTTCAGCGAATTCTGGGAACCTGATCAAAGACAAATCAAGCAAATCTGAATATGCAAAACAATATATATAAAAAAAACACTTTTAATATCAAGAATCAATTTCAAACCAAGAATGCTGCATTAATTCTTGGCAGGATGGTCTTTTATTTGGATCCATCTCAAGCATTTAAGTTATTAGGTTTTATAGTTCTTTTGATCTCTTTTTCCAATCAAACTTTCTAAAGGGTATGGGACCTTATGAATACTTGTATCTAGAAAAATAATAATAGATTGAACGACCCTTGAATTTGAGTAGGTTTATAACCACAACTCATCGTATACAATATTATTCCAAGAGACCAGATATCTATCTTAGGAGTCACAACAGCATTGTTTGTTATTTCTGGGGCTATGTAATTGGCTGTTCCACACTTCACTGGCATCAGACCTTGTCCTGTGTTTAGATCGTAGACATGCACCAATCCTAAGTCTCCTAATTTCACCTAATTAACAAAGTCGAATACATTTCTAAACACCTGATCCTCCAATTTTTCACAGAACAGATTCTCTAATTTGATGTCACAGTGAATATATCCTAGCCAAGAATCGGTAGAATACCTTGCTTATGCAGGTAGTCTAGTCCTTCCAATACATCCGACATGTAGGACTTCATTTTGGCCTCAGTTGATATTATCTTAAGTTCCTTTACATATTTATGTGATTGTTATTACAGTTTCAATTTTATCCCTAAAATAGTTAGCATTGTTCATGTATTCTAAAATTAGTGTATATTCTTCTTCGTTTTGAAAACAATCATATAGTTCCACTAAATGATCATTTTTAATTTAAGAATGTACTTAACATTCCATCAAAGCTTATCTTCTTTATATATCATTGAACAATTGCTCCTTGAAAATGTGTTTAACGACGACTGTCTACTTATTATCTATTCTGATACTTGTTGCAATTCATCATCATAACCTAATTCAATTTAAGTTGGAGACATTTCTTCATTATATATTTCCTCCAAGTCCTTGTATCTGATTCTAAATTAATCCTTTGAAAATATTTTGGGTTAGTATTCTTTTATCATTCTTACTTTGAATTAAATATAATATATATTAATTTCCTTATATTACTCAATATTCAAAATAGTACACACTATTGATTTTATAAAAAATATCACAAGACTCCGTCAATTATCATTTGACCATCCTGACTTGTTTTAATCTGAATCAAGAGATCCTTCTGTTTATTCTCTAGAAATTCTAATTAATTTTTCACACCAGTATTGCTATTTTATCACTAAAATAATGTGTCAATTTCTTTGTTGAAATGTTCAGTCTCATCCTTTCATGATCGCATAATCTATTGTTGAAATGCTTTAATTGAAGTTTGCAATTTGGAACATTTAGTTAGCGTAGTTAGATCAACTTTCATTACGGATAATCTATATGATTGGAAATTATAATTAACAAAAATAACATATTTAGAATTTATTTCGTTGAAAAAGATTCTGAAAATTATAAAATAGTCAAAAGATTTAAACGGGATTTTGAGTTGTTATTTGTTCATTAGTTAGGTTTTCTGAAGTTACTGTAAATCACTCTCTACTTTTTATCAAATGTGACTTTTTTAACTGATTTTTGAGATTCTCCATCATTTTGACAATTCCTTGGACTTGGAGGATGTTTAAGTATCGGTTTATATTTTACTACTCTATTCAGTACATAATACCTTCAAGCAGTGCGCTATTTGAATCGTCTCTTGAATCATTTTATTATTCATTTTGATTGTCTTAGGGATTTAGGTTGATTCTTTCCAATTATTGTAAAGGTTCAATTTTATTTTCATTAACCTCCTATTTCGAAGTGCTTTAATCCTAAGAGGACTGTTAGGGAATCGAATATTATCTTTCCCTTTGAATATCCATAATCTCATCAGGAAAATGCAAATTAATTATCGGTTATAGCTTATGATTCTTGGGAGGCTTAGTTATATGAATCTTAGGCTTATTTTGTAGAGTAATTTCATTTTGGGAATTATTCTAAGCATTTGGGCATATTTGAGCACCCATCAATAAATGCTTAATCTAAAAGATGATAATATTTATTTGATCGCATAAAATTAGAAAATGATGGATTGCCAAAACTTAGAAACAAAAAAAACCTTAGAAACGTAAATTACTAAGAAATATATTTAATATAAATTTTTTTGAAATTCTCAATTACAAATACTTCCATTCTTGATCTAATCATATATATATTAAATATATATTACAAAAATTATTAATAAATAATTAATGAATTTTAAATAAGCACTAACTTCATCACAATCTCTAAAAATTCTCATCAAAAAATAAATTAAAAATTGATATTAAATAATTCGAACTAATTAATATTAAACAAACTGATATTATAAATTAATTATGATTTCAATCTGACAATTTCAATTTACAGGCTAAATAACTAATAAATAGACCACTCAACCACACATGATGACTAACAAACAAAAATTCTAAATTACTCATAATATGATATTACTTTTGATTGTATCTGAAAAATTACGCTGCACTTAAAGGATGTTGAATGCAATTACAAAAATTAGAAATAAAATTACACAAGCTAATGCCCAACTCCATGCGGCAAAATTATTTATACAAATAATAGAGACTGATAATAGTGGAAAGTATGTCGAAACCAATTCATTCAATCCATCAAACACTTTGGCAGTCCTAGTCTAATTTTGAATATTATAGTATACATTTTATGTAAGATTTGGTGAGATTGTTGATAATTGAGGAATTTACTAGAATTATTATTATGACTATTGTATCTGCTTTTTCTCTCCTTCATCCACCATATTCATCTGTTGATGATGCATATCATTCCCAACAATTTGTACCTCTAAAATACGATTAATGATTATCTCATATACCTGGCCCTTAAATCCCATCATGATCCAGTCTTTTAGGCTCATTGCTTTTACGATCCTGAAGACTTTATTAACTATATGACTTTGCTCTATTTTCTGATTAATCCAAATGAATGCTAGTCTTAATGTAAAATTTCAGTAGAACAGCACTTACGAATAATAAAAAGGGAAAGAAAAACCAGAAAAACTCTATAACTTGAGAGGATGTAATCTATTCTGACATTAGTAATTTTTGAAATTAATATTAGTATATTTTAGGTGAAACAAAAGCTAACTAAAAATAATCCCATTCACAAAGAACTTTATTCGGTTGGGTGTTCTTACTAAGATCATGCACTCTGAGAGTTTTAGATTCGCATTATAATAATGAAGATTCAAAAACAAAGTGAAATTAGTTGATGTAGTTGTAATTATTATTGAAGTACAATTTTCATAAAACAAAATAAGAATAATATTTATAAATCAAGAATTCATTTTTCTTAGCAAAAGTTCATTTATCTTTCATAATCAAGAGATGGTTTTTATACAAATTTGAAAAGTTTTCTAATTATTAATAATTATTATAGAGGTAATTAGTGCTATCATCCGAAAGATTTGTGTCAGAGTTGATTTCCACTATAACAGCACTTTATGAAATCTGCATAGGATTTTATAAAATGTTAGAAATCGAGGATTACTTTTTTTCAAAGCATTCCAATGTAGAAGGTATTTGTAAAGATTGACTAATGTTTTGTAATGTATATTTACCATTTAACTGAAAAAGGCTACATTTTTTCACTCTATTGCATGATTTTAGCCTATGCAATCACCTCCTCTTCTTTGCACCAATCAAACAAATTGTCATACTCAAATCCATGTCTTTATCCTAATTTCCTAAAGAGATTTATTAAATAGTCGTAATCAGGTTCAACCGAGAAACCGAGACTCTTAATATGGCTCAAATTAGACAGATGAAATTTACTCTAAAGCTTTTTAGAACTCAATTGGTAAATCCTAACAAATTTCAGTAGAGCTTAATTTAATCTTTTTTTCGCCTATCAGTTTTTATCTCTCTTTGTTGTTTTGAGAAAGCTAGTGTTGCCATGGTAGAACTCTTTAATCTAAATTAAAAATCCTTTATACCCTTTCAAAAATAGAACTAGGATGTAGATTAATGTTTCCAGGTCGTCTTTTCTGCTTAATTCATGACCCTTATGAGCAGCAATAGGAGCATATCGAGTAGTTCCTACAAATGGTCTCCCCTCTCTAAATGGTCTAAATATCATAAGATCTATTTTTACATATGTTTTTAAGTGCTATCTCTGTATATCTTACTAATCCCGAAATCTACAATGTAAATTTATCTCTAATGATACATAAGATTTTCAGGCTTCAAATCTCTGTGCAAGATGGATTTCTGATGAACATTCCTCAGAATTTATATTAATTAATCTGCAATCATTAATACTGTTTTGAGAGTGAATTTTCGGTACTCCTTTAAGTAGCACCCGAGATCCTTGGATAACAATTGCATGACAAGGACATTTTGTCCATTGTGAGTTCCATTCCAATAGATTTAGGGGATTCCTGCAATTTTTGACAATCGAGATAAGGATGAGACTTCTCTTTCCAGGGTTTGAGGTTTGTCCTTTTTCTCAATCTTGATAGCAACAGAAGTTTTAGTTGGAATGTTCTCACCCTCATAGACTATCCCATAACTACCGGCTGATAATTTCTTTATTAGTTGATATTGATTGTTAATGTAATTCATATTATTTTTCAAAATAATTTAATATTTTAAAGTTACCCTTAATATATATTATTTCATCATAATTAAATTAGTGCAATATTGAGGTTTGAATTGAATAAATTTAAAAAATTTAGAGTGTTGAATTTGTTAATCAACATTGAATGATGGAAATCGCTTATCAGGGTACCCAAAGTAAGGAGTACTCACAGAGCACGCATTTGCTGCACTATCTATAGACAAACACTTTAATTTGGCAAATTGGATGAGTGTGGAGTCTCAATCATTACAAATCAAATATACTTATTATAATTTAAACTATAATTAATACATACAGCTTATAATATACCAAAATATATCTTCTAAAATTAATTTATTAAATATTATTTTTAAATTTCCTCATTTATTTGAAGGAAATGATGCCTTTCTTGGTGGTTTATATGCATTACACATTAATTGATAATAAATATATATTTAAAAGTTCAATAAATGGCAGCAGAGGGCTCTTTAGAATGGAAATATATGCCTGTGACTGGGGTTTTAGTCGATCAAAAATCAAATAAAGTTATATGGGAGCTGAAATCTGAAGATTCATAGTGGCCAAAAGATTTATTTACAGTCTCCATTTCTTAGTCGAAGGAGTTCATGTCTGATCCTGAGCTTGGATGGAATTGGCACAAATCATGGAACTTACCTGACATAAATTACACATTAAATGTACTGATAAATCAAGTATATAGTTTAAAAAAGATGATACTACAATGAGAGACTTTAGAGGAGGGATTTTGGAAGTGTAAATTTTTGTTATCAAAAGAGGACTGATTACTAATCAATACATTAGTCTTGGATTAAGAGGAAATACCAAATTAGCATTATTTGAACCTTCTATAACATTTAGTGGATTGAAATTTGCAACTACATCTTACAACAATAAAGTAATTCAGAAATATAGATTTAGTACTCCAAGTTTAACTTTATATTTGTGTTATCTTATTCCAGAAAAGAAGAAGTTCTGATATTAGACTCGTAAATCTCTTCAGATGTGTTTGTAGACTCAAGAAATAGAACTGGTCATAACAGTAGAGACATATCCTAAGAAATGTTTTTAGATCTTTTTCCTCCCTAGTTTATTGATTAAATATTTTATAAAAGAGAAAATGCGAAACAGAACTCCAAATTTAGTTAAATTGATAAATCACTTCAAGGTTTTATTAATTACTACACATCTCCTAACATTAGGAACAAGATTAAGCATCCCCTCTTCATGGTTATGAAGTTCCCTAAATGTGTCAAATTATTCTTTGGTGCTAATTTTATAAAAAAGTCGGAGAGTGTATTAATGCAAGTGTTGTCCCATTTAAGTTAAGTCAAACAACAATTGAGCCAGTCAAACGAGATGAAACTATTAATAAAAGTTGAAAATTCTAATTAAAACACATTAAAGAAAGTAAATTTTTATTAATATATTATAGGCTCTAGATATAATTAAATAGTTGGAGAATAATTATTATGAAATATACACTCAAAGAGCCAACATCCCCTCAGACGCAGTAGAAATAACCGACATCTACTCTTTAACTAGAGAATACAAGAGGAAATACCAACATTTTATCGATCATGCAGAAGGCAAGAAATAAAATGAAAATTTCAATGGCTCCAAGCCTCAAAATGCCAAGTTAAAGCAAACCCAGAAAGGTCTTGACTAAGTTGTGTTCCAAGATGACCCCAAATAACATTTAATTTAAGTGACTGCTGACCGTATGCAGCCTCTTTCAGGCCAGATTCGTTAAATCTCTAAAAAAATATAATTAAATCACCAACAACATAGTCAAGAGAATCAAGGAAACCAAGCAGAACAAGTAAAAGACGAGAAGGAATAAGAAAATCATGCTTAAAATTTGTTAGAGAAATAGGTAGTTTAAAAAGATAAGTAAATTTATTATTTTATTTAGAATAATGAAACAGGGCGCTGCTATGAATCCTAATTTATCGAATAACTAATTTTAAGCTCCTGAAGTAATATAATCTTTATGTAGATCTTCAATCAGTTCTCCAATCTTTAATATTGTAATGCCTACCAATAAGATTACAACTAATTCCTATAGTGTTACCATAGCAATTAATAATACGGTAATTTTAATTTAATGTATCCCTATTATTACCATCAATATCAACCAAAGGAATGATTTATAAATATAATTTTATATTCAGAAAAATTATTTATAAATTTCCAATTTTCCTTATTATCTCAAAATTTATTTATCATAGTTAACTGCTAGGATTTCCTGGGAATGATTTAAGTTTTCGACAGGAACTAGCTTCTTGAAGGGTCCCTTGTGTTTTCTTTTCGTATTAGGCATTTAGTTATTTGATGTACTATTTTTAATTAATTAGAACTCCTTCTAATCATTGATTATTTTACATAAACTCGATGTCTCTCGAGCCAATTGACTCAATCCTTCTATCTATAAATAATGAGGATGTCTACTTATAGATTTTGGATTGAATTTCCTTGAGCTGTCAATTCATTCACCCTGTCCTACCTTTCTTCAAATCTTTAGACAAAACTCTTGGGTCTCTTATAAACACCTGAGTTGTTCATCTATTTTATGATTTCCAAACCTTTTGCCCTTATTTTTTAGTTGGTTTCCAATACTTCTGAACTCGATCTTAATTATCTTTCCTTAAAGTCAAGAGAATATTACCCATAACTTATTTCCGTGCCTTTCTGCATCAGTTTATATTAAATCCAAAAGCTTTCTATCCTCATTCCTTTCTCTTTCTGCCTAAATTTTATTATAAATTGATTAGGAAACGTGTCTTTTACATCTTTAAGCTGACTTTATCACTCTTTGTTGCCAATCTATTTATTGTTATTCAAAAGATTTCATGATTCTATCATCTTTCTCAGCAGCAGCCAGATCTGCTTGACTTAATTTTGATAAAGGGAGTTTAAATTGGTTCATTTTTTATTAGATATGCACTTATCGAATTTCATTTTCAACCTAGCCAAGTTCCATATCAAACTCAATGAATTAATCCTCTTCTACTTGATTATTTTGTTGTTTTTGTGAAACCTTGGATTTATATTCTTTGTAACTTATGGGCTTGATTTTTATATTCATCGATGAATCTTCTGTAGGTTAAGGATTGTTTAATTTTTTATCCATGATTTCCGGTTTACCAACTATATAATACGGAACTATCTTTCCATTTCTATATAATCGCTATTCGTCAATCTCTTGTTAAGTCATAAAGATGTTTGCGTTTTTGTTTAAAGTTATAGACTTTCTCAATAAGTAGTGTTAAACAGAAGACATTTATTAAATAATTTATTATAAAGGGGTTTATAAATATATTATATTTTGATAAAATCTCAAGCCTCCAAGAAACCTGTTTAAATCTCAGTTAACTGCTTTTCAAAAACTCAATTAAATGGTATCCAAGATCCTCAATTATTGCTTTATTAAAATTCCGAACCCTACGATAAGTTATTCTTCAATCGGCAAAGCTCATATGATACCCCCAATGATATATTTGCCTTATTTTTCGAATAATTTTATCCCTTCAAAATTATATAGGTCTAGAAATTGTTCAAAATTTTTAATTAAAATTATACTAGTTAAATACGCGCAGTATAAAAGTAATGTTTTAACAATTCCTTGAATTTTTGATGATTTTTTAAAGATTTCATATAGAAAAAGTTATAATCTGTCATTAATACAGAGTACTTGAAGGTATTCATAAATAATAAATTTTTAAGATATAAGGCAGTATAGGAATGATATGCTAGTTAGTTAGATAAATAGACAATTGAGGTGGATGTAAAATATAGTGGAAATGATGATATTCTGATTATCACATGTAAATAATTAAATTTGCTAGTTATATAATATATTTTAAATGCATGATATTTATATTAGTGACCATATAAATAGAAAGTAAATAAATTTATTTGAAATATTATTTTAAATAACGGAAGATATGAGTTCTCTTTTAAGGCATAATTAGGATGCAGGTATTTCTAATAATAATTAAATAGCTGCCGTTCCTGCATTAGCAAGTATACCAAGTCCATAAACTACAGATTATGATTGGGTTTTGGTTTCTGGATTTATAGTAATATTGACTTAAGTTGGGTTTGCATTTATTGGAGCAGGATCAGTCAGATATAAGAATTCATAATCAGTAGTAATCAAAGTCTTCTTGGGATTATTTTTAACTGTATTGATTTGGTGGTTGGTAATTAATAAAGTAAATATCGTTAGTTTGGCTATGGCTTTTCTTTCGGAGATGATTTCTAAACTAAATTCTTGGGAGGAACAAAATTGGCAGGAGCAAAATGGGAAGCAACAGCTTATGGAAATGATTATACAAACTTTGGTAATATTGATAATTAATTTGAAATTAGTATTCCGAGCATCAGGTGCAGCAGTAGGAACAGCAATATTGGCAGGAGCAGCAGCCGAAAGAATGACATTTTTGGGTTGGTCAATCTTCTCTGTTTTATATTCTGGATTTATATATGCAGGATTAACACATTGGACATTGGCAGCAGGATGGTAATTTGAAATTCAAAAATAATTTAGGTTGAGTACTCTTGGATTTAAAGATTTCTCAGGTGCAGGAGTTGTTTTCTTTGCTGCAGGTGTTGCAGGATTGATTTTGACAATCCTTTTGAAACCCAGATAAGCCAGATTCGATAATGGAGCCACACTTGATTTCAACAGACATTCTCCATTGTACATTGGATTTGGATCATTGTTGGTCTTGGCTGGATGGCTTTTCTATAATGGAGGAGTTGTCAATCAAGGAGCTAAAACTCAATACACCTAAGGTTTAGTGGCTGTTAACACTTTGATTGCTGGAGCCACCGGTGGATTCTTCAGTTTTGTCATCAGACATTTCTAATATGGAACCTCAAACTTGGCAGCCTTGTCTAGAGGAGTTATTTGTGGATTGGTAGCAGTCAGTGCAGCTGCAGATGACATGAAGCCATGGACAGCATTCCTCTATGGTGCTATTGCTGCTTTGATCTACAGCTTTTTGGCTAAAGTTATGCCTGCTGCTCATATCGATGACCCAGCTGAGGTTGTATCAGTTTATTTTGTAATAATCAATGTGTTATTTTGATAGGGTTCAGGATTCATTGGAATCGTGTTATCAGCATTATTCGACACAAAAGCAGGAGCATTCTATGGATTCGGAGCTAAGTTATTAGGCAAACAATTCTTGGGATTGTTGATCATCTTTGCATGGGTGGCCTTCTTTACCTTGATTATCCTCCTAGCTTTCAAGGGCTTCGGTATATTGAGAATTGATGCTGAGACTGAGAACGTTGGTATTGATAAAGCTTTATGTAAATATAAACAAATAGACTTTAGGTTTGGGTGAAGCCATCGTGTTCGCTAACCAAGTAGATGAAGTACCTCTTGTTTAATAAACTGAATTAGGAAATCTTAGATCAAGCTAATTAGGATCAGGATTAAGATCTGGATTCAGATGAATCAATTAGATAAATTATAAATTAGAACATCTATTTATAAATTTCATCCTTCTTTCTTTAACACATTTAAAAATGACTTTGCAGCATACTCATAATCTTCTAAACAATTGTAAATAGTGGCACTGAATCTAGCCCATGATTTTCCATCAAACTCAAAGACAACTACAAACACACTATATTTCTCATAGCACTATTAAATTAATCTTCATTATTACATTCTTCGAACATTCCAATATGTAAGAGTGATCCTTGTGTGGCACCAACACATTAACCATAGCAGAATGCATGGCTTTGTCCTTGGGCCAACAATTCTGTTTCCCAAATTTTGGCAACCAAATTGCTACCTTCCCATGCTAAATTTTCACAATATTCAATTATTTATTTTAGACCAAATGAGTTGATATAGTTTATTCCATCGATTACTGAAAGGATAATACTCGCATCTCTAGTACCATAATACTCAAATTCCTTTTCGATGCCAGCCCCGTAAAATACAGACACAGTGTTGTTATGTATTTAATTCAAATATTTCTCCTTCATATATAATAAGTTAACACTACATGGACAAAATGCCCATTTGTTCAAATTTGTAAAAAAGAAATCAGGGTCTAACTCTTTGAGATTGATTTCACTAATCCCAGCACCATGAGCTCCATCGATAATGCTTATTACGTCATATTTCTTGCACAATTCGATAAACTCCTTGGTTGGTAATTTTATTGACGGCTGTGATGAAATATTATCCAAAACCGCTACTGTTATTTTCTTAGACTTCATATTTTCTAATCATATTATCTACTCTTACCCTCAATATACTAGAGGATAATCTCCTTCTTTAAGTCTTCAGCTTTTAGTTCTACCATACATGTGTTCACCTTAAAGTTAGTATTCATATATTTTATCACATTCTTTACCATCGGATAGGCTATATTCAAATAGAGTATGGTATCCTTGTCCGACAAGCCCAAATCTCAAAGATATTAAGATGAGTACTTTTAAGTATGCTATTCATGGACTCTGCTGAGTTATTTGAGAAGAAACACTGATTAGGACTTGCATTCAAAAATTCTGCTGCAGTTTATCTAACTAGCGGAGATTATTTTGGAATTGTGTATCGGGCAAAACAATCAGGGTTTTCAAGAAACTTTCTATAATTATCGATTCTTTATTTGAAGACGCATTTAGGGATATAGCCAAAGCTACTGTGGTTAACACAAGTGTATCCAGGTTCAATAACAAATTCCTCTTTAAATTCTTTTCCAAAATTTTTCATTATACTAATATCTTGTTATTTAAAAAGAAATACTAAACAATTTAACAAATTAATACAATTTTTAATTAAGTAATTAACAAAGAAATTTTTAATAATCACAAAAGTAATAAATACTAATATAATATTTCTTTATATAATTAGTAAATTTATGATAATTGTATATTCAATCATAAAATGCAAATTCAATTTGTTATGCTTTGAAAGAATGATTAAATATTTTAGAAATATGCTCCCTCATCCTTCATCCAATTTCCATTGTGATCCCCATCAGCTATATGATATTCTCGCTTCAACTCAGAATTTTCAGATAATTCAATTAGCCTTTTCATGTGATTGTAGGAAACTAATTCGTCCTAACCAGCTAAAACATATAGAATTTAATTACATGATATAAATAGAATGGGCAATTTGATGTTTTTAATGGTATCACAACTTCTCCATTGATTCTTTGAAAATAGGAGATGTGAAATTGGTAGATTAGGAACTAAATCATTGACAACATCATTAATTGAAGTGAAAGTATTCTCTAAGATGATGGCTCTTATTTTCTCTTTCTTAGAATCCTAAAAATAGTTGGCTGCATAAATGGAAACTGCTCCACCAAGACTCCTTCCATGTATAAAAACATTATTTTTGTCTATTTCTAAATTTGTGAAAACGTATCTCACAATAGCAATAGCATCCTTTTGAATCCCTATTTGATTTGGATTACCTGAACTTTCGTCGTATCCTCGATATGCTACAGCAACGATATTACATTTTAAGTTATAGTAATATTTCTCAAAATAGTCTAAGCGATATCCAAGATCTAACATTTACTTTTATAATACTTCCAGCATTCTCATGGAAAAATATCAATGTAGGGGCCTGAGCTGATTATTCCTATTATATGAACCACCCTTTCAATTCAATACTATCATGTTTTATGGATATTGGCGAAAATTTTAGGTTTCTAATAATTTAGTTACTCATTACCTGGCAGCTGGAGAACGATAATTCGGTGGATTTTATTTTGATGTCTGTTATCCATCAACAGCTAAAGGATTGAAGTTGAAATCATACTTGGTACGTATAATATACTCTCTTGGAACATCTTGACACCAAAAAGTAAAGCAGCTAAGGGTCCAATTCCACAAGGAGTCTAATTTAGATAGAGCTCAACGAAATTTGCAGATATTTTTAGTTGCATATTAAAATAATATATTATAAATGCTTTTATTTTTGTAAACTCAAAGAAATATAGAAAATATCCACACTCTTTTTTATAGTAGTTATTTTCATCTTTACTTATTGATGTTTAGCTTGATATGCTGTTTTGATGGCAATTAATCTTACTTATTTTTGGAGAACTGCTAAACTTAGTTTCATTAGTTGATTTTATTTTCTTATTTAATTCTACTTCTAAACTAAATTCCTTAATATAATTATAAAAGAGAATTAATTAGCATTCCAAGTCTTAGATGTTGTTATTTGGATTGAAATTCCTATTGTTTAATTTGTTTTCTTAGACTCTCAATTTCAACTAGGAAGGTTCAAAGAGTGTCAATGAAGTATACAAATAATTGGCTAACAAATTTAGCGTTGTGCTCTTAATTCATTTATTTAATTATATTTTGTTATTTTATTATTTATACATTTAAAGTTAGGATGATGGATTATAGTTGCGATAACTTTGAAGTAAATGAAAGTAGAATAACTTTGAATGTAAATCGAATTGTTATGAAATTGTATAGAAAGATGAAGAAATAAAGAAGTTAACTTTGGAGGAAGACTTACCAGAGATCAAAAGAGCATAAATAATTTTGATGAAAGGATAGCAACGCTAAAAGTTAGCTGTAATTTATTTTCCAACTTTGGTAGATATATAACAACCTACACAGATTGCTATCTCTGGGTTTTGATCAATTGTATCAATATATCAGAGGAGATATAATGGAGTAAAGTGAGGAATTGCAAATAATAGCAGCAAGATCTTTGCTGACTTGTAAAGTGAAGCCAAAGGAAATCATCCAATTGGCATTACATTTCATTTAACTATATCAATGGAAATTGGCATAGGCTTGGATGCCTGTGTTTCAACATTTGGTGTTACTGATTGATTATAAAGAATTTTAGACCTATTTAGAGAAAATCATAATCCAATTTAGTGAACCAAAATAGCCTGAAATCGGGAGATGGGTCGGAGCCAAAATGATAGTGTGCATTTCGCCAGTCTTGAAGGATGAAATGAAAGGCCCCATATTGGATAGAGCTCGTTTATTGTGTTCAGATCCAGATCATGAAATCAGGGAACTAGTGGCTGATGAATTGCTTACTTGTTTGATATGCAACTTGTCAGGGGAATTAGTAGAACAATACTTCATCGACAAAATAAATGAATTGTTGTATGACACTCAAATAAACGTGAAGAAGAGCATGATTAGGACTTTCCTGCGATTTCAACACAAATTCCCGAGAAACAGTTATAATGTAATAATCAGAGTAGATTAGGGTAGATCAAAGAGACCACAATTTTCATTGATTGTTTATCCACCAACAATGTAGAGTTGTTGAGTGTGGCTTTGCAATACTGCGGGGAGACATTCGTGCAGATCCAAGATTTGATTAATGATGAGTTTAAGAGCAAGTTCACGGGGTTGTATTAGAAATTTGGTCAGCATCAGAATGACGAGATTCGGAAATGGTATTTATATAATTTACCTGGAATCATCTTGCATTTGAATGAAGGCCCTTATGCAAGTTAAATTTTAGTGCCATTTGCAGATATTTTAATATAGGATAAGAGTCATGAGAACAAATTGCTGGCTTGCAAAATATTGCATGAAGTTTCGAAATAGTTTGATGTAATTGAAGTACATAAATCTTAAAGTACAGTTATGTGTTACAAAAGATGTGGCATTTGTTTGAGTGTGTGATCTAGAGTGAAGATCTTGATTGCATATTAGCCATCAATTTACCTGAAATGTATAGGTTGTTGTAGGGCAACGAACAGAACCAGGAAAAGCTAGTAATTATATCAATTCACTATTCCACTAGAAAACTTAGTTTAAAGACATCAATTAATAATTGCAAAAAGTCTATCAAAAATGCTTAAGCAATTATTAATGTAATTAACTGTTTTTAGAGCAGCTTCTCAATTTCCTACACCTAATTAACAAAAAGCATTTTGAACAACACATCCTGCCAGTCCTCTACAAGGAACAATAAAACATTCACTCAGACCTCCTGTCAATGAAATGCTTAGCCAAATTCTACAGTGTTTGTCAAGACTACGAAATCCAAATGAAGATCAAAGACACCATGAATCTGATGTTCTTCCGAGGCAACAACAACAAGAGAGTCCGTTACATATTTTGGGTGTCCAATCTGGTACAATACATCAGTAAAAAGCGATTTCAAGAACTCAATGTAATTATACGTTTTTGATTTCCTCTATAGCTCAACCAAATCATCTCTTATAGCTCTGACAAAGCTGCGAGTGTGTAAATACAATTGATTAAATCTTTGCCTCAATTCTACTAGTATTTGGAACCTATTGAATACAATCTTATTAAAAATGTCAAGGGAGTAACTCAGCAATCTCTGGCCAAAGATGCATTCCTCTTAATTCAGTAAAGATAATAGCAAAATCAAAACTTTTAGGAAGAGTAGACTTTGCTCATTCAATAAGAAGAAGCTGTATTTACTTAATTCACTTAACAACAGAAATAAGAGAAGTAAAATGATCTCATCTAAACTAATGAATATGCAAATAAATATCTCAAGAAACCCATTCCGAAATTGGTTTAATAACAATCCAAAAAGACTCCAAATGCATCTACTTCTGTGAGGTATTTCAATTTTTAAATATTTTTTTAAATTTAGATTAGCCAATCAATCATTTGGTGAACTTACTCCTTAATAATAATAATAACAACAATTTAAAAGAGTCCGTAGATATACTGATGCTGCCAAATCAACTTCCAAACCTTCATCTAGACCGAGTGGATTTACATAAAAATGAGATTTACGATTATTAATTTAAAACATCGGCATATATTAATTAATAAATTAAATATGAGTCGATAAGTTTATGTTGGGCGTCTGAGTTCCAGGATCCGAAGAGAGCACCTTCAATAAGAGTTTGAGAAGTTCGGCAAAATCAAGGACATTGATTTACGAAACACTCATGCTTTTGTTGAGTTTGAGAATGGAGATGATGCCAAGGCAGCCATTTCAAAAATGGACAACAAACGATTGAATGAAGGCAGTGATCGTATCACAGTCAAACCAAGAGGTAGAAAAAAGAGATGGATGAAATTGAAAAGATGATCGACCGTAAGGTGCAAGAGGACCCACATCCAGAGACGTATGTTTCAACTGCGGCCGCAAAGGACATTGGGCAAACGAATGCAAAGAAGGTATGCACTTATCCCATTTCACCAGGGGACTTGCGAGACACGTGTTATCGTTGCTTTAAAAAGGGACATGTACGCAAGGATTGTCCAAAATCAAGAACGCCTTCGGAGAGAAGAAAGTAAAATCTCAATTGTATTTATGTAGTCGTCGAGACAAGGACAGGAAGCGAAGAAGATCTTCGTCCTCCTCCTCCAAGTCTTCTGAATCCTCCAGATCCAGGAGAAGATATAGATAATAGTAGAAGCAACAGAAGAAACCGAACAGAAGATCACCTTCCTCCAGCGAGAGCAGATCCAAACCCTCAATATCGTCACAAAGCTCTAGGTATTTAAAACTTATTAGTATAATTTAAGCAAACAACCATGATTTAATGAGTGTATTGTTATATTCATAAATCAATATATAATTATTATATCATATTATAATAATATATGAATTAATAATTGAATCACAGAATTGGCAAAGAACACAAAGTCGACATCGCAGAACAAAGGATACGCAACTTATTCAACATAGACATACTCTAGAATGTTCAAGTCAGGAGAACCTAGTTCATTCATTCCATCCATCCAAACCCTAAGTCCCTCATCCAAGAAGGTTACATCGTCCACTCCATACCTCTCAGAAACTGCGATAAGATGAAGATATACAACTACCCCAGGGAGAAAAGAGATCGCAGTCCGTTGCCGACATGCACCGATCAAATCCCTCAAATTACATAGGAGAAAATCTAAAGAATAATGACAACAGTAAAAAAAGATAGATCGATGAATATCTCAATTGACAATCAATCCAATATAGTGGCCAAAATGCCAGCTTTCTACACCAAGCATTAATGTATCATTTTATTAAGCTGAGCCAATAGTAAAACCTAAAAATCTATGTTATCTACTGAAAGTTTCGCAATTAGAATTCGATCGCTTAGCAAAGTCAAAGATAACCTCCAAGACTCTTCCTATTTCCAATAGAGATCGGCAACACCTTACAAAAAGTAAAGGCTCACCCAATATAAGCAGTTTTTGCAGTAACAAGTCAATAACTTTTTGCAAGACTCTTACTTTAATTGAAATATTCTAATTATATATATATTTATAATAAATAAATTTTATTGGATGTCAACAATGATAATCAATGAGGACTATGATTCTGATATAGAGATCTTTGAACAACGCAATTAGCAAAGTATCAAGTTCATACAACTTAGTTTAACAATTAAAAGAATAGTAGTTGCAATTCAAAGAACAATTATTGCAGCATATTCAGAATAAAGATTACGATTATAACTTAATATCCCCAATTCCATATCCAATGGACAAGAAGATTAGAGATAAGGGTAACAATGCAGCTAATCTGTTATAATTGAATAAAAGCCATGATTTAGCGAGCGAACGATCATAAATTTCATCCAATTATCAATTTCCATCCAAAACCAGCAAGACAAATTTAAAAGGAAATTACCTCTTCAAACAGAATTACTTGCCCAAAACTCCAAAAAAGAAAGTTGCCAATGTAACCACAACGAAATCCTATTGCAATAAGATTCAAAGCAACTTGAATAATAAGAAATCTCCTTCTAATATTTCAACATGCGAACAAAAGTCAGCAAGAACTCCAGAATAAATAAAACATTATGTGGGTGTCCTCTCGCCCTCTCCCTATAACTCATGGCTGAAGAAGGATTTTGAGAACAAATCAAAACAATATAATTTGTCTTCTTTTACAAACAAACCTGCAGACAAGCCTCGTCAAGTAATGAAGACAGAAGAAAATACTAAAATCAATAAACCCTAAGAGAAGAAAAATGTAGTTCCTGCTGAGAAACCTAAGAAGGGATTCGAACAATGGTATGATTCTTAGAAGAAATGGTAAGATTGAATGCGACTCTATTTTAGGTTGAGACAGACTGAGGAGAAGATCTTCAAATAGAAACTGTAAATGGAGTAGGAACTAGGTGAGTAGGAACAGTTTAGTCATTCTCCTGAAATTCATGAGGGATCGAGGTATATTGTGCAGAAGAAATACAATAATGCAAGTTTATTAGAAAGGTAGAAATTCTATCAGGAAGAATTGCAATACAAATAGTTCTAAAAGAAACTGAGAGAGGAGGAGGACAAGAAGATTAATTAAATTAGAATAAGTCCCTTCTCAAGAAAGATATTAAGAAGTACATCTCCTAAATCTAATTGTTCTTTCACGATTTGCAATTCCTCCAATCAAAATTATTCAACCATAATTAAAAAGTGATATTTTGTACCCCTCCTTTTTGTGTGTTTTATTTATAATATTCTCACAAATTCAATTTCTTAATAATATTTAATTATAACTTCATTTCAAATTATGAGTTCGCTTTTTGTCAAATGTATGACATGCAATTAAAAACCTGCCACTATCAAGTGCTCAGATTGTCAGCCTGGATAACTCTATCGTATATGTTATGCCTGCGATACACAAGTCCACTCCAAAAGAGGTCCTATGGAACGTCAACATAAAAAAGAAATCATACCGTATCAAGGTATCCAATAATATGCCATAAAATAGAGATGTATCTAAAGGGTTAATCGAGTACTCGAGATCAATAAACATAAGTAAAAATCAATACAAAATATTCATTTGTAGAGCAAACCTGAATTATAATAAAAGCCGAAATAATCACTATTACAATACCAATAACCATAAATTTCAAACTCAACTCAATAATTTACAGCTTCTCAAAAAGCAGGAAGAACTGATTTGGAAACCAAGAATTTACAATAAAATAAACCTTTTTCTGCTTAAAACAAAGAAGTGTCTAAATTGGAATAATAAAATAAATTTGAAATAGTCTAATAGCAAACTAAAGTAAAAAATAATTAAGTTGGAAAATAAGAAAATTAAGATATCCTTTCTGTAATTCATATCTTGAGTTTATAGGATTCCTCCAAGGAGTTGGTCGAATAAATCAAAAAGGAAAAGGAAATTAATCAAAAATTGAAGAGCGATTTGCAGTAAACCAAAGATTAACTGTAAAACATCAATAAAGAAGTGGAGAAAAGAATGTATACTTATGTTCAATTATATCGATTATTAGACAATAAAATCAAAAGGATTTGGAAAAGAAGATCAGTGATCTAAAGAAGGAGTACGCTGAAGATAAGAGGAAAACTGAATAATTGTCTGAGGATGTATAGTTTCAACATATTTTCACAAGGTTAAACAATTAAAAGAACAATTAAAAAGTACCGATTAATAGGCAACTAAGAAATTAGACTAGCAAAAGAAGTAGTATGAACAATAGCTGAAGTAATTACAATAGGTAGCATAAGAAAAGTAGGATTAAATTGAAGAAATAGCATAAGAATTCTAAAATTATAACTTTGAAGACATTCAAGCCAAAATGGGAGAAATGGGCAATGATATTAATTAGAGAGATCAATTAATCGAGGAAATGTAGCTATAATTACAGGAGAAAAATTAAGGAGGAAAATAAAATGATGGATAGGTAGCAGAAATTGAAGAATTAAAGGTTTAATTGGAATAAAAAGGTTAAGAAATAGAGAAACTTGAAGAATTGATAGATAATTTTAAATAGTTATATCAACATATGTTAGATGAAAAACAAGTAATGGTAGATGAAAACGAAAAGTTAGTGAGTGAGAATAATCAATTCAGAGAATTATTTAGTGTAAATATATATTTGCTATTTAGTAAAATTTGCATCTATTCGGAATTGATCCAAATGATTTGGAAGGCGGGGATGAAGATGATACTGGAGCAGAGGCTGAGGCAGAGGATTATCGTTAACATGAAGAAGATGAGGGTTGAGGGGAGTAATTTTATAATGAAATATTTATTGTTATTATTTTAAATTATAATGAAGGCTAGAAAATATTTTGTATTAGTATAAGAAAACATGTAGACTTCATTCTACAAAACAGAAAAATATACTTAGATTAATCTGGATAAGAATCCCAATCAGAAGAAATTCTTTTTTTATGACGAGAATTAAGCCAAAAGATTTGCATCAAATGTCCAATCTTGTTAGAATAAAGAGGCTTTTGAAAAGTTAGAGATGGACTATGAAATTTCTAAAAAACTAATGAAATACGAAGAAAAAATCAAATCTTGCAAGACATTTTCTGATAATGAAAATCAAGATGGAATTTCTATTAACCTAAGGAGACTCACTTACATTTATGTTTTATGGAACAAAAACTCGTATGATTTGCCAAGAATGTATTTTACATAGATCACAGCTCAAAAGAATTCAACATCAGAAGATCAATTAGGAAAATTCTAAGACCCTAAATCAGCACTTAGTTATATAAGGGAGATACTTGAAACTATAGAGATGAAAAGGAAGTTGATCGCAAATACTGACACACCCACTTCTTAAGATAATAATAAAACTGAAGCAGAATTGGAGAAAGAAGAAAGTTAACTTAATTTTTCTAATCTTGGAAAACTATAATAATTGGATTAGTAGTATTCTTATTTTTTCCCCAAATTTTACATTGAGAAATATCCAGCCATCAATAATATTAACCCAGAAGAATCCTATGCGATTTAATGCTCTTCCTTTTGTACATTACATTTTCATTCATCTATTGGAATTAATTTAATAAATTATGTTTCTGGTAAAAGCTTAAAGAGTTTAGGATTATATGTGGGACATTAAAAACCCTACATTCTTGGGTTGTTGACAGTCCTTTATGGATTGAGATACAGTTTATTTTTGAATTTACCTTCTATTAAACTGTAGGTATGGAAACAATAAGATTTCGAATTTTTGAATAAAATGGTTTAACCACCGTATCCTCAATAATAATAAGCTATGGCAGCTATTGATGGTTACTCTAAACTTCTTAGATAGGTCAAATTTGAATTGGTTGACTAGGATTAATGCAAACCGTCCTATGTTCAAGCAGTGAAGGAGTTTGAAAAATACGCCTATGTAAAACAAAGGAGTAAGAAATTTCGTAAAACTGATAAAGGTGATTGAAGTGTATTTATAAATATTTTAGAATTTGATTTATTCATGAACTATAAATAATCATTCTCTTTTTGCAATAATTTATGATCTTTTCAAGACATTATCATTTATTTAAAAAGTACTCTTCATTTTGATTTTTTATACTAAAAAGTTATGATCTATTTTTATCTTTTAAACATAATATGATTTATAAAAGAACTATTATGGTTTCTAAGAGATTGTTAGATAGTATATTAAAATTAGAATTGTGTATTAAAAATGAGGAATTCATTTGAGATTCAATATTAGTTATACTAGAAAGAAAAAATTATTATTAAATATAAAAATTTCTTAGGATGGAAGAATAAGTCACTCGTCCTGGCAAAAAGCTATGGGCTATAGCAAGAAAGAAAGTGAAAGTGATAGCACGAATAAATGCTATGAAAAGAATAACTCTTTAAAATTACTATGGAGTGAGAGACGACAACGATTTTGTGGAGGCCACCCAAATTAATAAATGGGTGATTTATCCTGACTCAAAGTTTAAGGGATTATGGGATTTTATGATAATTCTTCTGATGCTTTATACATGCACAATTTTACCGTTTCGTTTAGCATTTCAAGATTCTTCAAGCGATGTTTGGAATACAATAGACGAGGTCTTCAATTATGTATTCATGGCGGACATTGTTATTAATTTCTTTACTGCCTATTAGGATGCTGATAATGTTTTAGTTACAAGCAACAAATATATTGTAATGAATTACTTGAAGACCTGGTTTCTATTGGATGTTGCTTCAGTGTATTAAATTGATATTAAATCTAAGGATTCCTTTTGATTAAATATTCCAGCCAGATCCATAAACTCAAACTACCTAAACACAAGGAGGTCAGAAGGGTTCATACACTCAATTACTAAGATTGACGAGACTGCCTCGTTTATATAGACTGTTGAAGGTGGTAAAGTTATTCAGAATAGTTCGATTCCAATAAACAAATAGATCCTCTATGTTTTCAAAATTAATTAAATCTTGTATTAAGTTGGATGCAAGTATAAAAAGAATGATCAAAATAATGGGAATGTCATTGCTATTTTTACATTTGAGTAGTTGTTTTTATTACTTAATCACTAAAATTGAAACCGATTCAGTTACATGGGTAACTAATTTAGGATTGGAGGAAGCAGATGAGGCAACACTCTACATTCGATCATTTCATTGGGCATTGCAAACACTAACTACAGTGGGTTTTGGAGATGTGTCTCCGTAGACTGATTGGGAGAAGTTGTATGCCATATTCTGGATGGGAGTAGGGAGTGCATTCTTTTCCTTTATGATTTCGAATCTTTAAGGAGCAGTTGGAGATTCAGAGAAGTCAGCGAAGAATAAGATTATGAGATTGAATGTGATTCAAAACAAAATAAAGATTCCGGATTATTGTAATTTAATTATTCATTTTAGTGTTTTCATTGATTAAGAGACAACTCGAATCCCAATAGGTTGAGAATTCTAGGTAGTAGATCATTTTGCAAACTAAACCCTTAATCAAATAGTTGCCTACCTGTTTAAGATCGTCAGTGTAATTATGCATCTATGCTCATGTTATTGAAAAAATTAAATTTCTATAAGACAAGGATATCGAATTAATTATGGATGTGATTCCTAAGATATCTCCATTGAATTGGGCTTAAGGGGATATTTTATTTTCCACTGATGATTATGCCGAAGAGATCTATTTCGTTTCAATCGGAGAAATCACTACTAGAGCTGCTGATGGTTCTACAATATCCGTTTATAGAGAAGGCGATACTCTAGGGTTGTTGGAGGCAATTTATGATGTGAGAAGGATAGGAACTGCAATATGCAGTAAAAATACATAACTGTTTAGTTTGGATAGAACAACTTATTTATAAATGTTGTAGGATTACCCGTAATTGCTCTCAGAAGTCAAGTAATAGGTAGACAAAAGAATTAAAGAAGTAAAGCCTTTTGTTGAGGATGCTACCATTTTGAACAGATCAATTTATGAGGTTATGTAAGACTATTAAAGGAAGATTAACAAAATTAAAAAAATAATAGAATAATTATAAAAGTCAGAAGATAGCAACGATATCATAGATACTGATAAAAATCAATTATAAATATTTTTGTAGACCAACACTTAATTAGGAGATATTATGAATCTACAAAGAGAATCCAATTCTAGAGAAACTGTAATGTTTGAAAATGCCAAAAGCATGAACAACCTAATTGATTAACTAGCTGATTTGTGGTAAAAGTAATTGATCGAAAAAATTGATTAAATGCATACAGAAACTACTTATATGATTCAAGCCGTTCAAGATAGAGTAGAATATTATCAGAAGGCTACTAAGAAGTTTTCAAATCTTAAGAATGACCTAACCAAACAGAAAGAAAACATATAGAGCATGACAAAAATATGATCAATTATACTATTTTTATTCAATATAAAATGGATAGTATAATTTATTTAGCTATAGTTCATTTCAATATGAATGTTAATGTAGCATTCTAAAATAAATAAAAGTCAATTCTGAAAATAAAAACTCTGCTGAAAAAGTAAATTTTTCTTTTCTTGAAGCTATCATGTCAATTGATACTAATACTAATCAATAATTATCACATCGCTGAAAATAATGAATTGAGTTAGGAACCATTAAAGAAGAATCATAAGTGAAATAGTCTAAAAATTCTTATAAGTTTTTTAAAGCATAATTTTTTTTGATTTACTCTAAGTGGCTTAGAATAGTTTACTTTTAATAATAGCAATTGATAGATAAACTAATTTCAAAGAGGAATTAAAATAGTAGCTGGAACAATGGAGAACATTAAATAAAATTAATGAATTATTGTTTTATTTATAATTTCTATTTAGATAGCATACTTCTGACTAAATATTTATTTATCTAGAGATTTGTATTAAATAATAATTTATAAATAAAATGATTATCCCACTCCAAGTAGAGCAATCCTTAGTGGAGAACTCGAAAAGAAAACCTTTTAGTCCACTGGAAATAAATCCAAAATAATATTCATTGTCAAGTAAACTAAATCTCCTTCAACTCGATATTATCACTCCAAATCAAAATAAAAGTAACCATTCAAATGCTAACATCTAATTGGGACTATAAAAATTACTGAAAACAAGTCCTTACGCATAATTCATTAAATAAAAGTCACAATAACAAATCAGTAGCATTGATAGTTGCTCTCAAAATGTCTATAATGGAACTACCCAGCATTCCTCTTAAACAAATGTAAAAGCAGATAATAAATATATGATGACCACTAATCAAAGCAACATCAAAAGGAGAATTCACAACTCCATGAAGATTTTTGCACCAAAAAAGTCGCTTGAACTTTCTCATTAATTAAATTCAACTCAAAAAGATAAATAAACAATTAAAGCACTTTAAGATCTATTATTGAGATCAACCTTGACTTTACAATAGTATAAAGAATAGATCACGAGATATGAGTAGGAGAATATCAAACTTAAGGAGCAGCTTTCTAATTTGAAAGTGGAGAGTTGACTATTTTTCATTTATTCAATTAACTATTAGCTATATTTAACATATTAATTAGTGTATTAAATTTTATTTATATTTCACTAACTTTGCTATCTAATGTCAGAAAAGACTCTGAATGTGGATCCAACAATTTGTAATCAATAAATTGTATTTAGTGATACAAAAGATCATCAGGGAAAATGCCTACTTGACAGACCTAGACAATAAGCTAGATTATGATGAATTGCATAATCCACTAAACGTAGAGGAGACGTAATCTTAACTAGTGGATTCAATCTTTGGAAGCTGCAATGTTAAATCTCAGAAAGGTACCATATGCGATGCTAGGATTATAGCAAGCAAAATGATTAGTTCATCCGGAAATGCTAGACCTACTTCGAATCAACAATATGGCTCTTTATTTAGAAGTGGAATTTCTAATTACACAGTTTCAGACGAAGATGAAATCGAAAACAATTCACAAGAGATCAAAGATCCATAACAAGTGAAATCTTAGATTGAGATAGATGCAATTCATTACCTCAAACCTCCAGAATTGAAAAATCTAAATAATTTAGTATCATATGAAGACTTGATGCAAAAATGCCAACAATTTGAATTAAGCTTGGATGTAGAAAGAAAAAAAAATCAAGAATTAAATGGTAAATTTAATATCTGAAATTTAGATATAATTCTGGCCTAAAATGAGAGAATATAGGAATTGACAGAAATAGAAAAGGCAGCTTACGAGCAAATGGATGGAAGACTGTAGGAAATTTCTGAATTGTAGGCCAAAAATATTTTGTTAGAAGGACAATTGTAGGAGTTAAAGGAGAGTCAAGAAAAGGAATTAAGTAAGAAGACTTTAATATAGTTTTAGAAGCAAGGATTAAGGGATTCATGGATTAGAACAATACTTCACAAATGAATGCGATGCTATGTATTTTAGTGTGTTATACTTGTTAGAAATAAAGGAAAAACAGATCTAATTATTGCAAGGCCAATTGAGTAGTCTTAGAGCTGCTACTTAGTATAGATCTTAAGGGAGCTATCACAGTGCTTAGAGTCATGAGAATATTTAAGACAGCAAAGTAGTCAATCACATCATTAACAACACTAATAATAATTAGATTATCATAAAAAATGAAATATTCTAAAAAGGAATGGTTTAATTGCTTTAAAAACCAAAAACATAAACACCCAAAAAATAATAAATAATTAATTAGGATTCCTAATCCACTCAAAGATCTAAGAAAGGGTTGAATCACAACAAACAAAATTCAAAAGATTCGATCACCCAACCAACTTCATGGCTGGATCATCTCCAAAAAAAGAATGACGAAAAACTCAAAAAGTTGCAAAACCAACCCTCAGAGAAAGAATTGCATTAGACTATTTTAAATAATTCAATAAATGACAATGTCCATAAATATGTGCATGCAGATGGTATTATCATTATTTGATATTAATTAGTGAAAATTACTAAAGTAAATAGCCCTGCATTTTAAAGGAAAAAACTACTTATTAATTAACAACAGATAATGACAATTAAGATTAGTAAGATTTTATAAAGTAAAAACAGTTTATAGAATAAATGAGAATTAAATTTACTTATTAAATAAAAATTTTAATTAGAATATCTAAAATGCTTTTGATTCAGCATATATCTTGGCTTTAAAAATAATTACTATTGTTCAATAGAAATAACTTATATTAAATTCCATCATATGAATTTTTAAGAGTTGTGTATAGATTAAACAATGAAGTATTGGCCAAATATAAAGAAAAAAAGTATAGAACTCTTATTTTAAGCTTTGTAAAAAGGTTTCAGTGGATGCTCTGATTTAAGCAAATTTTGTCTTAAGCTAATACTATAAGATTCATAATATTAATAATTGTTTAGATCAGATACTTGTATCAGCTGCTTTATTCTAAATAGCATATGCATAAACAATAATATGTATTTAAAATACATTCAAAGAGATGAAATATAATAAATTTATATGTTACATCTAATTTTAACTAAAATTATATATATTAACTTGTGTAAATTATATATCAATTTAATAAATAGATTTAGGCTTGTACTATCAATTACAAAGCAACAAACTGATCAGAAATAGAAAATAAAAATAAATTGTTAATAATTATAATATAAAAACTAAGACAAAAAGCAATGGAGAAAGTCAAATTAAACTCTACTTGTAATTCATTAATTTTATCTTATGTCTAGTTTTTTTCATACTTCTTACTATTTCCATTTGCGATCTAATAGGATTATTATAATTGGATCAACCTTTTTAATACGTTTCTGCAGCACATGTAATTAAAGCTTAAATCCCAGAGAGGAATTAAGTATCAGCAACTTAAACAGGGACACTCGAGCCACTTCAAGGGTAGCATATTGATAAGGTTAAGGTGATTAAGCCTATCATTGATCATAGATAATATAGATATTTAGAATTGGAGAATCATTTGAAAGTGCTCTTAATTCACGATGCTGAATCTGAAATGGCATCAGCTGCTATGGATGTGAAGGCAGGATCTTGAATGAACCAGATGAATATCCTGGATTGGCTCATTTTTGTGAGCACATGTTATTTATTGGATCTGAAAAATATCCCTAGACTGAGTTCTTTGAAGATTTAATGGCAAAGGGCGGAGGTATAGCAAATGCATACACAGATGATTAAAACACAAACTATTATTTTGAAATAACAGTGAATAATTTGGGTAAGGCTTTGGATGTATTTGCTCATTTCTTTATTGATCCACTATTTAACGAGGATGCTGTGAATAAGGAACGAAATGCTGTTAATTCAGAATACGAAATTGATGTAAGCAGTGAGGAATGGAAAGTTATCAATCTTTTTGCACTTTTGGCAGATCCTAACCACCCAGCGAGTAGGTTTAGTATAGGTAACAACGAAGTTTTGGCCAAAGACGGGGTAGTGGAAGCACTGAAGAAGTTTTACAAGGACAATTATTCATCTAATATAATGAGTTTGGCAGTCTCAAGTAGATTGTCATTAAATTAAATGGAGAAGTTGATCAAGGTTTTCTCAAAGATAGAGAACAAAAATTTGACCCCTTAATCTTTTAGTGGATTTCCATATTAATTTGGATTGTTGGGTAAATACAAAACTGAAAAGAAGTTGGTTTTTTTGAATTGGTAATTAAGTGGAAGATAATAAATTGCGCATTAGAAGCCTTTAGAATTAATAGACTACTTATTGAATAATGGTAATCTGAAAGATTATTTAAAGGAGAAATAATTGGCGATTGAATTTGAATCCTCTATTTTCTTGGAATAGGATTATTTTGTCAATTACATAATACAATTAACATTACCTGAACATTAATTGGAAGATGGTAACATTGCTCTTGAAATTTCGAGAGTTATTAATAACTATATTCAATAATTAGAGGAGTGGTTAAAGGATGAGAGATATTTGGAAGAGATATTTAAAGAGCAAAGCTAAATTTCCAAAATCAGTTTCGAATATAAGGAAGGACCTTAAGAAATATCGAGTATTGCCCACAATTTGAATAGATATGAACCTGCAGAAGTACTCTCGTCTAGTTTCATCATGGATGTATTCGATAAGGATCTTATATTCAAATATATTTCTGAGTTGAAGAGAACTGATAACTTATTAATCTTAATTGGAGATGATGAGTACTAGTTAACAGATAACACTTTGAAATAAAGTAATTAGGAATTCTTAAAGGACAAGAGATTGGACAAAAGGAGTGAGATCTATCGTTTAGAATATGCAACTCAGAAGATGACTCAAGATTCCATTCAATTCATTACACAAAAAGATATCAAATTATAACAACTATTCACAAAACCACAAGAGAACCTATTCATTCCAGATGACTTAAAATTAGTATCATTATGTGAATCAAATAAGTTGAAATTACCTCTTTTGGTTAATTCTGACCAGTTGAAACCTTTGGATAAGGAGGGAAAGTTGAACTTATTGCTACATGCTGGATAAGATTTGCAAGAATACCCTGAAGATCAATGCAAAAAGGAGGAACATAGATATCAAAAGAACAATCATTATCCTATCTTATTAAGTAAAGAGAACAATCAATGGTGGAAGTTTTCCACTTTATATAAGATGCCTACTGTTTATGGAGCAATATCCATATAATTCGCTAACCCATTAACAATAAGGCAATACACCTCAGTTAGAATTTATAAATTTATTTCAGACGAAGAAATCAACAATTAACTTAGGCTGCCCTTGGCATCTGGATACACAGTAGAATTGGGGATGGGTAAGTAAATAGAACTCAAGGCGTACGGATTTAGTGAAAAAATTAGAAGTTTCTTCAAGAAAATTTGCGGATGCATGAATCCATTCAAGGATTAATCCTCTACTTTGATTGAACTTGATGAAACTTAATAGGAATCTCAAAATTTCATTAGAGCCAAGTAATCTCTTATAACCTCTATAAAGGATAAATTCTAAATGAAATTATTTGATTAATCGATTTCATTATACCTGCCTTAAATTTTAAGAAGGGACATTTTTAATCCAGAATAAGTCTTATAATAAATTCCTAAAATTACTGAGGAATAAATGATTTCAGATATTAAGGAAGTACTCTAAAATTCTATATAAAGTTCACTTTTGATTGGTAATCTGGATCAAAAGAATGCTTAGGATTTTTCTTCTGAGTTGTAATATTGTATTAAAGACAGAAATTCAAAAGTGGAATAATCATAATCAAAACCAACAATTTCTGTTTTGAGTTTGAAAGGTAAAAATTTAGTATTTGCCAAATTTGTGGAATCAGATAAAGGTGATTTGAATGGAGCAATATTAAACTATTATTAAATAGGGAAAAGAACTTCAGAAAATTATGCTTTAATGAAGATACTCTAACCACTGCTTTATTCTTAGGCATATAGTTATCTAAGAACTGATCTATAATTAGGATATGTCGTGTTTATGCGATTCCAATAAATTAGTTGCATTGATGGTGCTTTCTTTTTAGTGTAAGGTAATAAAGAATTGCCAATGAAGGTTAATTAATTAATAGAAAAATTCATATTGAAATTTGATGTTTACCTTAAAAAATTGAAGAAAAAGCAATTTGATCGTTTAAGACGTAGTGCAATTATTGAATTAAGAGAAAAACCACAAACTTTAAGTGAAGAAGCAGATAGATTGTGGGAATATATTAGTTCTGGAGACTATTCTTTTGAGGAAAGAGATGTCACAATTGAGATAATGAAATCAACCACAAAGGAATAAATGGTAGAATTCTATGAAAATATCTTCATTCATAATAGGTCTAAACTAAGCATACAATTATACGGGTATCTATCTATTATAATATTAAATTAGAGAAGGAGTGGTTTCATAAACATTAAGTTTGAAGAACAACGAGGAGTTTGATACATATATACAGGCCAATATTCCCAAGGGAGCATCACTTTTTAATAATAAAGAATTGTCCTACTTGGAATGTTAAAACGATGTCAGTTCTGTTTGATTTCAACATATATATATTATTATAGTTAATGTAATTACTGATGGTAATAAAAAATAGGATTGTAAAATTGATATAGGAAATATATTAAAATTAAATCAAAGTTAGAAAGTGAAATGATTCCTTGTTTATTGTCGGTGATCTTTGGAACAATATCCACTATGATAATAGGGTTTTATTGGTATTCAATACTATTTCACGACCGTTATTTGAAGGAAGCCAACATCAAACTAGAAAAAGATCATGAGTAAAAGGATGAAAGCAGTTAGCCCTTAATTTTGGAATTATTGGCAAGATTTCTATAAGCATCCCTAATTACATACCTCTACAGCATTCTCAAGATAAAAGTAAAGCAAATACTTACAGTTAGAACGAAAGAGATTTGGGATTGGCGCTATCATTGGCAGTGTTTTTTTGTGTCAGTTTTTAAGTGTAATATTTCACATCAAAAGTTGTTTGGGAATAGAAGACTTGGAATTACTTTTTTATGAAAGTGACAGAGTAATTCATATCACTTTCCACTCTTTCCACAATAACATACATTTTTGTACCATGAAGTATAATTCAAAATTTTACACATCAGATTCGCAATTATCATTAAAATATTATATGCTTCAACAACAGAGAGATATGGAAATAGAAGAAATAGACTTAAATATTTAATGCTCTAACAAAAATAATGTATTTCACTTCTTCTTTCTTTCCACACCCAAGGTTTAACCTCCTCTACCTGTTGTTTTTGTGTGTTGTCCTCTGACTCTCAATCCCCAATGATGTCTCAAACCTCGATTGCATCTTGATTCATAACCATTAAAAATACTTAATTTTCTTCATTCTCTCCAAATCCTCTCTGAGTTTAGTTTCAAGTTCATTTGTTGTTACTTAATAATTCTTTCCGTCTTTAAAATCACGTTGTCTATTAAGGAACCATCTAGGAATGTTGTAGGCCTCTGGAGACTTGATCACTTCTGTAATCTTGTGAGCCTCATCATCAGTAAGTTCTCCTGCTCTTTTGGTTAAGTCTAATCTCAACACCTTAAAGACCATATTGATTCATAGATACTTTGCAGATTTATATGGCAAAGCGTCTACCTATTCCCTTAATGCTTCTAATTCCATAAGCAAGACGCTATTTACCATCGACATTAGTATTTAAAATACGAATGATGTGTCTGAATTGATCAGCTTTTTCCAAAACCAGAGTCATTTGTGTTGTTGTAAAAAGATTTTAATTATTTTAAAATAATAATTATATAGTCTTGCATTTGATAAATTATTTAGTGATCCTCCTTATGTATTCTATAATTGTATAGATATGTATATCTGCCTTGTTTTGGAGTAGTCAAGTTGAGTGAGGGATCTGAAGTGAAAGTTTTTCATGTAAAATACAATGAAATTAATTAATTAATTAAAATGGCTAGCAAATCTCAGCCTCCCATATAGGAACGAACTTTTCATGAATGGTCAAAGAACAACTTCTACAGAACCAGCTACATCAATCATTACACGCAAGTAAGGAATTATGTGAATGTAGTTCCCATAAGAACCAAAAAACACTGCAGTGCCAGGATATGCTGGTTATGTGCCATATGTGCAATCGGAGAATTTATATGGCGAGAGATTTTCTGAAGTGGCTAGGAAATCTTATGCAGACTAGAAACTAGGAAAGTTCAATAGATTATCGTCGACTGGATTTAATTTTGATCCAAAAGAATTAATCGATGTACATAAGGAAGCCTATTCTCACAAATACGGATGCTAAACCTTATTGAAAAACCACCCATGCACTCATATCAATAAAATGGTTACATCCTATCAAGACGGTTTCAAAAAGCCTTAAGAACTTGTTGCTCCAACGTATCAAAGAATCACAATAAATTAGATTTCGTAAGACTGACAGATATCTGGAAACTTCACAGGCTCAAACCAAGACATCTGGATTCCAGAAGAATCACATGTAATTTGATGGATCAGGTTGGATTCCACATGAAAACATGAATGGTTTGCATCATCTTTTTATCTTTTAGGCGATTAAGTGAGAACAGAATACAGAATTCAATATAATCAAGACAAACCATTCCACAGAAATCCAATGCAATTCAAGTTAAGAAAGATGAAGCAAACAGAAATGAATTATAAGCATACCTGAATTTATATACAAATTTTCATTCATACAAGAGCATACATTTTTCTGATTCCATTCCATCAGTAATTTTGAAGCTTAGGAGATAGGGGAGAATAATCAATAGAGAGAAAAAAATAAAAATACACATAGAGATTTATAATTATAAAATTAAAATAAATGATAGTTTGAGTAAAGGACTCTCTCCATTTAGAAATAGCTATACACTGCCATATCTTAGAGAGTATTTATAGAATCGTGACGAATAAGTAACAGTTATTAACCGAATTTATCAATAATTAATCTGATTGTGCAAGGTAAATTGGAATTATAGAGGTGGCCTTTGTAGTAGCAGGTGAGAGGTGGAATGTTGAATTGATTGATGTAGTAGATGCTTAAAAATAATTTTCATATCACTTAATGAACTATTTTAAATGTAATTATTAAATGTTATAATAATCTGAGAAGGACTTCACAATTGAGCAAGTGGTTGGGACTGGTACATTTGGCATGGTGCATCTGGTATGTGTGGATAGAATAAAAGTTAGGCCACTGATAATAGGACGAAGGAGAAGGTTGCGATCAAGAAGGTGTACTAGGATCGGAGATACAAAAACAGAGAGCATTTGATCATTTAAGAATTGAATCACCCATGTGTGGTTATGTTACGCCATTCGTTTTTCACCCCTGGAGAGAATGTATATTGAAGTTTGTATTGATTGTGTAGCCACAAGATGTGTACCTCAATCTTGTGATGGAGTACGTACCAGAGACACTTTCGAAGATGATACGTCAGATACGCAAGCAGAAGCAAACGATCCCATCCACATAACTCAAGCTCTACAGTTATCAAATGCTTCGTGCGCTGCTCTACCTGCAGGGTACTGAGACTTATCCCAACTAGCCATCGGAATATGCCACAGAGACATAAAACCCCAGAACATCCTGATCAACCTCGAAACCAACGTCCTCAAAATTTGTGATTTTGGCTCAGCTAAAAGGCTGGTAGTAGGTGAACCTAACATTGCGTACATTTGCTCTCGCTACTACAGAGCGCCAGAATTGATTTTTGGAGCCACCGATTACACCACATAAATCGACATGTGGTCAATTGGTTGTGTCATTGTTGAAATGGTTATGTTGGAACCCATCTTCCCAGGAGAGAGTGCCCAAGACTAGTTATTGTAGATCATCAAGATTCTTGGCACACCAACTCCTGATATCATTAAACAAATGAACCCAGCCAAAGCTGAAGTCAAACTACCTACGATCAAAGGCAATCCCTGGTCGAAAATCTTAGCCAAGCATAAACCAGATCTATTATTTTTGGATCTCATTTCACAGATGCTAACGTAAATTAAATCCTTCTTAATATTTAGTTACTCTCCCAAAGCCAGGATTCAGCCCATAGATGCACTCTTGCATCCATACTTTGACGACCTAAGAAAGGAGGAATTTGCCAAATTAAATATCAAATCCCCAAACCTATTTGACTTTAACAAGCAAGAACTAAGCATCAGACCAGAACTCAATTCTAAATTAATCCCACAATGGTATTAAAAGTTAAATACCTGATTAAATTCCAAAATAAATAATTATATATGTAAATAATGCTCCTTTATCTGAATACTCTTTATAACCACTCATAAATTTAGTTTTCCTCTACCAACCATCCTCCTTAAATTATTTGATATTTATATTTAATCAATATCCAAAATTAACTGATCCTGTTATTTCAATATATATATATATATAAATTCATATCACTTATTTAATCAATCATTTAATTATAGCAATTACTAATTTTAATTTCCACTACTTTTTGTTTATGCCAATTTTATTACTATGCTGTTAGGATAGAGTAATATTCTATCCATATTTAAGAAGTAGAATGAATTGGAACGCAAATTGTTTTAATATATAACTTTACAATATTATATTTCTATATTAGAGATCTATGAAAATATAATTAGAACTTATATTATAGGGTGCATTATCATATTTTTTCTAACTTTTAGGGATCCACAAGGGGATTGTTTTTTATGAGTAATTATTTAGCCTTTTCAGCATGATCGAATGTGCATTGGTGATCCTCTGGTAATCGATGTTTATTGCAAAAAAATGCCTCGCATTTGCATTATATACCAGCTATTCCTAACTTTCTTTTACAAACTTTGCATTTCGATGGGTCTTCCTGAAAAAGTTTAAATTACAACTTTTTACTTTCTGTTTTACTACTTCACCTTACTACTTATTTTCTTAGACGATCTGTTACTATTGTTAGATTTCTTGATTGCTTTCCTTAATAATAGATCTAATTGAAAATAGTTATTCAAATAATTACTAGTAACATTTTGAACAATAAAATTATGTAGCGGCTGTTCCAAAGAAAGCCAAACATATGGTACATAGTCTTGTTTCCTACTTATTCTCCTAATTAATAGATGATTCTTAAGTTGCTGCACCTTGATTATTTTACATTTATATTAATGAATCTAATTAATACTAATCTCAAAATGAAAAGTCTTTATTTATAATCAAAAAGTAAAAAAATTTAGAAAATCCTGAAAACATATCTAATCTGGATTGTCCTCATTGAACAGTCTGCATATCCTCTCCAAATCGCTACTGACGCTTATTTTAAAACTAAAACACTTAATAAACAACTGATTACTATTATAATAAATTAAGAAGGTCACGATGATCTAAATAAATAGAGTGAGCTATGTCCTCAAACAAATTCAAAAAAGACTGCTTTTTCTATTTTATGAATTGGCGTTTCAACTTTAGCAATTCCTCCTCATCCCTAACTGCTAACTTTTGTAATCTATGAATGAACAATGCAAACTCCCTGCAATCCTCAGAGTATGGAGGTACAAATTGCGTTTAGGATGAAACCTATGATTGCCATCTCGTTTGAGCCATAGTTGACATCTAAGAAATCTACTGCTTTTCGAAAGTAAACTCTTCAATGAATTCTGCCATACTTATAAACCCATCCTCGTCTTTGTCCATTCTTCTAAAAATAAATATCAAATCGTCATTTGAAGTTTGATAGTTACATTGCTACTATAGGTATTTTCTCAACTTAATGACATCGATGAAACCATCTGATGTCGAGTCAATCTCCTTATAGATTTTTAAAATTTCAGATTAACTTAACTCTTTCTTCGCCTCAATCAACATAGTATCCATTATTTATTGAGTCTCGATCAATTGCGATATTAGGACGTTGCAATATTTAAGATTCTTTGATTCTCCGAGTTTATTTAGACTCTTGGGTCTGAATGGGAAAATGAATTGTAAGAACTCCTCATAATCCTTGAAAATTTCCTTATCAAATTCTATATTCTCATCAAAGTATTCAGCTATCATTTGTCGAATTGTTTCTTTTCTTTATTCCTATTAGCAAATGGTATAGAAATATTTAACAACTATTTTCATTATTATATATATTATAATTAATATTTTTCATTATTCAAAATCCTCATCCTCATAATCTTTCTAACTCTTGTTTTAAGGCACACTGTTTTATTGTTCAGATTACTATTAATCAAACTATTGATCATTATATTCCTCAGCATTATCCTCCTATTCATTCTATTCATACTCAGCCTGCTATTCATATTCCTGCTCTACTCTTTTCTACTCCTCTTCTAACTTCTATTTCTCCAACTACTCCTCTTATAATCTTCTCTCCTCCTCTTCTTCCTTCAATTTTCTTTATCTTTCCTCTTCCTCCTTCTATTTCCTCAATAATTCTTGCTGTCTTTGCTACTCTTATTGTCTTCTATGATTCTCCTATTCCTCTTACTTCTTCATCTCCTCTAATTACTTTTACCTCTTAGCCTCATTCTCCTGCTTGATTCTCTGCTCTTCCTCCTATCTCTTTCTCTCCTCTTCCTCCTCCTTCCACTATTATTCCAACCTCCTTTGTTCTTCCTCTTCCTTCTCCAATTCTAGTTGTCTCTATCTTTCCTGCTCCTATTACAATTACCATAATATTCTCTATTCTTCTTCCTCCTTTTATTTTCTCTATTATTATTAAATCAGTTCCTACTAGACATCCTTATTCTACAACACATCACCATTTGATTACTTCTTTCCTTATTCTTTTGGCAAATCGCTTTCACTTTTAGTTTTTTGTTGAATTGATGGATCTATTACAAAATATGATAAGTGATTTACCAACGTAAAATAACTCAAATATCTTTTTGTAATTGATGTTAATTAATTATTGAGTAAGTTCGTAATTCTTCAATAACAAATATTCATATTAAGTAGAATTAAAAGTTTATTCGACAAATTTAAGAGCTTCCTCAAGGTCGTCAATTGTACACAACTCTTATTTCTTTTTTGATCTCAAAATGAAATCCTCCAAAGAATTCCTATACTTTGATAACACAATTGCCATCTCCAAAAATAATTGGTCCTCTTCATTTTTCTAAAATTCAATTTATCAACTAATTTACTTCCAGAAGAGTGTATTTGCCAATTAAATTTTTCAGAATACTCTTGGCTCTTGCTATAAGTCCTTCAGTCAATAAACTAAACTCAACAAATCGTTCATCATTGTCCTCAATCAAATACCTAGCAACTTTAAGACTATCCACTTCATTCAACAAAAATGGCTCATCTTATAACATCTCGTTTAATTCCTCAATTCTAATTACAGAGTGGACATCCCCATGAATAAACTAATGCACTCAACAAATAGCATTACATTATCTATCTTCTCAAAGGGAACTTTCATAGCCTTTAATTTGAATTTTATCTACTTGCATATCAAATTCACATCATCCTTTGTTACACATGGCAATAGTTTCTTCTTTTGATCAATTATTTCTGGGCCTTCAGGAAGAACTTCAAGTTTATTTTCCAAGAAACTGTTATTTTAAACAGTTCTCCTAGTCGAAAATCAAATTCATTTATACCTTCTTCCTGATTACATTGAAACCTCTTCCTTTAGGGAATTGCATTGCTCACGCAATTATTATCTTTCTCTCTCTAATTAATCTATGATTTATTATTGTTCTCTCTCCAACTCTTTCATTCTCTTATCCAATTCTGCATATTAAGCATCTTTGGCTTTCAAACTACTTATCAATGTGTCTATTTAAACTTACTTCTAACTAGCAATATAGTTATGATTAGTACTCTATATCTTATTTCAATTGCTATTCATTTTCAGTAATTTTATTTTATTTCTTATATTCCGGATCTTTAAATTTTAAATTTTCAATTTGATTCTTTAGATATTGATTCAACTTATCCTTTTTAAGTTTTTCATTATAATACATGGTAGCTTTTGACTCAAATTCTTTGCATTTGACCTTTAATTATTTCAATTCATCCTCCAATAACTTGTAATCAGCCCTCAATCTAAGCAGATCATTGTCAGAATCATTGAATTTCATTCCAACCAAGGCTTTCAATCTTTGTGCTTCCTATTGATACGATAGCAGTTCGATTTCTAGTTCCTTTATTTTCATGGCTTTAGTATTTTTCTGTAGAAACTGTATTTATTAATCCTTTTTGATTTGCTCTTCTTGCAATCTCCTCAGCTGCTTCTTCAGATCCATTATTAGATGCTACTTCATTGGCTTGCTATCCTAATAAAATGATTCCATTGGGTTAATAACTTGCTCACTTATGGGAGTAGCTCTAACCAATCTTTGTAATTCTTCCTAGAAGTCTTAATCAATTTTACATCCATCATTTTGATTTTAGTGTGTAGAGCTTGGTTCTCTCTTTAGAGATTGTTATTGATTTATTTTGCATTTATAACTTCTTCATACAAAGATTCCCTGTCATATAAAATTGCCTAAGGAATCATCTTCTATCTCTTCTATTGCAAACTGTTTCTCTATTGATCTTGAGTAATCGGCCTAATTTTCATTCCTGTCTACAATAAGTACCACTACTCTTACACTTTTATCCTCCGTCTCCAAAGTACCCAAATTCATTTACTACCGCTTTCTCTATTCAGTTTGAACCTGTCTCTTCGACGTAAACGATGTCCCAGGTCTCTCCTCTACGTTCATTTTTCTTTGTTTTTTTATTAAATTCTTTTTATAAAACTAACAAAAATATTTCACAATCTTCAAAGATCTCCAAATACCAAAGCCTGAATATTGTCTTAAAATAAATCTTCTCAAAACTTTATGCGCATGATGCACATTCATTTAATTAAAAAGAGAATTATAAAATGGTTTGATTGCACTCAAAAATTGCTACTTGGATTAGAAATATGCATAACACTTTGTGGAAGTCTTATCATTAATAATAGTATAAAATCGAAATGATGTTTCAAGTAATTGCATCAATAAATACTAATAATATTAGAAATCTGATAATACTAATTATTATAAATAAAAAATTGATGCGAAAAGCCTATTATTGAATTTCAATCAATTTTTAGCATCATATTCTCTCTATTAAAAATTAAATCATATAATTTACATCTCTGAATTTTATTTTAGTCTACCATAATTTCAAGTACACCCTTAAGATGTTATTTTACTTCTTTTATATCATACATTGAACTTAACAGTTATTCTCGATCATAATATTCAAATTAGTCTCATTTTGGAGTAATACCCAAATTAAATCAGTTTTTAACTAAAATAATCAAATCTACTTAAACTAAAATTCAATTATACTGTTTAAAACAATAATCATTCAAAAATTCTTTTAACAATAGATATTTTATTTGAATTATCTTAATTAATAAATATACCATATAGCAAATATCAAAATATCATAGAATTTTCATCTTCTCTATTATGAATATATTTTCTAATTTCATAACTCTACTTACCATAAATAAATCATCTAAATATTTTCATTTACACCATCTCCTATAGGTTATTTAATTATATATACCTCTGCCGCTGATAGATGAATTCCAACAATTGAATCAAAATCAGACTTCTTAGCTCCAATTCTTATAGCAACTGTAAAACATTAAGTCATTTCAGCAGCCTCTAGTCCAATATAATGGAATTCAACTATTTATTCAGTATCTTTTCTGACTATTAATTTCCTTAACAAATGGAAGCTTTTCTTGCACTAAAATCTCAAAATCCTTGAAAACATTTTCAAAGATTTTGAGATTCTCCCTACCATGTATTTTCAATTGTTTTTCTTCTGACAATCCGAAACAGCTATACTCTACGGGTGTAATGAGTCTTTGTTTTTAATTTCAAAATATGTAATTAATATTGGAATATCTTTATCATTTTTATAGTTTGTATTAAGGATAACACTATTTCTTGGTAATTCAATATATTCATATATATATATGATAATTATGGTATAAATTAAATATTTTATACTATTTTTCATCAGCCTTTATTCTTAATTTGGATTAATATTCGTATTGCAATTGAATTTCATTCTCTATGTAATCTATAAAAAAAACTATTTTATTTTCACATTAAATGAACAACGCTTCTATTCAATTGAAACTTCAATTATTCTTTCTTTATGATGTCAAAATTAGAATCTCATGATTTTATCAATAAACTGAATCAAATTTGAATATTACTTAATAACTTTGGATATCATTCAAATATTTTATTAAACTTTTGCAGACGTTTGATTTTTATAAAAATTACTCATTACTATATTCTTATAATAAATTTCATAATAGTTTAAATTCATCTATGTGGTGCTTTTGGAAGGCTAATGTTTAACTGATTTAAATTTTGGTTTGATACTTTAAATTCAGATTATGGAATAAAAAGATTTTCTGCCTAATTTAAAATATATTTGGTTGGGTGAATAAAATATCTTGAATATAATTAATGAAAAATATAATTGCAGCCACATTGATGACAATACTAATTAGTTTTAGTTTCTACCAAGTAAATTTAGATTCTGATTCTGACTTCGAAAGATGGGCTTTGAAACATGGAAAACACTATTTTGGAGATGAGAAAAAATACAGATAGGCCATTTATTTTTAAAACAAATAAATGATAGAAGAGCATAATAAAAGAAGCGAATTTACTTTTTTAATGGGAGAAAATCAATTTATGGCTATTACAAATGAAGAATTTGTTAGTCTTTATTTGAATCCAATATCACCCGAAAAATAAAATGAATAAGACTAAATCATAAGGAAAACTAATCCTAAGTCACCTGAACCAATTAGAGAATATAATTTAAAAGACGATGTTGATTGGAGAGGTTATGCCCCAGTTAAAAATTCAGGAAACTGTGGTTCCTCCTGGGCAATGGCAGCAACAAATGTCATTGAAGCAGCATATGCGATTGATAAAGGAATAAAAGTAACATTATCAGCACAGAATGTCATGGATTGTGCGAATTCTTGGGGGGGATGCGATGCATCTCTAGCTGATTTTTCTGATCCTAAAAATGCATATGGTCATGCAAGAAACCGAGGGATTTTAACTGAGTCTGAATATCCGTATACTGGCAGAGGCGATGACTGGTGTCAATAAACAGGATTCGCACCATGGAGGATTATGTCCTACGCATAGAATAGTGATGATATAGATTATATGAGGGGTTTCTTATAGATGTTAACGGAACATCCTTTATCAGTAAAAGTTGATGCTACTAACTGGTAATTCTATAGCTCAGGAGTATTCTCTCTTTGTAGCTCTATATATAAAAAAGCAAATTATTATGCATTAGCTATTGGTTATGTTTGGGAAGCGAATTAATAACAGAATTGGTAACAGATTTGGAGAGTTCAAGCATCTTTTGGAATATCTTGGGGAGAATTTGGAACTATAAGATTAGCACCAGGAAATACTTGTGGTGTGATAAATGAAGGAATTCGCGTGTACCTGTGGGGAGGGTGATTAATCATTAAAAATATTAAAAAATATCATCTTTCAATATTTACATTCATACAAAACATTGCAAATTAATTATTTGTTATTTAAAGGATTTCTATTTTTTAAAAAATACCTTGTTCATAAAATCAATTTCCAAAACCATATTGAGAAAAAAAAAGAAGTTTTGTATTATATAAAATACAATATATTGAATTTCAATTTAAAGCTAAAAATGATTTAATTTTTATAATGATAAAATTGGTCGTTGTCATAATAGCACTCAAAAGATAGGTAATTAAAAATTTATAATTTGTTAGAAATATTTATTAAAGGAATTCTAATAAAATGTAGAAGAAACAATTTAAATAAACAATATTATATAAGGACCTTACTTCAATTTTAGAAAATGAAATCTAAATTGAAAGAAACAAAATCTAGGATGTTTCTATTAAAACTTGAGGAAAATGGTATCGATTCTCGTAAGAAACTTCTTGAAATTCCTCCGCAAAGACTTAGAAATATTTGGATATTGAAAAGGATAAATTGGAGGATTGGATAAACAGTTAGGGAAATTAGAAAACCCTTTAATTTAAAGATAAAATTAATAACGAATGCCTTCTGAATATGGTAAATTGTTGCTAAAAACTGAAAATGGAATAAAACAATGTTACTTTTTATAAGCACCCTATGATTCAATAAAGAGATTTGAAGGATTAAAGTATTTTAAAAACTTTAGTTGTAATTGGAGAAACAGGAGTTGGGAAATCAACAATGATAAACTTTTCAGCAATCACTATATTGGATTCTAACATGCAGATCCATTTAGATTTATAATTGTTGATGAAGAATAAATATAACAACTATATAAAAGGATTGGATGGAAATTCTACTCTAAGAATAATTGATACCCCTGGATTTAGAGCCACTAGAGGATACGAAGAAGATGAAAAAATTTCAAACTTAATAACAACAAAATTGCAACCCTAGATTCGATTGCTTTGATTTGTTTTGTAATGAAAGCTACTACAATTAGATTAACTCTTCATCAAAGATACATTATTAATTATATCTTATAATTATTTAGTATGTTGTTATACAAAATGTTATTTTTTGTTTCCTTTTTGGGATGGCTTTAAGGCACTAGCACTTGATGTAATTTAAGCCAAAGGAGATCATGCGCATCCTGCAAGTCCTTTTGCCAATATTATACATCAAATAAAGGACAGTATTGGATAGGATTTAAAAATGAAGCTTTTTCATAAAATATAAATCAAATTTCGAGAATATATTGGGATATGGCGTATAAATCATTTAATACTTGTAATGAAAAAATTCTTAAAAACTTTTGTTACCTTGTACTCACCTAGAGGTTATCAAAGAAAGAAAGTAAATCTAGAATATCATCATTAATATCAGACCTGAAAAAAAATAAAGAATTTCTAATTTAACAAAAGATTAAGAAGATTCCAAAAATTTATATATACAAAAATACTATAAGCCCCTAATCAATATAGTACAAATTGTAATATTTGCAAACAACTTGTCATTATCCTGCAATCTTGAGATTTTCTCGTGCATTTTGTTAAGTCTCCGAATCATAATATTCACTACTTAAACCAATTTTGAGACTATTTTCATTAATACCACTCAATCCACCTTTACCCTAATCTTTTCTATAGTCACCCAATTAAGCAGCAACGTGAAATAATTTTTTAGGAATGCACCCAACATTTATAGTTTATTTGGATAATAATTATAAATACACATGTTCCTCCCACACCTCATGTTTGACTTTGAGGAGAAGGAACAACAAAGTCTGACAAACCTACTTTTTCCCTCAGCTATACAGCTGCTTTGCTGCTAGCTAAACCACCTGATCCTCCTCTAATTACAAAAAGATCAAAGGATATTGAAAAACAATTTTCGTTGAAATTAAATATTAACTATTTCTACATACAAATATATTTGTTAATTGATAAAAAGCAATTGTTTCTGAGTATCAATAAAAGTGAACTAAAAATGCAACCTTTATTTTTGAATAGGAAATGTATCTTAGACGAAACTGAGTGGATTAGTAATACAAGAATATCTTGTATTTTAAGCTTTGGGATTTTCAATCCTGGATAGACACTTTAATATACTAATTGTGAAATAGTGGATCTGAGAACTCTCTACTAAGTCATTTCATACCCGATCTGCAGTTACCAAGTAATCATTATAAATTGTCTAAACATTAAGTAAAATCTTATAATGAATCTTTGTTTATCAAATTAATATTACATTAAATATTTGTATCATCGATTGAATAGGATTTGAAATTACTTTATTTTTAGTTAAACCTTATTGAAGATACTTCAAGTGATTATCAAATATCAAAAAGGTAATTATTATATTGTATATTCTAACTTTTCCAATATTCTAACCTAAGACCAAGATTAATATAAAATGATAATAATTCAAGATGAAGCCTTCTTATTGATTATCATATGAGTAAAAAAGTAGACAGAATTTTCTAATTGAGTTTGGATTATTCTTATACATAAATAATTCAATCGTAATTAAATTAAATTGTCGTCACTCTATAAGTGGATATAGTATTTTTTGAGTGCAATAATATTAATAAGATATGAGTTAGAAGCTTAAGATTAGAAAGCCTGCTCCAGCCTTCACAGCCACAGCTTACGTGAATGGATCATTCAAGAAAGTGTCACTTTCCGATTTCAAAGGCAAATACTTGGTCTTATTCTTTTATCCATTGGACTTCACTTTTGTTTGCCCAACAGAGATCATCGCTTTTTCTGACAGAGTTGAAGTAAGTGTTTTGATCTTAACATTTTTCCAAAGGATTTCAGAAAGATTGGATGTGAGGTAGCTGCTGTTTCAGTAGATTCACACTTCTCCCACATGAAGTATTGCTAGACCCCAAGAAATCAAGGAGGATTGGGAGACATGCAAATTCCTTTGATTGCTGACTTAGGAAAAGTAATCATTATTTTTAATGAATATTCTAGACTATTTCTGCTGATTATGGAGTTCTTATCGATGATCCTTAAGATGGAGATTTTGGAGTTGCTTTCAGAGGCACTTTCATCGTCGACAAGAATGGTGTTCTCAGACATTATTCAGTCAATGATTTACCAGTCGGAAGAAATGTCGATGAAACATTGAGGTAATGAATGACGCATATAATTTTTCTAGATTAGTACAAGCATTCTAATTCACAGATGAACACGGTGAGGTTTGTCCAGCATCATGGAAACCAGGAAAACCAACAATGGTTCCAGATCACGGAAGTTAAAAGCTCTAACAATATTGGACAGATGAACATGCCAAAAAGAATGAATGAGTCAATTATTAAATAAAAAATTTATAAAATTGTGTTTCGATATATATCATTGAGTTAAAGGTTTTTGTTATTGTCAAAAATCCATTTATATGTTATTGTTTAATCTATTAGATATAATTCTTCTAAAGTTAAGATTTCTTCTCATTTAACTCTCTCAGTTGCACCAATCACAAGTTCTATTCTTCAATAGTCTTTCAATCAAATGATCTTATCCAATTGAACATAAAATCAGATCAATTTTAAAAAAGTAATAAATTCCTTAACCATAAGATATAGATAACTCTTTATAGTAGTCCACTTTTTCTTAGGATGTATAAAGGATTCTATTAGAACAATTATTAATCTTGATTCTTATCTTTCAATTTTTGGTGAGTATTAAAATAGATTAAAAAATATTAAAATCTATTCGTTAATAAATGAAGAATATAAGTTAAACAGTCGATGTAATTAACCATTCAAAAAAGGAGGATAAAGAAAATTTAATTTTCTATTCATCCATTAAAGATAGACTTCCCAAGCCCAATCCTATATTGATTTAGTAACTTCATTTAAACAAAGTAAATTCAATACTGCCATTAAAAAAAAAGTATTTCTATTATTGAACTATTGTAGCTATTTAGAAGCAAATGAACAAGAAGCAACCTACAAAACAGCCATATAATAACAAGAACAGGAATGTTTAACCTAAAAGCCAATCACCCTCCAAGCCTTCCTGAAACCTCTCAAACTAATATACCAGAAATATTAACCACAACAGAACCAAAACCTGTATGCAACTCTACTGCATTAACATGGGAGTACTTTCGATACCTCCCACTACTACCAATGCGAGGATGAGAATATTAAATTTGATTCCCTATTTGAAAGTGGCAACCTATTCCAAGTGTTCAAAGTATTGCTATGTTACCTAACTAGAAAAGCGATCACGATTACATCCTGCTCCTTTAAAATGACATCAATACCAAAGGATATACGCAATGGTTTTATTTCTCAATCCAAAACAAGAACTCGCTCCTGTGCAACATCAGACTCAGCATTATCAACATCAATAAGAACATGTGTTTTTATCGTCAAGGCATGAAAATCTTGATAAACGAATGCAATTCTTGGAGAAAAGACTCCTTGGGTTTATCATTTAAGAAGAATCACATCCAAAGGAATGACTCTTCATTCTACTACTCCCTCTCCTTCAACTACACATTTATCGAATAAGGAACTGTCTACTTCGCCTCTAATTACCCCTACACTTATTCTAACCTATAATCCTTCATATCCAGTAAATACTTAATCTACGACAGGATAATGAAGGTGAAAAACATAATCACAAGTTAAGCTGGGAATGACATTTAAATAGTTACAATAACTAACGATAACCAAGATCAGAAATAAGGATTATTCTTCATTGGTCGATAACATCCTGGAGAGACAACTAGTTCCTTTGTTATTGAGGGTATAATCAATGCATTGTTGTCTGCTGAGGCTGATGAATTGAGGAATAAGTTCGTTATTAAAATCATCCCTATGTTGAATGTGGACGGAGTAGTTCATGGAAATCAACGATGCGGTTTGGGAGGATTTGATCTGAACAGGAAATGGGGATGCAATAGGGATGATACTTTAAACTCTGTCGAAAAGCTAATAACTAATTTTAACCAAAACTATCCCATCCAATTGATTCTCGACATTCATGGACACAGCAAGAAGTAAGCAAATGTAATAAATTAGACTATCAGCTTTCTTTTATGGACACAGTTGTAACGAATTCATCACTGAGCTTTGTAACTCAGACAAAAGATTCAGTCTCGAGAATAGTCGGTTCATGAAGAACACTAAATACTTGAATCACACAGCCAGAGTCTATCTATAAAAACTATTGAACATGTAGCAGAATATCTATACACTTGAGATCTCGTACTTCGGATACAAGGATTAGAATTAAATTGTGGATTTCACTCTAAATGACCTCAGATCGATGGGGAGAGAGATTATCATCACTCTGTCAAAAAATCACGAAGAATAGAAGTGGACGGAGAGCAGCATAGTAAATGAATAGAATTCTGATGTCAGTTTCTCAGATTCCTCAATCTCAGAAGATGAAATAGGTTAGGATGAAATTAAGTAGGTTTAACAGCCACTCAAAGAAAAGGCTATTAATTTAGAGAGGCCTTACCCCAGATCAAATTCATTTAAATAAAGACAACTCAAATCATCCTAATCCAGAAACAGAGCAAAGTCTCAATCCATTTAAAACTAAATCAAATACTAGTAGTTCACATACAATTTTATTGATAATTCATTCAACAACTTTAATGTTAAGAATGACAATAATGATCATTCAAACTTGTTCGTTCCTCAACAAAAACCGAAGCAATCTGAATATACAGTTTAACCTCTGGTTGTGATGCCTCAACATAGTTTAAAGCACTAATTCTTATGGCAGAATAGGATTAGGTAATAAAATTAAAAAGAGTTGAAATTTTAAAATCCAAGAGAACAAAGAGACTTGAAAATATACCAAGAATTCAAAGATTACGTTAATAGTAAATAAAATCCAAACAAACCCTTACTTCCTAAATATACTTTCAATGATACAGATTTATTCAAAAAGTGTCAAGCGAAAAAATAATATTTAATTATTAATTTATGATATAGAGACAATTTTAAATTAATATATAATTTATGTAAATTACTTAAGAATTTGATTTCTTCGTCATTGGAGGAGGTTCAGGAGGGTTGGCTGCTGCTAAATAAGCTGCATCTCAAGGAGCCAAAGTTGGTTTAGCTGATTTTGTTAAGCCATCTCCTCTAGGAACTAAATGGGGTTTAGGAGGTACTTGTGTGAATGTGGGATGCATTCCGAAGAAATTAATGCATTTTGCAGCCTTGGCTGGTGAACTTAGAAAAGATCAAGTAGAAGCAGGGTAAGAATATGAATATTGATTTAGATGGATTAATGCTGACATAAAAGGGAAGCATGATTGGAATAGAATGACAGAGAATGTGCGAAGTCATATCAAAAAGTTGAATTTTCAGTATAAAAACCAATTGAACAACAAGGAAGTGAAATATTACAACAAATTGGCAGAATTAGAAAAATCCAATATTGTGAAAGTATATTATTATATTATGACTATGTAGTTGATTGACAAGGACGGAGGAGTCGAGTTTGTAAAATCAAAATTCATATTGATTGCAGTGGGTGGAAGACCTAGTTACCCAGAAGACATTCCTGAAATAGAAAAAAAAGTAATTACTTCTGATGATTTGTTTTGGTTACCTAATAATCCAGGCAAAACTCTTGTTGTTGGAGCTTCCTATGTGGCACTTGAATGCGGAGGCTTTTTAAATGGCTTGGGCTGTGATAGTTCTATTATGGTTAGAAGTATACTGCTGAGAGGATTTGATTAAGAAATCGCTGGTAAGATCGAAGATTACATGGTGGAGAGTGGGATTAAGTTTATAAAGGAGGCCATTCCCATCAATATTGAAGTGATTGAACATAATAGAAGATTAGTAACATGGAAATAAAAAGGAGTTCAGCATAGTGACACTTTTGACACTGTGCTTATTGCCACTGGTAGAAAAAGTGATACTAGTAAGTTGAATCTAGAGCGAGTAGGTGTTAAAACCAATAAAAATGGAAAGATTATTTGTACTATTGATGATAGGACATCTGTAGCAAATATCTATGCCATTGGGGATTGTGTTGAGGGTAGACCAGAACTCACACCCACTGCCATCAAATGTGGATAATTATTGGCTAATCGTTTATTTGGTGGATAGAAGAAAATGATGTGTTATCAATTTATTCCAACAACTGTATTCACTCCACTTGAATATGGTTGTATAGGCTATTCAGAAGAAGAGGCAATTAATAAATTCACTCAAAATGAAATTATTATTTATCATTCCATTTTTAAACCTCTAGAGTGGAATCTTTTGGAATCTCATTACGCCTAAGCTTGCATGATTAAATTGATTGTTATGGTCTCAACAAGAAGAGTTATTGGTCTGCATTACTTGGGACCTAATGCTGGTGAGGTTGTATAGGGTTATGCAGTAGCTATAAAACTTGGAGCCACCAAAGAACAATTCGATGCAACCATCGGCATTCACCCTACTTGTTCTGAAGTACAAATAGCTACTAATTTTAGGAAATTTTAACTCTTACTGCAGTGAAAGGAATTGATAATCCATAAAAAGAGGGTTGCTGAGGTTGAGATCCCTAGCTTGAAAGAGAGCTAGGGTTAAATAAATACATAACCTAAACTCTGTCAGAGGTGTTTTGATTTACTGATTAGAAGAATGAACTTTTTCATTTAAGTAATGAAAATGATTTTTTTACTTTAAAATCAAAAAAGTAAAGAATGAACACCAAAGTTCATTTAGACTAATCAATGAATTAAAATACATCATTTTATATAAATTAGTAAAATCATAATTTCTCTTTGAGTTCCTGTATATAACTGGTGAGCAAGCGTGAGAAGTTTTATCTTTTTTCTAAGCAATAATAAGATAACTATTACATTCTAAATTATTCTCCGCTTCCTTCAACTCTCTCATCCTTCTTATTTGATCAATCATAAAGTTTTATAAGATGAATTCCATTGGCTAATTAGAACCTTGTGAATTATTGACAAGATGTTGGAATTCTATCTTAAAATGATCAGAATTTATTAAATCCAATAGTTGCTCTTCAGATATTTATTCCTAAATCTCCGGTATTTTGTTGCAAATTTACAAAATTTAATGTGAATTCTTCAAGACCTTGTTGATTCTGTCTTTGAGTGGTTTATGCAAACTTAAATTTTCAGTGTTATTCAAAATCTAAGAAGCTATTCTTTTATGTCTTACTTCCGTCGCAGGTTAATTTAATTTCTTAATCTTATCTACGGAAGGATTTATCGTTCTCCTAAATAGGAGTTTGTTTTTCAATAAATGACTCGTCTTTTCATTTTGGTTCTCCTAGTCGTTACTCTTATTCTCAATATGTAAGGTGGGTAACTTAGTATTGACTTATGGAGTCAATAGTCTTCTAGGAGTACATGGCTTGATCTATTGAATCTTCATTAAATTTTCTTTCTCAAACATTTCCAAGACTTCGGCGATTTAGGTATTCGAGGAATGCGAATACTAAGTTGGGTATCTTTCCTTTAGAGGCTGGGGGAAATTGAATTGAGTCATGGTTTAAATATGCTAAGATTATAATTGTTTAGCTATTTTCTCAATATCCTTATGCATTGATTGGGAGCTGTTAGAATGACCAATTATAAGATTCTGAATTGGTTAAACTATGGGTTGCTTCTGTTTTCTATAGTAGAATCTATGCTAAGAATGTATTGATGAACTGGTTTTAGCAAAGATACCTTCTTTTTACATCATATCGTATTGAGTGGGTACTAATACAGGGTTGTTGTTCTCCTTGTTAAGAGATTTATTAGCAGACAATTCCATTAACAGATAAATATATTAATAAATATCCGTTGACAAAATATAATCCTATATAAAACATAAAAGTTTCAATTCTATAAATGGTAATTGTATAACTACATATTAATTTAATTGAAACTACTGATAATTATGCTAATCCTGGACATAATTGATATACTGTAAATATTAGGAGTAAATTAAAAATATGGATAATATTGGTTTATAATAAATAATTTATCAAAGAGTCTCAATTATAATTATGTAGGTGATCTATTTTTCTAGACTCTACACAATTTTAAGGGCTATAATACTTTTTGTTAATTTAGTCCCACTTGCCAATACTTCTTATGATATTAGATGATCCTGTAATCCAGTTACTCTCATTTTGAAACTGAATAAATAAGCCAAATCTCACTCAGATAATCAGTTTGAATCAACAGAAAATATAGAAAATAATATATTAATAAAATGAAATCTTATATATACCAATCATTAATTATCTATTTTTGTAACTTGCATTGAATATTCGAAGCTTAGAGATCTTTGCATCTTAATATCCCCTGGTTCGCTTTTTGTGTCACTATTAGTTTCCAATGGCTATAACTTTAAAGAATTAATATTTGATTTCATCTCTATATACTCTCTTTCATCCTCATCTGTTAAATCTGAAGCAACAGAATCATCAGAAGTGGATGACGATTCCTTATCACTTTTATCTTCCAAGGGGTTAATCTTATCAAGTACTTCACTCCCCTTCTTATCAACAAAGTATAATGTCAATACAAAGATTAAATTAACACAACCAATTCCCATGTAAAAGAATCCAACCTACCTATAATCACCATTAGTATTGTAGATTTAAGAGGAAACAAGAGGGAAGATACAAGCTCCGATGCTTTCAAATAACCCCATCAATCCAAAAGCAGTGCCCATGATTCTTTATTCAACAAGATACTGGACACAAGGAATCATAACGCAAGAATAGAATGCATAACTGACTCCTAATAAGAACAAAGGAACTACAGCTGCATATTAAGGCGATCCATCCTCAGGAGTCGGTATGATTGCGAATAATAAATGGGAGAGGATAAAGAGCAGAGATGTCAATATCATCCATCTTCTTCTATAACCCACCTTATCAACTACATACCCAATAAATGGAGATACAAAAACTACGCTAATGAGATGTATTTACTTGGTGTCAAATAGGTAATGATGATGGCTCTACCTGCTGATATATTTGAAAGGTTGAATCTCTCTTAACAGAATGAATTAGCATTGTCCAAGAAAGGAATGAATATACAAAGACTGAACGTGCAGATCATCAGGAGGATCCAGACTGTGCCTGATAATTGCTTAAGGTCCTTTAAACTGATTTCTTCTTTTGATTCTTCTTACTTCTCCTATTCTTCTTCATCTTCCTCTCCTTCCTCTTTCTCCATGATGTTTTATTCCAAAACGTATTGAGAATCTGATTCTATAAAAGAGTATGTCAAACTTATTACTCACATCTTTAATCATATTTTTCTGCGTATTTGTCCAGATAAACCAAAACTACCCCACAACAAAATGAGAATAAACAAAATCCGACGCTGACGAAAAGTGGCACTGATAACTTTTGACTAGAATTATAGATCAAAGGAGTCAATAAACTATTTAAAGCACCTCCCAATTCTGGAACTGTCATGATGATTCCCATTGCCTATATTAAGTTAGAATACCTTACAGTTGCTAATTCTGTGCCCTTAAACCATAAACTTACAAATGTACTTTATGCAATGATCAAATTTTCGCTGGCCACACCAAATATTGCTCTTCCCAACAACATTAGGGAGTACTGGTTGAATTTGCCCCCCAAAGCTATTATCAATTAACCGATAGTAACTATAAGAGTAAATGTGAAAATCCCAAATCTCACTCCAAGTCGATCAATTATCATTCCTACAATATTGATGATCTTTCATACCTCCCAAAATGGTGAGAAAGATGTTAGGCAAAGCAAAGACACTATAAAGTAAATTAAACTGAATAATGTTAATTCCTAATTATTATTAAATTTAAGTTTGCAAAGCTTGAGGATTATCAAATGAATAATTATTTCCTAAAAGGATTAGAGCAGCTAAAGACACTGCCAAAAATCTCCATCTAGTTTAACGAAAACTCATATTGTCACACACAAAAATATTTTTATTATTTAAATTTTTAATTTATTCTTACTAATTTTATGGAATGACTATTCCAATTATTATTACATCAATAGATCAACTTAAATTCAAATCAATATAATCATGAATACTACAAAACCATCGGTGAAAAATCATCACCTATAGCAACCAACTTTGTTTTATTGTCATTTATTTTCATCTATCTCACACAACCCTTGTTCATCGCCCCAAATCCATACAAGCATTAACCAGAATCGTTGTCATAAAACAAGATGTTGCCATCCCCACACCCCGCTATTGTCATATTGTAAATGGTCTCGATAGAAAACACAGCATCCTTGGCCTTCATCATAGAAACTGGCTTGAATCCAGCAACAATGTCAATTATCTTGCAAGTTGCATCAGCACTGCCAGTAATTACTAACAAATCATTTCAAAATCTTACTAAAATTTTATAGATTCACTGTCAGACCATTAATTGATCCCTTATGAATCTAACTCTAATTTACCAATTTATTCGTCCTCATATCATGAATAATCAATGTCCCATCATTAATACCAGCCGTAATAACAAGGTTATTACTCCCCCCATCTGAGTACAATAAGCATTTAGACACTGCTCCTTAATGAGCATGCTTTGACATCACTGGCTCTCCTTCATTTATATCCCAAAACACCACAGTGCCCTATTTATCACCACTCACACACAATGAATTTTTCCAATCAAAATCCAACACTGCGCTTTTATGTGGTCCAAACAATTTTCTACTCTCTTACATTGAACTCAATTGCCAAATCATCAATGTTTAATCATATGAACTTGTAATACACACTGACTATTCATCCACCATCAATTTAGTAATCGATCCTTGATGTCCAACCAAATCATTACATCTTACACCCTTTGCATCCCATAAACAGAGCTTGCTGTCCATCCCTGCAGATATTATTTACCCATTTTACAAATGCTACACTGAACTAACCCACTCTGTGTGACCATATCTTTTTGCATACAATTCTTTCTCGTATTTCATAGAAGATATATTGTAACATCTCAAACCATGATCGGCTGATCCAGTAACCAAATGATCCTTCATTATGTCCATACAGAAGATCCCTCTGCCATCTATAGATATAATTATTTAATACGTCCAGGTTCTAAGGAGACACTATTTGTAGGACCCTTCCTCCATTGAGATAACAATTATTGTGATAACATTTCTACCTATTTATATACTAATATTAATTCATAAATTTTAAGGAATCATAAAAGCACAAACATCTCTTTATTCTTCACTACAAAAATTGAAATGACTGCACGCTTCAAATGTCGCAACGACATCCACCTTTATACCGAACTTTTTAAACTTCTCAAAATATGAATCTGGCAAATCTTGCTTCTCTCTCCCTGTCCCAATCAATACATAACCTACACATATATTAATCATTTTTCACTTGGTCTTGGCTTTATCACTTCCAAAATATCAAAACTATGTGCCCTTATATCAGCTGCAGTCTATACATCCCATAAAAATATTTATTAAGGAAATATTAATATGCTGCCTGGATACCAGACATCATTCACTGAAAAGTACCCATTGCCCAATCCGAACACTTGCTATAAAAAAGGTTTGTTATGCAGAGTTGGATCAATAAAATCGAATATATATTCTGTTTTCCTTTTATTTTATTTTGTATCGTAAAATTCCCTCGGCTTACTTATCGATGGATCCTTAAATGGCAATTCAGTTTTTCTTTCCATTATTCTTTATTTTATCTATTCCATATTTACAGTAACATTTTTCTTATCAATGTTTTAATTTTCACAAAACAAAAATTTCGGAAGCCTTCTTATTAATAACATAAATAAATATAAATATTATAAAGAAATATTGTAGTTTTGTAATCCAATTGCAGTTGCAAACTCTAACTATAATTGAATACTTTCTTTAATAAAAATTAATATATGCTATGATAATTTAACAAGTTCATAGAGTATTTTCATAAGCATATAGATCGAGAGAATGAATTAATATAGTAATACTTGAATATCTATTTACAGTTTATTCATTTTACATTGGATGTCTATCATATTAGAATATTTTAATAGAAAACGAAGACTTATTATTTTTGTTTTGTGGGAGTTAGAAAGAATTTGAAGCTTTTTAAATAGCAATGCAAGATAGAATTGAGATGTTTTTTTTATTATTTAATCATAGTATCATTATGCTTATAATCAAAGGATGCATTGTGACCTCTACAATTCAGTTTACTCATGTTATTTTATAAATTTTAATAATTAATAAATGTCTCGCTAATCCAATAATTAATTGAATTAGCTTTAAAAGTATTGCATAGTTAAAATATAATTTTCGATAAGAATGTAAAAATTTGGAAAAATTATTATTATGCAAGTATAATTTGCACTAACGTTAGATGCTAATTGTTGGAGAGTTGAATTTCATTTCTTTTTAGGTTGCTAATTGCATGCACAGTATAATTTTAAGTGAATTACTGCTGTTATATTTTATTCAACCATAGAAATTAAATTCTTGGAGTTTATTAATGGGATTTTCAATTGAGTTTAATGACAATTAAATTACTTTTTATGCTTGTTTATCAGTTGAGATCCTCTTAGAATGCATGAAATTGCTATAATAATAACTAGAGCTTCTAGAGTTATTCGTATTTCTATTACTCAAAGAGTGAAGTTGCTTAAAACTAGCATCCATTGTTTTTAACTTCTATTGCAAGACAATACTTTCTGATTCTAGCCCTTTCGTTAAGAATATCTATTTGCTGTTAAATCCGTTCATTTGCTGAAAAATCTTGAGGGTAATTCATATTTAATACGATTTTAAAACTGACCCCAAGAATTAGTAATTTTAATTTAACTATAGACTTTTTTTTCATTATTTTTTTTTAAACTTACTACATTAACCAAAATAAAATTTCTATCTTTTATCTTCTTATTTTAAATTGTAAGTTTCATATCCATCAAAAATCTACAAAAAGAATTATCTTTTCAAAACAGCAAATAGAGAGAGTTTTATTAATCGACCAGTAAATTAACAATATGTAATATCAAGATCAGATAACTTATAGCCATTCTCAAATCACTAACGTCAACTTATTTCTCAACCAATATTCCATCCAAGGTCTTGCTATGGCATTGTGAATGTTTGCACTAAAACCATTTCTGCTTCGAAATTCTTATAATTATTCTATTAATTTTGATAAATTTTCAATAATATAACAGTGTAAGTTGGATTTTACTTTATAAATAGACATCAATTTTCTGTAAACTTTAAATCATATTTGATAGAATAAAAATGTCAAATTACATTATTCATATGCACAAAATTATATAAATTTCTTTTTTGACAGCTTATTCTTTACATAACTGTAGTTCATATTTTGAAAAAAACGATATTCAATTAACCACAAATCAAGATTCTTAGACTTTAGTATATTTAAAAACTCTGTAATTCATAAAATATGGAGACAAGTGCCTTCAAATTCATGAATTAATGCAGGTATTGTATCATAACTTAACTATATAAATTTGTTCCTCAACCTATTGAAGATTACAATTTTGCATGAACACTTTGAAAATAATATAAAAAACTTGATTTAATTGATTATAATACTTTTATAAATAAATATATTAATATAAATACATTTTCAATCCTTTTTTCAAATACCAATAGGTGTTTAGTTTTAATTTGAAGCTATGGATTCTTTATTTGTAATATTAAAGTTACACGAATAATAGATAATTTTTTTAATTTTAATTTTTATCCCAAGATAAATAAAATTTAAATATAGAGAAATATTTTCATTCCACCAAGGATTTATGAGAGTATTTAAACTCTCCTTTTACATCTCGGCTTTTGGCTACCCTTAAATTTGGTGATAATTTGTAACACAAATTATGAGTCATTCAACCAGTATTTAAATATATATAAAATAAATAATATTTATGTATTTAGCACTATATTGCTTTATGTTATTTTGTATTTTTCGGTTAATAGTGATTAATGAATAAGCAATATATTGAGAAATGTAGATTAGAATCAAAACAATAAAGATAAATATTGGTGAGTTCTGTTAATTAATAAAATTTTCATCAGATCAATATTAATAAAAATATATATATTATAATTAATCATGAACTCATCAGTTTGTGTTGCATTTAGATCAAGTTTTTTAGTTCAGAAATATTAGTGAAGGTTGGTAATTTTTTATAATCAGAATTTGATTCAGAAAATATTTTTTCTTTAATTTTAAGTGAGTGAAATATTGATTTTGAAGTCATGATGAGCCCTTTCCTCATACATATCTATTAGTTCTCCTAGTGATTCTATTTTTTTAATTAATTTTATTTATATAGTAAAATCTCCCCAGAATTGTAGTCAACCAAAACTGATGTTTTGATTATATAAACCTTAGGTTTTCTCCTTTGTTTTGATTGCTGAGGAGTCACAGTACCTAATTTTTTATATAGGTTTATAATATATTTAGCAGAGGAGTAATTGATGGAGTGAAGTTTCGAGGCCTTATTTATAAATATGTAGTTTACTTGATGAATAGATAAGTGATCAGTCATGACACTTTCAATGAGTAATTATTTTAACTAGAGACTTATCTTCTTAACTTTTTTTGTCTTCATTTTGATTCTTAAATCTTTAAATTTTTATTCAAACATTGCTCTTTATAAATATTTTAATAATTAAATTCCTTGTAAATTAAGACTTTAGAATGTCGAAGTTATCAAAATGAAATTAGATTTACATGATAGACATATTAGAATGACTCTTTATTATAGTAAAATATAGGCAGAAAATATTATTAAAGAAATGAAATTTTTTAATTTAAATGATATTTTTTGGAGATAATATCTTCTTAGAATATTCATTCCAAAGCTCGGAATTACTTGGATAATTTCAGAAAACTATAGAAATAGATCATATGGGTAATTTCTGATAGTTGTGGGATGATGATCTTAAATAATTAGCCTTGAGATTTAATTACGAAAGTATTTAATTAATAAAACATATATGATATATATAATTTTTTCATTCCTACTTCATCAGAATATGTTATCTAAGTAAAAATTTTTTGAGCATTTCTTCATCTCTACATTCTTTATAATGAAATTTGTGCCAAGAAATTTTCCCCAGTTTCTCATAAATCAACTCAGAAGTTTATAGTAAGTTCTGGTTTTTATACTCTTCTTGTAAAGAAGAAAAGTCACAATAACTTATTTTTTGATTATTTTTAGCCAACAGAATACTGCCATCAGATACATCTATTACTATATTAACATTTTAAATAATGGATTTTTGTTTGCTCTGCGGATGTTAATGTTCGTCCAAACAATTTCCTTTATTTTTAAAATTCTTCATAATGTACTTTGCCGTGGAATACTTTATCTAAAGTTTTTAAGCAGCCTTCAATATATCATAAACTATACTTGTCGAGTTGATACATTCTCAGAAATTACCAAATTGATCAAAGATTATTTTCTATGGGTTTCTATTCTCTTATGGTTTCTAAATTTTGAAATGGATTTGTTAACAGGAGTGTTTATTTTCGACATAATATAATTTAATTAAAACAATTGAGAAGTATTACATTAAAAGAACTTTACAATACATGGAAAATTTCAATTTAAAATGTTCGTTCATCTAATTCATTTCATAAAATATCAGAGCATTAATAATTAATAAATGTTCGTTATTAAACTAGCAAAAATTAATCATCTCGTCTAGCCTATCTTTTTAAAGCCAAAAAAACAAAAGTTAAAAATCAACCAATTTCTAATTGCTGAAATTCTTTAATGAATGAGTAACCATTTTCATTATAGTGTAAAAATTACCTATTAGGTTACAGAAATTAGTTTATTCTATATATATTTTAGATTCTAATCAGTATTATCATCGAATCAAATTGAATCAGTATGCAATTCAACTTTTTAATTTTTATTATATGACTCGTTAATTTGCTCAATTCACATCATGACGCTACAAAATTATGGCTAAAGTGATTGGATATATTATTAACACTAAATGCGAAGAACATTAATACTTTTATGTCGAGCCAAATATTAATGTCCAAATTTTTAAAATTCTTAGACTTCAATTAAAATGAATACAAACAATTGCATTATTATCTCTTTTATTATTTGTTTTAATCCATCAATTGATGACAACTTTTGAAGAACCCATTATCTAAATTATTGTGGATGAAATTGCCGAAGAATAAGGCGACCATAAGAATCGAAAAGAAATTGATGATAAAAAAAAGAACAAACAATAATTAAAGGCTGAGAAATCCCAAAAAGGAGTTAGATCGAATTTCGATGGAAAATAATAATTTGGAGATAAAACTATATGCAGATTATGCTCAAAAACAACTATGGAATCAGTTTATAATATATGCAATAGATGTCATTTTCGATATCATCAAGAGTGTGCTAATCAACAATAATATGGATCATATAATGAGGAAACCTAAAAGTGGATATGCAAAAAATGTGTTAATAGAATAGAGATTTTAACTTTGAAAAACAAGGATAAAAAAAAAAAGAAAAGAAAAGTAGAAATATAAGTTCAAAGCACTACTGAATAAAGCGATAATGAAAATAATGGATCTCTAACAGAATTTTTGCTTCGATTTCCAACTTATAAAAATCAAGGATAAATTTTATTTCCAATTCTTGATGAATATTTGGTTGCATATTCAGATCTCTTTCATGTAGAAGTGAAAAAGAAACCTATCATTAAAGAAGATTTAGACATTCCTAATTAATACTTCTATCAAGTTTTGATTATATGGGACTCATATAATAATTACGATAAAATTGTTAGCGATATTTTAAATATTGAAGAAGGCAATTCAGATAATGTATTTTATTAACTTATAGCATAGTAATCTCAAATTGGAACTTTTATTCATTTTAAAGATCAACATTAATTTTATTCATAGAAATCAAGAAAACAAATTTATTAAATGTTACATACTGAACCACTTAAATTAGTTGAATTCTTTAGCTGGTTCTATACGAAATAGTTAATTGAGGATGTGGATTTTGAATAAATATAAAAAGCATAAGAGGTAACACAATAGTTATTAATTAGAATGCCTTTTGGTATTTAATGGGGTTTCTGTGGTATAATAATAGAGGATAATATTACGAAATTTATAAAGAGTCTTTGCAGTATATTGCCCATTATTTATATCAACAAGGTATATTATGTTTGAATGATGATGATCTAAAATTGCTGGATCAAAATGATAAAGATTACTTTCTTAATTTGATTCTTATTTTAATTGAAGGATTGCCTGATTTAAAAAAAACACCAAATTTAATTTCATACAGAATTGAAAATCTAATTTCAAATAATAAGATAAAAGAATAATTAGCAGCTTAAGTGAAGGATTTAAGAGCTTAAAGTGTTGAGATGCAACTTAACTTAGATTAATTAGTAAAGGAGATCTCAGCCCTAAAAGTACTAAAATTATAATATTATTTTTAAATAGTAAACATTATCTTAAGGAGATTTGAGTAAGACTGATTTTGTGAATACTCAATCATAAATAGAAAACATAAATTTAAAGATGATTGAAAAAGAATAGGCAAAATCTAAGATTACAAAGTAGCTAATATCAGTCTAAGAAAGATATATTTAACTTGAGGAAGTAATTATATAAGTATATTATAGGAGTTACATTTAGTCTAAATTCCAAATTTATTAATTAATCCCTCTATGTTTTTAGGGTTTGATTTAAAAAACTCATTATATTATTTCTTTCTTAATGAACGGGATAAAGTCTTTGTCTAATAGAGAAATTCTTGGATTGATTCAAATATGAAATGGGGGTAATATATTGATTAAATTAGTTTTTACAATTTTGATGATGTTGAGATTCTCTTAAAAAGTCTGAATTTAAAGGGTATCAAAGAATGTTAATTAAAATTAAATCTAGAAGAAATAAAGAAATAAAAATTGATTCTGTCTGAACCAAATCCTTCAAAATTAACATAATATGGTAATGATAAAGAGGTTGAGGAAAGAGAATTAAAGCACAAATAAAATGGAAAACCATAAGAAAAGTAATAAACAGAAATTCAAGTAATCTAACTTTGTAAAATGTTGAATGAGATAGATTTTAACTTGACTAATTATTTAAATGAAAAAAATTGCAGATGGTGTAGTGCTAGTGTTCGTAGTGTATTTAGAAAAAGTTACGATGAAAATAAAGATTCAATTGATTGCTTAAAGAAGGCAGTGGAATTTTTTATTGAGAACACTTAAACCTAGGAAAGATTAGATAAATTATAAGAGGGAGATACTTTAGATGATAATCTTTACATCGATTTTGATGAAGACTCAGCATTCTTACTTACTAGAAAAAAGAAAATAGTGGAGGACGAAGATGTTGAGAATGAAAACTTCAAATAATTAGAAGCTCTTGATGCCAGCAAATTAAAAATAAGAAGAATGCCAATGAAATTATTTGGATCTTACTTCGAAAATCTTAGATAATGCTTATTAGATTAAGTTAGGGATAAATTTTGCGATTTGTTATAACTTAAAACTTGTCTTGTCGTCTTAAAAGAAGTTATTAAAATGTACATTCAAAGAAAACAAGAAGAATGTCAAAGATAGGAAAAGAAAAAAAATACTATCTAATCACAATAATTACAGCCATCTTTAATTATCGAAGAAATCTATAGAGATTAAGTAAAAAAAGTTTAAATTTAAGATGGAGAAAATATCTGGGAAGAATAATGCAAGGTTTGTGGACAAGGAGGCAAAGTTCTTTTATGTGATACTTGTCCTAGAGTCTTTCATCCTAGATGTTTAAAACTAAAGGAAATCCCTAAAGGTAAATGGAGTTGCATGATATGCCTGAGCTATTTTTCTAGATAAGTAAAAACCAGATAAACTTTTAAAAAGCTGCAAACTAAATGAGGATATTAAATAAGAGATATATAATCTATATTAACATTTCAGTATTTAATCATTAATATTAATTTTTTGTTCAATCAATTAAGAATTATTCCATTTTTATTCTCAGTTTCTCATTATCAACTATTGATTTAATAGAATACTTGCTGGGTTTAACATAAACCTCTATTTTAGGTAATTCCCATTTATATTTTTTTTTTTATTCCTCTTCCTTGATTCTTCTTTCTAAAATTACTCTATATTCCTCAACTGTCATTAATTTTAAAGGTTGTGGATACTCCAATTTAGGAAGCTCATATTTAAATTTTTATCTAGTCTTCTCTAATTCTGGCAGTTTTTCAAAAGAATTTTATAAACTGAAATTATGCCTTTTTTTCTTATTTTATATTTCATGTGGTAATAGTTATTTAAGAGACTAATGTCCAACTTATCTAAATATACTATATTGTTTTTCTCTATATAAAGCAGATGGTCTATATTTCCAAATACATTAATCATTGTTCATTAACAAATATTATAAAAATGTTGTTATAAAAAATTAAATAATGTTATGAATTACATTTTGATTTTATAAAGAAGAATTGTCTATCATGTATAATTAAAAATGACATAAAGTATAAAATAGAGATAGAGTTATAATAAATTAAACGACATAAATTTAGTATGATATTCTAATTTCCTAATCATTTCTTTCCTGTTTTTTTTTAATTTGCTTGAGCTTTTTTAGGATCTTAAGCTTATTGTTTTTCTAAATTCTCAAAAAATTTATCAGGATCTTAATAATTAGGATTAGAAGGTTTTAATGTAGTCTCTATCCATGTATCTAAGTCCTTGAATTATGGTTTTATATTTACTTCAATATCCTATTTTTTTTCTGCATCCTGATCCATCCTTACTTTATCACTCCAAAGTGTTCCTTTCTTAATCTTAGACTGTATTAATTATATCTTTTTTTCCATCTCTTTTTCATGCAATTAGTTAATGTTTACTTTTCTTTAAATATTACTAGATCCTGTAATTAAGCCTCCCTCCTTGAAAAAATCTGCTGCATATTCTGGGTTCTTGTAAATTTTATCTCCTAAGGCTGCTACTGGCAACCTAAGTATTTAATATTTATTTACCCATTTCTCATTTAGTAGAGATATTCCAATCTTTACTTTTTTCCCATCATTTCTTCAATCTCATGTCTCTTTTCACAATGAATAGGAGGAAATGTTTTTATCCCATATGGGACATCTTCAATATGTCCAGACTATCCTTCTTTCAAATGAAGTCTCTATGCTCTAGGTTTCTTTTCTTATGGATGATGTTCAATAAATTATTTTCCTAATTCGATAACTGTTATCATTTACCAGGAGGAAATTCTTATGATTTACCATCTCCAGGTCTTGGTATTTTGGTTTTGAGATGAGGTACCCATGTGTAAAGATCTCCATATTTTGGATCAAAATGTACTCTTCCTAATGGCTGCTAAATTTCTCCTCCTGCAAAATCAGTGATACAATCTTAAGGTTTTATATGTATTTTCTAATTATATGTTGATATTTTACTTCAGAATAGTTGAATTTACAAGATTTTAAACCATGCCATGCTTGTTATGATTACATTTCTTCTACAATAATTTTCTGTTTTATAAAATAAATTAATAATCTTAAGTGTTATTTAATTATTAAAATAAACAACATGTCCCTCTTATTAAGCTAAGACTTAAACTTGTTAGATATGGCCTATTGTTTCAATCATGTCTATATTGAATATAATTTGTAAATTACAAATTAAGAAATAAACAAATTGACTTGTTTTGGTGTATTTTGTGAATTTGAAAGGTGATAACATATCTAGATTATTAAGTTTCACGTCATTAATTTAATTATTAATAGGACTCCCTTATTTCAGCCTTTTTATCTCACACAAGACTATTAACATCTTTTGTTTTAAGTTCATGTTGCCACTTTAAAATCATTACTAAACCATTCCTAAATGTATTAAATTCTCATTCCATAAATTAAATGAATTAGATCTTTAACAATTTTCTTTTAAATATATTTTAATCAAAAAATCACTAAAATCTTGAGTTTTTTTATTAGCTTTTCCAGATACATCAAAATTTATCAAGAATTAACGATTTAATATCAATAAATAGTTTTTAATTGCTAAAGATAATTTTAGAAAATCATGCATCAGCACCAATTTTATTGCAAAGTAAACAAACACTCCCCTAATTTAAACTTTATAAATTATACAAAAAAAATTTGTTAAAATAAATAAGAATGTAGAAATGTAGTTTCAGTTACGAATTAATTCCTGAATATAGTTAATAACTTCATGACTATTGTTATGCCATAGCCATTAACCACAACAATACTTATCTCTTAGCATCTGATTAAATGAGATTCAAGATATTTTTAATGTCAAAAAGTGGGCTCAAGCTATTGCAAACAATGAGAAAACATAAATCTTTGGTTTACACCCTGAATTTTATGAAGGATAGATAATAATTAGTTTCTAGTTCGCTTGACAATTCCATCGTAATTTGGTCGGAAATTAATCTATCCAACCCTAAATATCTCACTAAACTAAATGATCACAAAGATTCTGTTAGATGTCTAAATTATAGTTCGCATTTTTAAAGTTTAATTATCAGTGGATCAGATGATCATAATATTAAATTTTGGTATTATTAAAACTCTTATTCATCTTGGTCTTGTTAATAAACAATTAGAGAACATAATGATTCGGTTTATGGATTATCAATGAATCAGGAAGGAACCACACTTATTTCTTGTAGTTCAGACAAGCAGATATTGGTAATGAATAGAGATAATTCAAATATGAAATATTGGAAGGTCATCCAAACGATTCATGTAAAAAAATGGGGACTTCGGATTTGTTACATAAATAATAATATGTTTGCATTCTTACCTCATAGTAATGGAGAACAATGGAAAGGTGGAAAGACTCTCCACATATACACATTAACCAAAGACACAAAAAAATTCAGAAAAAGGGAAGAATATAAAATTCAAGGTGGAGGACAATTTTGCGACGCTGAATTTCCTGCTCTTTTTGTCTAATCCAAATAAATACTCTTCCTTAAAAATGGATGCACAATAAATTTATTAAAATTTAATGTTTTCAATAATTCTATTTAAGAAGATACATACTAATGTAAATTATAATAATTTATTTATTTTGATTGTAAGGATAAAGATGAATGTGGAGCTTTATTTGGAACAATTAGTGAGAATGGAGAGTATTTGATAACATGGGATTGGAAAAAAGGGTAAATTCAGGTAAGAAGATACTAAGAAATTCTTGATATAAATCAAATATGAGAATATATATTTGATATGATAATGTAATTAATTAATTATCTAATTGTATATGTTATATTGAATAAATACCAAACAATAGGTTTTTAGTCTTTTCTGTTTTCAATAAGCTCATCCTGATGCATAATAAAAAATTTAATGTGTTAAGGTTAATTGAAATGAAATTTAAGATGCTTCATTTTACGAATACGATATTTTTTTCTATATTCCCTGTTTTATAGCCAGCTGTTTTAATGTCAGTTCTTCCTATTATTGATTAAGTAAGATTAAGTTAATAATATAAGTATACAAAAAAAGTCCAAAATACATATTCTATTTTTATGCTATAGAGGTCTTTTGTTTGTGAAATAAATCTTTGCTTCTGAAATTAAGATTTGGAATTATAAATTTGCAATACAGAATCTGTTCTATATCCCATCTCAATTGAGAATATATTAAATAATTTCATTTTTTAAAAACTCAAATGAAAAATAAAACTGTACCCTAAACATAAAAAATTAGAATTAAGTGGAATAATTTTAATATATTATATTATGATAAATTTTGGGAAGGTTTTATTAAGAAAATCGTAAATAACTTTAAAAGACATGAAATAATTTATGAGTTTACCAATTGATTCAAATAATGATTAAATTCCTATATATTCGTATGATGAAAATATAAAGGTAATGAATAATAATTAAACAGATTGTGACAACGTATGATTTGGAATAATCAACAAAGCATATACCTATAAAAGATTAAGTAATCCATTCTATAGCGCATATAGAATATAATGCAATGAAATCATATATAGATACTCTTATTAGGTTTATAAATTAAGTCCCACTTTAATTCCAAATAGAATTTAAGGAAGACTTAGGATAGATTGCATATGAAGAATTTTGCCATTTTGAATTAGTAAATTAATTATGCAAATATGGATCCCAACCAGTTCATAATAATTTATAAAAAAGAATGATTTTAACCACGAATTCCCTTTTAGGAAGATTAGCAGTTTTGAGCATTGTTAATGAAGGGAGAGGAATGGATACAGGATTGAATTTAATCTAAAAATTAGAAGGTGATAAGAATTATGAAAAAGTAATAAAAAAAATAGTCTAAGAAGAGAGTAATCATGTTAAAATTGGACTTAAATGGTTTGAGTTATTATGCAGTGACTAAAGTCCTTAAGAAAATTTTCTTAAATTAATGAATGATTATAAGATTTCCAGAAATTGGAAAATTAACATATAAAAAAGGAAACAAGTAGGTTTTAGTGATGAATGGATTAAATGTTTATAGAATTGGAATTGATATATATTGCAAATTTATAATAATCCAAATTATCAGATTTCTAGCATAATAAAAGATTATTTATTACAAAAGAAAGTTATTTTAGAAATGTGAAAAAATTTATTTATATGATCGCATCTATTTATGTCAAGTTTTGTTAGTTTAACTAATTTTTGACTATGAAAAAATTTCACAAAATACTTATTCACTACAAGATGAAATTCTTTGATTTAAGTCATCAATAAATAAGAACCCAAGAATTATTTATTTTAAGAAATATATGAATTCAGAAATTTCAAAATTTTTTGGCAAATTGCTCCTCATTAATAGTTTATAATGTCCCAACAATTACAATATGGTTGAATATATTATTGGCGAATAATTAATGAAATTTAATTAATAAGAGATTGAGAACAACCAAAATGACATGAAAGAGTTCAATAACGATGATGTTTATTAGAGTATAATAAATAATTAAAATTCATCTCACTTAAAATCTAATCACTATTAATAAGATGAAAAGCAAAGTACTTTTGAATATATCGATTACAAAATTGAGGAAAAGCTTAATGAACCGTAATAAGAATCAGCTATTTTAGATTCTATTCCAATTGAAAAGAATGAAATTGATTTTCAATCTTAATATGGTGTTGATTAATTTAATACTTTTGTGGAAACAAATTTCTTAAGCAATTACAAATTTATACTGAGACAACATTTAGATTCCAAAAATAATAGTTATTAAATTAGAACTTCTATTCAACCATATTGATTAGTTTATTTGTTTCCACAACCAAACTACTTATTTTACATAGATATTCAGAAAAAATTATTAACTGAAATCAATTACAATAATATTTTAGTTATACATAAGATCATTTATTTCATTTATTTAATTCTTGGTGTGTGATGGCTTCCTGAATTATGGAAACTTCGATTCTTGTTACACTACGTCTTTTGCATTTGCATGGGATATCACAACTAGAGTTATTTTGGATGATTTAATAATTCCTGTAAGCATCAATGCTTCTTGTATGGTGAGAGGATTTTACCAATATAATTAAAAATTAATCTAATAAATTCTAGTGCAATTTTATATAATAATAAATTATTCAATAATCATAATTTTATGCCCTCATTAATAACACACACAGAATTTGGACTACGTTTTTTAATTACTAAAATTTGCTCTACAGAAAAAATTTGAAGATTAGAGAATTAAACAGATTTATATTCCTTGTTGTAAATTAGATGGAGTGAAACTAAAGAATTATTTATGTGTTTTATTCTATTAAGTGGATTAAATAATAATAATTTAAGTTTATTTATATGGTCGATTATAATGATATAATTTAATGTTTATATATTGAACATTAATCAGACTTTAAGAAAAGTAATTTATGAATTTTAAAGTGTTAGGACTACTTGTACTAACATATAAGTAGCCTTTCTTTTTGTTAATACTTTATACAATCATTAAAAAATGATTTTGGATTGTTCCTTAATATGCGCTTTCCATTTTGGTCAAATTTAGAGTTTAATTGCGACACAACTATTTAAAAGTATTAGAACTTTCAGTTTATATAGTATATCTTAGATTATGGATTCATCGATAATATGTATTCATCAGTGGGTTTTCTGCTTACTGAATAGGATGTCTTAAATGTAACGATTACTCAGTCATAAATTTTTTATTTTCAACTTCTATATGGGTTTAGTAATTGCTATTAATAGTTAGTACCAAATTTCAAGCTTTATTTCTTTATATGAAATCTTTAACCTTTTTCGTGGATCCTCTTATGTGTATTTGTAGGTTCTTTCCGATTATAAATCAGGGATCTTACTTTTGATAAAATATATTTGCATCAAATAGGGTAAATACAGATCATTTTGGTTGTCTGAAAAGTGAGTCTCTTTTTAGGTATCCCTTCAAATTTATCATTAAAAACATTATAATAGAACTATTATTCTTTTTTTAGGAAGATGACGATGAAACAAATTGTATAGATCATTACTCTAAATATATTATTAAAGAATTCGTTGGTCTAGAATTAGATCTAGAAACATACCCATTGTATAGCTTTCTAAGTGCTGTTGGACTAAATTTTCTTAAAGGATCAGGAATATATTATTCGATTTGGAAATCCAAATTCAGAATATTTGGAGGACCTTTTATTTGGGGAAAAAAAAATTTTAAAGAGTCGCTAAAATCGAAGATCCTCATCCTACAATTACTATTTCTTTTTTTGGATTTTTCCACCCTAACTTACCTAAAGATGGATCATTTATTTTTGCATTTCATTGAATTACCATCAAGCAATTCAGTAGAAATACCTCTAAGTTTGTATTTATGCCTCTAATCAACATCTGGAATCTAACAAATGTAATGATTGTCCTCAGAATTGTAATCAATACAATACTTCTTTAAAATATAGAGAATGTATTCTAACATTGTTTAGAATATTAGTGAATAATTCATGCGCTTGCTATGATAGTTATTTTTAATGTAACTATGGAGAATGCCAAAAATATAGTTAAATTTGTCTAAAATCTTCATCTTCAAATCAATGTGAGATTTGTTTAGTTGGAGGTTAGTTAAGTGGTATTGGAACTTGTGACTAAAATCCAAATAATTATTTTTACCCACCATTTGATAAATTTTTGGATTGCCCAATTCCTGAAAACATTTATTGTAAAATATTTGGGGAGACAGAATTGTTGTATAAGCTATTAATAGTCCCTTTAATGAAGAGTGTGACGGTTACCTATTTTGATTTTAAAAGGTAATTTTTATGATTGTCAAAATAATCATTGTTTCTATTGTATTAATAAATATAAACTGCATATTAATTTAGATAGATATGAATGTGATGTAATTTATAAATGAGCAAGGATGCCAATTATATAAACCTGTATTCATTTTATTGATCGTGCATGTGTAGCAATTTGTGGGGACTCATTAGAAACACCTGTTGAATAATGAGAAGATGGAAATCTCATTTTTGGAAATTGATAGGATGATTTTCCAAATTTCATCATAAAATTTACTGTTAATGACTCTTATTCATTTCTATAAATTTCGGATGAATCTATCCAAAAAATATGCTGTAGGAAGCAGTAATTGAGAATCCAAGTATATTTAATTAGATATAGTAGAGGTTCTTGTTGAGATTTTAGAATTGAAATTAAATATCCACGCGCTTTGCATTTTGCATAATTCATTGAGAAAGTTATTTAATAAATGAAAATAATCGAAATCCAATATCTTTTTATGATGCTGCAAACAAAAATTCCTGTTTCTTTATAAAAATAGCAAATTTTATTAAAATATACGATGCTTTGTAACCATTTAATAATAAAGTTATATATATTGATTATTAGAATTCCAATCTCACATTTTTGGTCTACAATTTGCCTATTACCATGAGTATTCTAGAAAGTCTATAAAAATAACAGCTAATTTTTGAATTGAAGTAATTAGAATTTAATTATTATTTATTATTCTCTTAAGAATATTTTTATAGAATTAATTCAAATTCTTAAGTTGATTGTTTATGTATTTTGATACATAAGTTATATAAATGCAATAAGGAAATTTATTTATTGCTCCAACAGTTGAAAATATTCCAAAAGTTGAATCTTATTTAATGACAATTTTTGATGGAATCTAAATGTTGTCTCAGTATAAATTTGTAATTGCTTAAGAAATTTGTTTCCACAAAAGTATTAAATTAATCAACACCATATTAAGATTGAAAATCAATTTCATTCTTTTCAATTGGAATAGAATCTAAAATAGCTGATTCTTATTACGGTTTCTTCCCTGAGGT